CATCATCATCATCATCAAAAACAACATCAACAATCAGCAAGTAAATAGTATTATGAAAAAAAAAGGTAAGAAATATTTTCCTCTCTCATTCATAATATAACAATTTACTAATTATTCAACATTTACTATTATTATAATTAATATTATTATGATGGAAAACAATTTACTCTATGAGATGAAACAAAAATTATCATATACCTTTTGTTACCTTTACAGGTAACATGATAATGATGAGGACTCATTGTAGCATAAATATCATCATCATCATCATCATTATCATCATCTTTTTGAAGGTTATCTCTTGTTCATGAGATTATCATCATCTTCACGTATCATGATGATAATAATAAAGATTTACATAAACTAAGATGAAGATGACAAATGATGAGATTTGTTTTCTTGAGAAAATCAAATCATAATGATAATTTGATAATATTTGGGATAAAAGTGAAATTAATTAACTAATCAAACAATAATAATAAGAGAAAACAACAATTAAAACAATAACTGTTGATAATATTTACGGAAAAGCAAAAATATTTATCATCACATAAAAACACAATAATAGTAACAATTAAAAAGAAACTTAAATCAATAATAATAATTCATTTCTTTTTAATAATAAGAAAAAGAAGAAGAGTAAATATTAATCTTTGTTCAATCAATTTCTCAATTTAATCTTTAATTAATATGATTAATCATTTGGTGATTTTATTGTTATCATGGAATCGTAAGTAAATGAGAAAGAAAAAAAAACTTTTTCTCTTCAATTCAATTAATCCCTTCAAGGTATGATTATCATCTAAAATGAATTAATATTAACTCGAAAAGGAAATGAAGATAATGAAAAATAGGTAGAAACTAATTCCAGGTAAGTTCAGGTAAGAATAGAAACAATCAGTAGATTTTGTTTACTGAATTTTTTCAACACTTTCATCAGGTAAAAAAAAACTTATTCAATTGACTGAAAATTCATGTAAAAGTTTTCAAATAACATTTACCTGTATTATTATTTTCATTAAAACCTATCATCATCACAAGTTCACACAAATGATGCAATAATATTAACAGGTAGCTTAAAGATGATAAAAGTTTGATTCAAAAATGAAAGGTGAGAATGATGAAGAAAAAAAAAATAGATTACTCATTGATGAATTATTATTATTTATCATCACCATTATATATTAAGGGTGAGGATGGTTATCAATTCAAACTCAATTTACTTTTCATTTCGCTTCATCATCATCATCATCAGAATTCAATCTAATAACAATAAAAGATGAGTAGGATTTATATATAAAAGGGTGATGGTGATGATAAAATGAAAATTCATTTTCACTTAATCCAAAATAATCAACAATTAACTGGACAGACCAGGTATTAATATAACAGACAACAGGTAATAGAAGTGATATTTCCCAAGAATTAGATATTATTATTATTATCACTTTTTGATATATTGGTGTTATCATTATATTAATAATAATAATAATTATCATCATTTGGTGACATGTTATTTAATCAACAATCATTATTATCTAAAAGTGTTTACTTTTTTTTTCATTCTCACACAATTAACAGTAACAAATGGTGATAATTAGAGATGATAAAAAGTTTTATGAAACATTAGATGTTGAAGATTAAGATTAACTGAGAGGAAAAGGGTTTGTTAACATTGTTAGTTTTTCGGGTTAAATTAATCTTATATTGACCCTGTTTCTTTGGATTATTAAAAAGTAACTAATCTATTTGATGAAGAAGAAGAAGATGATGATGATGATGATACACTTTACCAGACGAATGAGCTTCTTAACACTTTTATCCTCATCTTCCACCTTCTTTCCTCCTCATCTTTATAACTATTAAATTTTTTCTTTCTTCCGTTTAATTTAGGTTCGGTACGAATAAGTAATTAGTAGAGTTTGAAAAGGGATTTATATTCATTCATCTTATATAGATATTCATTCATTATGAGTATCAATTAACAAATGAATCTTAACCAGTTTCAATGAGCCTTGATGATAACAGGTAAGAGAGATGAAGATGAAGAAGATGATGAAGATGAAGAAGATGAAGAAGATGAAGAAGATGATGAAGATGATGATGATTAAGATGATACAGAAAGGAAAAATTCAATGCACACCTACCCTTAAATACAATACAAATTAAGCCTAACCTTATCTGAATGAGGACGATTATTATTTACTATTATTATGTATTAAATTTTCATCGTAATATTGTGTATATCTATCAATGGAAATGTTTTTTTAGCGATTTCACTTATTACAATTAAATTTAATTGGTGAATATTATTATTATTATTATTATTACCTTGAATAATAAGATGAGAGACTAATTAGACTAATTTTGATTATCATGAAGAAGAAGAAAAAAATTACCTCCTACCACCGCCTTCAGAAATCATATCTTATCATGGAAAAGAATCATGAACAATAGTTAATAAGTAAATAATAACAATAATATAATAAAGAAAACTGATTAACTTGTCAAAAGTTTTTGCTATCGCTTAAGAATCTTCATGTTCTTGTTATCATTTAAATAATTATCCTCATCCTGATTATCAACTCATCTTTTTCTTATGCATGACTCGATTTTTACTTATCATCATCACCACAATAATCATCTCAAGATCAAAACATATGCTTGTTTTTATCAATCATCATCATCATCGTCATTGAAACGTATCGAAGATGAGGAAGATACGACAAAAACTAACAAGACCCAAGAAGAAGCGCAACTTGAACAGTTGAATGAACAGTTTGGCATTTATCAGACTCAAAGATGGCTGATTCTGTGATGAAGAGGAGGAGATGAAGGATGAGGTAAGTATTGTATTGGAAAGGGATAGACGATGATGATAATGATGATGATGATGATTGTGGTGATAATGATGAGGGAAGGTAAGAGTTTCACCTTTGATATTGGTTAATAAGTATAACGATAAAGAAACACACAAGATAAAATAGTGACATAACTAAATATCATCATCTAATTATTTCAACAATTAGCTTAATTATAATGGTAGACAGATATTGATTAGCTGAGGAGGAAGTGGAAAAGGAATTGATGATAAAAAGACCATGATGGTGATGAAATGATGTGGAAAATATTTATATACACAATCATAAATGATATCAACTCCACCCTAAGAAAAAAAGTAACAATTTAGACACAAAGCAGAAGTAAACATTTAAATATACAGATAATAGTACAATTTAAATTGTTCAACAATCAACAGTGAAAATTTGAAAGTAATCAAATGCTGATTCATTCAAATATATTAGGTCTTTCAATAAGTCTTGTGCCTAACTATGTTTTATTGTAGATAGGACCAGGATTTGAACGGCAAATTAAAGCCCATAGATTTTGATCGAGGAAAATGAATTTTCATAAAAATCGAGTCACTCAATTTATTTTAAGGTCAAATCAGGTTAGAAGCCGCTATTTTTCATATGAATCACGATTTAATTGTTAAATTCATTCAGAATTCAGAATTTTTTTTATCCATTAGCATTGCTTGCTTGTTGACATGCGAAATAATCTTAAATTGTGAATGAAAAAGAACAATTAAGATAAATATTCAGATTTGATTGAAAAAAGTCGAAATTTTTCATTGTTTTCAACCCTTTCAATCTGATTCCTTCATGTTAAAATTCCCATTGAAAAACTCATACCTTTTGACCTGATTTGACCTTAAAATAAATTGAGTTACTCGATTTTTGTGAAAATTCATTTTCCTCGATCAAAATCTATGGGCTTTAATTTGCCGTTTAAATTCTGGTTCTATCTACAATAAAACATAGTTAGGCACAAGACTTATTGAAAGACCTAATATAATATTAATTTCAATAATAGTCAAAATATTATGACAATTAAGCAATCATGATAACAATTGTAAACTAATCAAAAGTTATCATCAAAATAATCTGAATGGTTTACCAATGAAACCTTAAAACTTGATAAAATTAAAATTAAATCTAATCTTATTGATAGTAAAATCCTTGGATACTATTAGATGTAATCAAAAACTACATCTCTAACTGATGATGATTCAAATTACCCTTGAAGGGATATACAAAGATTAATTAGTTGATTATTTTGGATAAAAAAACAATGAAGATTAATTGACAAAAGATGATCAATACTGTTGATTTGGCGGTTTCATAAAACTGGAAGTAACATTTAACATTGGACATCAAAATTATGATGATAACAATAGTAAATGTGTTCACAAATCCGTTGACAAAAAGCAAACCATTGAATGGATTTGGCAAGGTTCATTCAATTTCTATTCTAATTCATTCATTCATTTAACTCATTTTGGCTACAGTGTTTTCAGATTAGTTACCTGTGTGTGTGTGTGTGTACCTGTTATATTAATGACGATGGTGAGTGCAGGTTGAAATGAAAATGATAGAGAATTTGGAAAAAAGAAAACAGATTTGTAGCAACAAAAATGATGAAAATAATGATGATTGTCAAGAGATGATGATGATGATGATGATGATATTTTGTGACTACTCCTTTGTGAAAAAAAGGTTATTTTATAATAAAAGTTACATGTTAGTCTAATCTGTTGATGGCCTTACGGACATCGGACTCTGAGAGAGTAATTATTTTGGTGTGGGCTGGTTTTTTAATGAGTAAAAATCTCTGAACCATGTCTATGATTTTTACCTTAGATAACACATAACACAAATGGTTAGTGTAAATAAAAAGTTATTGTTGTGACTTGTTGTTGTGTTTCAAAACTAGAGGTTAATTTTAGATGATGATGATGATGATGAGGAGGAGGAGGAGGAAGAAGAAGGTATCATTTAAAGGTAGAGAGGATGCAAGAAGATGTTGATGAGTTTTTAAAATGCAATATGAATAGAGATTAGGTAAAAGGAGCCAATTATTTTCATCAACTTATTTTGTAAATAGAAAATTAAAGATGGAGGATAATTTTGAATTATCTTTTTTTTGTTAAAACTTACCTTTCTTTTTCCAACTTTTCTAATTCACATTGTAATCTTTTCTGTTCCGATTCTAATTTCTTTTTCTCTTCAGCTAATCTTTCCTCTTCTCGGCGAACCTTATCATAGATTAAAGCTGCCGCTGCGGAAACATCATGTCGTCCTTGACCATTAGTAAGGTTTGGGTCATTTACTGTGGTAATTACTCGACGTCCACCATCGAGAAGTAAAACTTTATCCATAGGTGAACCAACTTTTCCATTACATGTTGTTGTTATTGTTGTTGGAGAAGGGGTTGATTCACGTTCTAAGGGAAGTTTCATCATCACGTCATTACCATTTGATTCAACTTCTGAAAGGGAATAATCATGTTCCGAGGGAGCATAAAAACGAGAGGGTCCATTGAAAGAGGAAGCTGAAGATGATTCAGATGAATGATGGTGGTGATGGTGATGATGATGATTGTTGGACAATGGAGAGTGATAAATTTCCTCCACGGCAGCAGCTACTGCAGCGGCTGCTGTAGCTTTTGATATGCCACTTCCAGTTGTACCATTTGTTTTTGTTGGTGTTGTTGTTGATGTTGTAGTTGGCGGTGAATGGACTATAGCTTTGACTCGGTGTTTAGGATAATGATAATGATTATTATGGTGAGAATGATGAAGTCCATTTGTTGGTGTTGTTGGTGTTCCATTCGATTGGTGTTGTTGTTGTTGAAATAGAGAAAGACCTGACTTTTTACGGACCGTTAAGGTCATTTGAGAGGCTGATTTAATTCGTGCTATGGCTTCATTAAATTCAATATCTCCTGGTTCCATGGATAAACCGTTCATAGCGATTATCTGATCACCAACTTCTAATCCAGATTCTTGAGCAATACCACCTTCTTTAATTGTTTGTACAAAAATACCTGGATAATTGGATGGACCTTTGACCACTGAACATCCTAAACCTTGACCGGGAGCAATACGAATGAAAACTCTTGCTTCCATATAATCACCATGAGTTAAACCGTATGAAGTGAATAAATCTTTGTCTGGACCAGAATGATCTTCAGATGATCGACTAGAGGAGAGAGAAGATCGTGCAGATGAGGGAGACTTTGAAGAGGAACCAGTTGACCAGTTACCTACAGAGTGAACTGGACAGGGTGGCGGTGGTGGTGGTCCTCGATGATGTGAATGATTATGATGATGATGAGATCGATGTAAAAGTTGATGATGATTGGGATGATGTACCAAATTAGTAGCACTATGATCACTACTATTACTGTTACTATCAACGCTTAAACTACTAACAGCACTACTATTGGAACTGTTGTTACCACTATTGTTATTTTTACTATTATTATTGTTGACTGTTGAAGTTAAACTTTTCCCATTGGAGTGGTTTGTTGGTGATGATGATGATGTTAAAGTATCAACCAGTTTCCATGAAAGAGTTTCTGAACGATTTGATTTAATTGGTATCATTCCCACTGATTTAACTTTTAATGTAATCCGTGAAGATGATTTGATTAAAGCGATTACTTCCTCATGAATTGCTTGTTCAATGATGAAACCATTTACTCGAAGTATTTGATCACCAGGCTAAATCATAATGAATTGATTTTTCGTTTTGTTGAAAGAAATGAAAGTAAAGAAAGAAGAAAAAGAATGAAAGAGAAAAGAAATGAATTAGATCATAATGATAAAATTAATTCTGATAATCAAGATGATTATGATCAACATTATTCGTGAGATTGTCAACAAAAGGATGGATATGACTTTTTTCACAGACCCAATTGAAAAACAAAATCTACAGTTAAACTTTTAATCCAAATGATTAGAGAATAACAAAGTGTCTCTTTTTTTTATAATCTGGAATAAGAATTTCTCTTAATCTAATCGAGCATTTAATTTTTTTCTCTCTCTCTCTTCAAGGTTTACCTTTAATCCTTCCAATTGAGCTTCTGATCCTGGATGTACTTCCGATATGAAAATTCCTGTCCCATGTTCCCAACCTTTGTGATGATTGGTGAGAGAGTAAGTTATAGATATTGGTACATGAGAATTTAGAAAAATTGAGATAGAAAAATAAAGAAAAAGGGAAACAATTAAAACATTATCACAGACAAAGAGAATCACATTTAGATGGAAAAATGTATGGATAAATGTACTTCCGGTAGAATGAGGAAAAAAGATTAGAAAAGAAAAACACATTTGAATTACCTCCTCTAATAGAGAAACCCAATGGTGAATTACCAACCCGACGAAGACGAACAATCCGAGTTGAACAGTTAATCCCATTTGTAGGTGGATGTGGTGGTTGGATGGAAGGTGATGAAGATGAAGATGTTAGTTGAGGATAAGTTTGAACCAACATTCCAAAAGAAGGAGATAAACAAAATTCTAAAAGTGACCAACTTTCAAAAAGAAAATTCCAAAGAGAATTTAAGAAGAATAAAAAAAAGAGAAGAAGAGAAGATGCAATTCTGTTATAAGGAGAAGAGAAAAAAAAGAGAAGAGAATTAACAAAAGGTCTAAGGAGAGAATTTAAAGGTTAGGTGACACAGAGAGAGAAAGACAGACAAAAAGGTGGTCACCATAGATACACAGACAGAGAAGGAGAAAAAGAGGAGAAAAAAAGAAAAGAAATAATCCAGGTGATGGTAGAAAAAGATGACCACGAGAAGATCGAAAAAAGAAAGAAAAAAGAATAGAAAAAACCAACACAGGTCAATATAGAAGAAGAAAACACTCACAGAGAAGAAAAGAAAAATCACTTTTCAAGACAGAGAGATGATTGGAAGTATCCAAATTAGAAACACAATTAAATCCAATATAAATTGGCAACCGAATTAAAGTTAATTGTCATCACCATTAAGTTGAAGAATAGAAATTAAAAGTTATATTAATAGAGAGAGAGAGAGAAGAAAACAGTTCACTTTATATTCCGTTAACAGAAAACAGGTAATGTTGACTCATCGAGAGAGAAACTGAAACTAAACCAAAAGAAAGAAAAGAAAACCGATCACCGAAAGAGACACCAAGCGGATTAAATTGTAATTTAGAATTTTAATTTTTCGTTGAAAGAATTTTTTTTTCTTCTCTTTAATTGCAGTTTAATTACATTAAATTCTGTTATTTAATCTTGATTGGAGATAGATTTTGATACCATTTAAATGTTCAGATTCTTATGAATTTGATTCTTTTCAAAAAAGGACAGAATGATGAATGTTTTTCGCCGAGTGTTTACTTTTGATCGGTAAACAAACTAAAAGAAAACTTTAAGTTTCGAATTAGTTTTCACTTTGATCTAATAGATTTTTCGAGTTTTCAAATTGTTGGAAAAAAAAGAAGATTTTATTTTGGAAATTAGTCGATAATCAAATTTTAGATTCGTTGGTAAATTGTCTTCTTCGGTTGGGATACAAAGTGTTCTGTCCACTATTTTCTGACCATTTCGATTTCATGGTTAACATTGATTTCGATTTTGATAATTGATTTTAATTCTTCAACCTTGAACTGATAATAAGGTTAATCTTGAAGAGATGATGATTATTGGTGATTCTTTTTTTCTTTCAATAATCAATGTGAATGATGAAATCAATGAAGAGGAAATTTCGAAATCATCGATCTGTAAAATCTTATACATCATCATGTTCATCATCATTTTTATCATCATCTTCATCTTATTCATTGTATTATTTCATCAAATTTGATTGTGATTAAGATTTTTTTTTCTTTAATCAAGAGTAAAAATTTGATTGTCTCTTTACCTCCTCTCGCCAAGTCATCATGAAGAGCAGGATGATGATGATGATGATGATGATTTTCATGATGAAAACCGTTATTTCTTGGCATCAACTGATCACAATTTACTGAATACACAAATTTCAATGCCAATCAGTTGATTGTAATCATCATTTTATTTACAATCAAGAGAGAGTAACAAAAATCCTGGTTACCCAATTTTGGTTAAATAATTGATCATTTCTTTATGACCAATATCACACCTTAATCAATATGATTTGGTAATTTTTTTTCTCAACAATCAATCAACAATTAACTAGATCAACAGTTATTGAAACAAATTTTTCAATAAAATTGAAACCAAGCAACAATTAACATCCAACCAACATGAACACCTCACACCATCAACAATTAACTGATTATTATTAATAATTGTGTTTACATTAATTATATTATCAAACAGGAAGACTGACAATTAAGTTAATTTTGTAATCTCCAATCAATATGGTTACACTAATTGTGATCAACAACAATCAAGATATAATCATGATTCAGGTTATTATGAATGATTAAATTGGCGTTGTCTTAATTGTCAATTTTAATGGTTAGAAATTAATAATTTATCAACAACAATTAAATATCCGTTTAATTGGTTAATTGACACAACAATTTAATCATTTAACAATTTGTTTTGATGATAATTTATCAAATATAAATTGATCTTGTTACCCAATGAAATTAGATAGGTAATCAAACCAATCACAATTAAAAGGTGTCTTAATAATCAAATCAAAATTGATCACTTGGATTTATCCAAACAATTGGATAATTTGAATTAATATAAATATAATTGTTGATTTAAATTACAATTAAGGTGTTTCCCGGAAAGTGAACTATTTAAACAGGCAAACAACAATTTAATTAACAGTTAACAATTTGTTTGCATCAATTGTGATTATAATCAACATGATACAATTTACAAACCACTAATTGAAAGAATTGAAGAAAAATTTTAATTGTTATATCAATTTAGTTGATCAACTTTCTGTAAAAGTTTAATTTTTACCCTTAATTACCCTTGATCACTTTGTTAACAATTTAATCAATTAAAAACAATCACAATAATTTGCATAAAATTAACATTTCCTAGTTTTCTTGATTAACTTTGAGTTAATTGTCAGTAAATTGATTGAAAAACAACACAATTAATCTGGTAAATTACAGTTAATTGTTTGAAGGTAAAACGTTCATGATATTTACAATCAAAGCTTAATTGTAATCCATGAAACCATAAAGATTGTAAATTTGTTATGATCAATCAGATTATCGAGTTAGTTAATTGTTGTTGTTATATAATTTACAATTAAGCACATCAACATTTAACCAGGTCAATTTATAATTGAATACAATCACAAGTATTACAATTAAATTAAATTGAAATGAAATGAAAGTGTTTTTTTTAATTGTTAACAATTAAAAGGTAATCAATGATCAATGTTCAACCAGCTAAGTTTAATTAACTTTTCATTTATTGGACCAAAGTTAATCACTAACAATCAAGGTTATAATATAATCAAATTTGATCAATTAATAGTATTACTTATTAAATGATTTGTTAATTGTGGTCAAAGTTATTTTTTTTGTTGATCACAACAATTTAACTATAGTTAATGTCCACCCAATAACAACAACACAATTAAATTAAATGGTTGATTAACTAATAATAAGATGATGTTACCGAGACCAATTAAATTAAAAGTTAACTAAATTGTAATTTATCAAAGATTTGAGGCTGAAAATATTGATTTCAATTGTATCTTCAATTAACTGGGTTAATCAGGATGATGATTAACTTGATGATCGCGATCATGATGAGAAAATGATTTGTTAATAGAAAAAAACAATTCAATTCAATTTGATTGTAACAATTTACCTTTCAAATGATTAGTTGAACAATTGAATAGAAGCTGAAAAAAAAGTAAATTCATTTCTTAATCTATTTTTAATTCTTGATTGTCAATCAATTATATTGATCTTAACCTTTACCCGAACCTTAATTGTTGTTAAATTGTTAAATTTATTTAGAACACAATCAAATCTTTGCTCTCTCTCTCTCTCTCTCTCTCTCTCTCTCTCTAGTCATCTTGATTTCTATTTCAATTAACTATTTAAATTAGAAAACAATTAACTGATTGTGTGATCTGATATAGAAAGTGATTGGTGAAAAAATTGATCAATTAGTTGTCACAATTAACTTAAATTTCAATCATCACTTTTGATTGTATTCACATCATTGATTGTTATTAACAATCAGACTCCTACACACTCACAAAATTAACTAATAATAGTATTTAATCAATGATAAATTATGTGTAAAGGGAAAGTTAATATAAATAATTATCTTAATTGTGAATTTTAATTCAGTTTCTAATGATATGAAATTGGAAACACAATTTTACTCATTGAAAAATTTTCTCGGTAACAATTGACCAACTTTGTATTATCACAACAATTAAAATACTTTCAATCATCAATCAATATTATTAATCATCAACATCATCATCATCATCATTATCATGAGCAATTTAATTTTGAAATCACAATCAACCTGCAACAATCAATGGGAAAATTAAATGTTACAATCAATTTATCCTTGTTAAGTAATCCATTCATTTTACCAATGATTAAATTTCACTATTACTTTTAATCATTATGATTGATTGACCGAACCGGATCAGCTTAATTACACAATTGTTACATGATTAATAGCCCTAATTAATTAATTAATCAAAATGTATTGTCAAAAGTAAATCAACAGATCACAATTGTAATAATCAATCCACCCAATGATTAGAGTGATTTTTAACTAACAATCATGATTATAATATCAACTCACCTTGATTGTTTTTCACTTTTTAATTGTTACTGTTAAATTTATTGGACCATCAATGATTAAGGTGATTTGATTGTTTCAACCATTAGATCAATTTTTAAGTAATCAAATTAAATGGTTTGTTGATTATCTGATTAATAATCATTTAATTGTATCATTTTTGGTGTTTCCTTTGATACATTTGATTTGTTGAGATTTCGCTTGATTAACAATCATCTTATTTAATTGTCAGCATCTCAGTTTTCTAGCTGATTGGTGATGAATTATTTTTCAATTGTCTTAATTGCTCACAGTATTTGATTGTATTCATATACTTCAAGGTAAATTCGTGATTCTTATTGTCCGAAATAATTTGATTGTTCAATTTTACAATTTGATTTTGTTGCTGTTAATTTGATCAACAGGAAGATGACCATTGATGATGAAAGATGATGAGGTCGATACGAAATCGAAACAAAAAAGACTATTGATTTTGAGTTCGAAAATATTTTAGGTTAGTGACCGAAACTGGACCTTAAATTGGACTATTATTATTTAGTAGGAATAAAGATCGAGCTTGTTTTTATATTGGATCCATAAAAAGTAAAGGAAAACTTTAATTAACAAAAGGTAAGGAAGATGAAGATGATTATGATGATGATGATGAAAACAACTTTCATTTTAAAAGAAAGTAAAAAAGTGATGATGAGGATGAGGATGAGGATGAGGATGAAGATAAAAATGAAAGTTGAAAGGTAAAGCTAATAAATGGTTACGAGTGATGATGATGATGGAAACAAAACAATTTAAGTTGATTGTTTCCCTTTTCAGTGCAATAAAAGTAAATCATTAACAATTAACTTTGAATGGCACACAATTGGGTTTACCATTTTTTACCAAGTGTCAATTGCTGGTCATCAATTGTGACAATTAACAAGTCTCAGCAAATCTATAAATATACAAATTGACACTTCGAGAAAATCAAGACTATTCAATAATAAAGTTATAAACATTTCTAATTTTATATATTGTAGATAATCAAATTCAAGTTAAACAGTGTTACAATTAAATGATGCTGGTGATGATTAGTTATTAGTTTGTGATCGTATCACTTGATAACAATTTGATTAATCGTGAGAGGTCATAACCAAATTGTTATAACAAGAAAATCAAATGAAAAATCAGTGAGAAAATGGTTTCCATTGAATGTCAAGGTTATTATTATTACTGTTGAATAATAATCAGCCTGATATTTATTATCACAATTGTAACAATTAGTTCAATTGATTGTGATAATCAATCGTTTATCATCATTAAGCTAATCATCTTCCTGGTCACTATTATCAAGAAAGGTTATTAATAATGAAGGAAAAGGTTAATCAATGAGGATGAGGATGAGGATCATCATCAACAACTTGTTACATGATGTTAACATGATAGTTACTGAATCAAGAACTGAATAAGTTTCATGGTTGGTAGATTAACATTAAATCATCAAGATTTTCACGATTTACGTGAGTAACTTTCAGAACTTTTCATTTTCTTGATTATGATTATAACGATTATCATGATGAACTGTTGATCAACATAAGAATCTTAATCACTGTTGTTTATTTATATCTTTCAATTAACTGGAATCAATTGTTTCCTTTTGATAACAATCAAAATTAAACTCTCCACAGAATCAGAATTACGTAGATTTTTGCATTATCATTATTACTATTAATACAATTACAATTCATTCAATGGATTAATCTTACCTTTGAATTAACAGTTAATCATCACCAACAACAATCAATCATTGATTGTTGTTTTCTTTCATCATCTTTTTTTTTACCGGAACAAAAAAGTTAATCATTCACTTTAAATAAAATCTTTCATCTCTGTCTCTTTGTTAATATTTATTGATTCCTTATTATCACCATCATCTCACTTTAATCATCACAATTATCGGTGAAATTAAATCAACAATCAAGTCGGTTTCCTATTGATATCACCTTTAATTGTGTTGTATTATCAACAGCCAATGTAATTTAGTTTCATTCATTCACATTGATTGTTATCATTTTTCAAATCATCTCTTCCTAATCTTAATCAACAATCAAACATTATTGTTGATTGTTAGTCTCTTTAAATATATGATAATCAAAATCTAATTTACATTGATCAGTATTTTGTGATCTCATCAATTAAAACTAAATCAACAGCAACAATTTAACAGCAATATCATTGTCATAATTTAGGTTGTCAATAATTGTCGTCGTTGATTAGATTAAACTAATTGTGAGTCTAGACTTTTACAATCAAGATACAAGTTTGATTGTGACTGTTGATGATTAAAAACCATCATAATCTGTTTTTAATTGTCAACAATTTGAGGAAGTAAATTTAGATTGGTGTCAATATAATTGAAATTAAATTGTTACTCTTACTACAAAATTACAATTGATTATTATAATGATTGAGTAGCTTATGATTTGCTAATCGTAACAATTAATGAGTATCATTTAAATAAAGGTAATCAAATGATCAATATCTTATTTGATTATCATCATCACAATCAGAGTTAACATTTAATCATTACTAACGTGATGAAATTATGTTTAAATTGATTGTGATTTGATTTAATCATTTCGATAACTTGTTAACTTATGCAAATAATTATCTTGATTATCAGTTAATTGTGGTGTAAATGGTGTTAAATTAATGATTTTATTAATATCAAGTAGCCGATTGTTGTTATTGTTAAAGGTAAATTGTCAATCAACAATTTAACCCAACCCAGGGTTTGATTATCCTTTTTGTTAATCATGATCAAGATACCGTACGATTAGACATTGATGATTAAGAAAATTATTTTAATCTTCTCATCATCACTATCATGATAATCTTTTCATTAATCAAGTTAAATTAAGATTAGGTGAAGATGAGTAGTTAATAGACAAGCCTACAGATTAACCTTTTTTTCATTCAATCAAAATTTTCATTATAATTATTAATATAATTGGTGTGGAAATTTTTTCATCAGATCGGGTTAGTGATTAAAATTAAATCTATTAAATTGTAATCATAAGTAATAAGAGATTGTTGATTATTCTTAGAGTTTAATAACAATCAATTTATTCATTATTGAAATTGATTATTATAAACATTGTGATGAAATTACCTAATTTAAAGTTAATTGTTATTGATATTGATTGAATTGTTATCAAAGTTTAGTTGATTGTTTAGATCATCCCTAAGCCCAATTTACATTGATCATTTCGCTTTTAATTGTTCAACATTGAAGATGAACAATTGATGAGAATGATACATTTTCCGTTGATTGTCATCTAATTTTTTTGATTGTTTCCATAATCCAATTACTATAATAATTAACGTTAGTGTAGATTCCTGGTTTCTCAGGTAATCCACAACCAGAACCAGATGAGACCAATGCAATTAACGACCAGCCACCACGAAGATTAACAACTAAAGGTCCACCAGAATCACCCTGTAAATCCGATAGATAATCCATGTGAGAAGACACAATTAGTTAATTGTGACAATTTTCTAATTGACCTTGAATTAAGTAATTACCTTGCATGAGTCTTTATGACCTTCTTTCTGACCCGCACAGATAATTTTATCGGAATCAATGAAAAACTCATTTCCATAATAATGAGAACACTGAGAACCCGAAATCAATGGTAATCGTACTTCAGATAAAACGTTGATTAAATTATTTAGACCTGTTGTTGATATAAATCATAAAGAATACAATTAATTAATCAGTTGATTTAGTTGGAAAAATAATGGAGTAAAAATTAATAGCGAGTTGACATTGATTTAGTTTAATTGATTAATTGAATATTACCTTGACTCCAACCAGTGACGAAACCATATTTAGGTAAATCATCAAATGTTGTCCAATTGTGAATACAAACTGGTTTGATATTAGTTAAATTGTAAACTGGATAATTTAATTTGATTACGGCGATATCATCTTCTTTACCATTAACCTTTGTTATGGTTTGAGTAACAATAATCAAGAAAATACAAAAAGAATCGCAAAGATAATCAATTAATTGTTTGAATATATACTGAACGTCAATGAACTCAATTAAATTACACTATCAATGTTACAATTATTATTACAATCATGATTTAACAAACTATCAACAGTTTATATATTATTCATCATCATAATTAACCTGAATATGTGATGAGATGGACAAAATTTCACAGTTAACCTTTGGCCTGTTGTTTTGACAATTTAAGAAGTCAAAAATTAAAAGTGAATCAAGTTAATTGTTTGTTCATTGGTGTGACTGAATTTGCTATGCTTCAAATACAATTAAATGTATTAAATCATTATAATCAGATAGATTAACCAACCTTTAGCTTTTCAAATAATCATCTTAACCAATTAATATTAGTTTACAACGAAGCGACTTGTTAATCCAATCGGATTATCAACTAATCTGTAATTAAATGTTTCTTCAAATTCATTAACTAATCTGATTAATTTAATTATTATGTTATTAAAAAATAATAATAAAGTTTTAACGTTTACGCAAATTTAAATATTGTATCAAGGATTAGTTAATTGTAATAATTAATTCATCACTATTAAAACTTTGTCTGGTTTTTTTTCATTGAAAGTTCACCTTAAATTGTATTAACTTTTTTAAATCTCTCAATTAATCATTTGTTAAATTGTTGTGATAACCTGTTCATCTAATTATTTTGATAATCAAGTGTCACAATAGAGTTAAATTGTGTGTGATTAACTCTATTAGTTAGATTAACTAGATGATAATTAATGTGAACCAATTAACCGATAAACATTAAATCAAATTTAAATGGCCTTTAATCACATCATTAAACACCATTTAAAACTTAATGATATCTAATAAATACTTAAATTATTGTAATAAAATTTAACTTAATCAAACTAATATATAGTAGCGATTAATCAACTATAATAAAAAAAGTTAACAATTAAAGATAAATCTAATATAATGATCAATAAGAGCTAATTAATTTGCTAATATAAACATGAATCAAATTTTCAACGGAAGCGAAAGTTAAATTTAAAGTAATTACAATTTGTAGCGAAAAATTAAATTACTTGTAATCTACTTACACCATTTAATTGGTAATCTGGATGAATAATAATATCTCGTGGATATCGAGTGATTAGTTGATCAGCTGAAGATTCATCATCTAATTTGTATTCACCAAAAGCCAGCGAGTATTTAGTTAGATTGAGATGTTTACTTGAAGACGGAAAAGAAATGAATAAGAAAAATAATTGAAATAATGGATTAGGATTAGGACAATCTTGGGATTAAATTACTTATGGAAACAATGAGCTGCCGTTAATATGGTTGAATAGTTGATTAAAACAGCTCCACAAATGTGCTTCCAATGGATTGACGATTGTGACCTGATCCGCAATGAGACTTGCCATGGCCAAGAATTAGGTAAGGAAGTGGTTCCTCCAATAATTGAGAGTCGACCCTTTAATTTGTTATTATTAATCCAGGAAGGACAGATGACCATCCTTGTCCCATCATTATCATCATCATCGTCAACGATATCATTATGATGACATTCATCTTCGTCGGATCCATCGTGACAATCATCAATTTCATTACAAACCAACGAACTGTTAACACAATTACCGTTAGAACAGGAAAATTGAGTCAAAGTATCGACACATTTACTTTCATGTGAACCTTAAATGTTAAAATAAATTAGAATCAGAATATTATTAATAAATAATAGGAAACATGAAAAGGAAGATGATTTAGAGGAAAAAGAAAGGATGAAGATGGAGATGAAGATGAAGTAGGAAGACAAAAATGAATGAGAAACAAAAGAAAAAGATTGAGATTGAGAGGTGATATTAAATTGTTTCGAAGAAGAGAAAGTTGATTAAGGTGGTTTAATCACGATTTAAATCCGTATTTAGTAAATTGATTAACTGAAATCGTGGGAGAAAGAGAATGAGAAAGAGAAACAATTCTGATTATCATTAACAAATCACAATTAAATTGTGAAACATGTTACATTTCAAAGGCCAATCCTGATGAACAATTTAAAAATATCACTAAACCAAATCAACCTCTCATCATAATCTTAATCGTTAATCATTTAACTACCAAAGGAGAGAGAGAGATGTACAATTGTTAATTGTTTCTAATATTTTGCCGTGATTTAGATTTGGATTAATACATTTTAAAAACAATAATCATCATAAAATTAACACCAATTAACATTTTCACTAAATGGATAACAATTAAATGATATATGGATTATCCTTATGAATGATTAGTATTCTAGTCAACAAACAAATATTATAGTATATCAAAACTAATTCATTAAAGGTGATTAGGGTTTTAGTTATATCTACTATTAATTCATTATAACATAAATCACTCAACAATTAAATGTTAAATTTTTAACGTTAATAAATTATCAAACAATTAAACTTAAAATAAGGTTGTAATTGTATTATTATGATTAATAATAGGGAGAAAGAAAATCATTTCAATGTTTAGTTTTATGGTGAAATCGTAATTGTTTATAATCAATATATCAAGAACAAATATTAGAAATTAAACTCTAAATTGTCCTTAATTGCTGATTACCTCTTCTCCATCATCATAATCATTTATGCATCATCATCATCATCATCATCTCTCTCTCTTTGCCTTAATTTTTGTTGTGACTGATTGTTTACCTTTTTTGTTTTAAATAAACCAACTAACTTACTAACCGAATGAGAAACAGTGAATATGCTAAATTGGTCAGTAATTTATTAATTCTTATCAACAAATTGAAATGGTTGAATTTTCAAGTGAATCAAATTGTAATCAATTTGAATTTTAAATTAGATAGTTACACACATAAGAAGAAAAGAAAAGAAAATTAAAAAAAAATTCTAAAAACGTTTCACCAAAAAAAGAAAGAAATTGAATAACAAACCTTGATTATCTTCTATTTGATTTGATTTGTTTTGTTTCTTCTTCTTTTTCAGGACAACAATTAGACGATTAAACAAATAACCAGTTAAAAACGATTCACAATTATAAAGAAATAAAGAAATTAACAATTAACAAATTACAATTTAGTTGCACTTGAACTTGTTAACATTAAAAACAAAATTCAATTCAATTAAATAACCAAATTTAAACTCTTTCGGAAAACGATAACAATTGACAATCATGGAAACTCTGTGACGATTTAAAATAATCGCCATTGGATTAGAATTTTAATCAACAAATTAATCAATGGAAAAATTTAAATTGTAACAATTAAAATTAAATTTAGAAAATCAAATCAATTGAAAAAAAGAAAAAAAATAAATGTAAACAATGGAAATTCTGTCGCCATCTAGTGGATTCGAAACGAACTAATGAGAACAAATTTTCGCAATTAAATGTTATCAAGTTTTCCTTTTGAAGAAATTCAATTATTTTATCTTAATTATCTTTCAGAGAGTTAATCATGTTATCACTCTAAGACATGATATCTGAGTGTTTTGAAATGAAAACTAGAAAGTGAATTGATATGTTGACATTAGTTTACCTTTGGAATTGTCAAATTTAAATGAGATGTTGAATCCTCGATAATTACGATGTGAATCAGTGATGAAGATTAAATTAATTGTTGTTGTGTTGAAAATTTGATCATCCGGTTTAATTGACCCACAGAAACGATAATCAGGTGATTGTGTTAAATTTTTACCAATGAATAACCAGAGAGAATCTAGAACACAATTGAAACTATTTTCTAAATTAAAATCATCAAAATGAATCGCGATTGGATCATGATTGTAATTAGACAATTTTTGTTTAATTGTCCAGGAACAAATTAAATTACTTGGATAATGTTGAGATTCATTATAACCTGGAGTAATTATGTTAACCGTTGAATTGCTTTCTAATTGAATGATAGTTGATTGTAAGGAGGCAAAATTTTCATGATAATTTGGATCATCAAAATCAAAGGTAACACAATATTGACAAGTTGATTTAACACAATTAAAGATTATCACTGTGAAGATAATTACAGTTAATTGTGATGGAAACACTGGTGACCATGTTAATCTCATTGGGAAAATAATTAACTCGATACCACCGAGCAAGATTAAATTAACAGTTAACCAAGTATGACAATCAGTCAGTCAATCAAAATGTACTTTGAAGATCACAATTTAATTACCTGTTGCACTTTTATGGTTAATTGTTGAAAATCAAGTCAAATATCAAGTTAAATTGTTAAAGTGAATATCAAAATACTCAAACTAATTTAGCTGATCAATGAATCAGATCAATTATTGTGATCAAATGATAATTAATTGGAGAGTTTAAAAATTGATCTAGTCAGCAAATTACATATATAATTTATCTGTATCAATTTAGATTCCAGCAATTAAGGATAAATAATTGAGCACAATCAAGATAATATCTGATTAATGAAAATTAGTTTAATTCAGCCAATCAAAATTAATATTTAATCATTTGAGAGACAAAACCAACAATGAAACAATTACCCTAATCACAAAACAATAAAAAAAAACATAAATCCTAACATCAATCATTAATCACAGAAAATGAAAAGGAAACAATTAATAACAATTAAAACTACAACAATTAACCAAAAATTAAATTCGTTCACCCAAAATTTTCTGCCTCAGAAAAATTCAATTGAAAAGGTAAACAGATCAAGTAATTTTCTCATTTCTTCAAATTGTTTCATTGGAAAAATTAGCAAAACAATTAGTCGCACCAATTGGGATGAAGAAAATGATCAAAAATCAATTGGAAATCAAATTTAATCAAATTAATTCCAATTCATAACATAATCATTTTAACCGCGCAACGTTAACCAATAGACTGGAACTTGTTTACAGTTCATCTTTTGGTTTTATCTCTGTGTTTGTATCCATGCTTTTTATTGTTTACTTTTTATTTCTTCCAACAATTAGGTAAAAATAGTTAATTAAACCAATTTAGTTGACTAATTTAATTGTTCTAACCTCTTAATCTTAACTTGTATTCATTATTTTCAATTACAGATCAGAATAACATTGGTACATCTTTGAAGATCCATTGGTGTTGATTGGAAAACATTGATTACCTTTTCTTATACAACCATATAACCCTTACCATCCTAGTTAATTGTTTTTGTTAATCATCATGGCTGCAAATTCATCTAATTGCGAGGATAATTTAATGATAATCAATGAAGATTTTAATGGATTACACCTTTTATCGGGTCCACCGAATGTTGATTTAATCGATACTCTTAGTCCCAAGATTCGTGCCCATACAGTTTCTCGAGATGGTAATTACATCGGTTTCTCGGATATTGTTAAAACCAAATTGGTTGATTTAAATAGTCGAACTGTTATATTTGAACAAGATCTTCCTGGTGTTTTATTCATGGGTTTATCTCCTCAGAATAATTTTCTACAAGCATGGATACACACCAAGACTCCAGGAGAAGACAATTTAATGATTTACGATCTTAAATCTAAAGAACGGATTAAGGTAAATTTCTATTCTAATTTTGTCCTTTTTTCTTCTCAGAGTGATTTTAATTGTTCTATTATTCATCTTTTGTTTTCTTCTTCTCTACTTTAGACAATGAAACAGAAACAATCACAATGGAAATTACATTGGACCGATGATGAATCTATTTGTATTCGCTTTTTCAATGAAGAATTACATTTCTATGAGAATAACGATTTCAGTAAATATGTTGCCAAATTTTTCGCCCAAAAAGTTGCAGATTTTAGTTGTACTACAAACGCTAAATTGAATAAGCATTTTTTGGCCTGTTTATCTCTTGGAGCTCATGGACAGCCCAATTTCGTGAGGTTATATAAGTACAACGAGTTTAATACAGCGATTGCCAATAAGAGCTTTTTTCGAACCGATAGAGCAACATTTAAATGGCGAACTCAAGGTGAGAATAATTTAATTCTTGGAACTTAATGATTACGATTAGATGACTAATGTGTTGTGTTTACTTTCAGGTGATGCTTTGCTTATATTATGTGCTGCTGATGTTGATAAAACTGGTAAAAGTTATTATGGTGAACAGAATTTAAATTACATGGATGTTACTGGTAAAGCTTTTGCCGTTAAATTGGACAAAGATGGACCAATTCATTCAGTCGAATGGCATCCATCTTCGACTAAGCCTCTTTTCTGTGTCTCCTATGGTTTTGTTCCCCACGAATTGCGTTAATTGACTCTAATTGTCAGATTGTTCATTCATTTGGCGAGATGCACGTTAATCAGATTCATTTTAATCCCTTTGGAAATTTAGTTATATTTGCTGGTTTTGGTAATCTAAGAGGTGGACTATCTGTTTATAATGCTGAAAAGAAAGTACTTCTTAACCAATTGACCAGTCCAGATACAACTTGGATCAATTGGGCTCCCGATGGTGTCCACTTGTTGACCGCTGTTACCTCACCTCGAATGAGAGTTGGTAATTGTTTACGTGTTTGGCATTATTCGGGTAAATTGATTAAAGAGATAACTTATCCTGATGGTGATTCGCTTTTACGATCAATTTGGAGACCCAATCAAATTGATTTTCCAACAGCACCAAAGATTTCGGAAACGGGAATCAATGTGGCTCAACTGGCCAAAGAAGCTGGACCAGCAAGATATGTGCCACCGCATTTACGAAATTCAGGTTAGTAGAATGTCGGCTAATAGTCGATCGTATTTCTCCATCATCATCATCATCTTCTTCTTCTTCTTCTTTTCAATCTACATCTTTATCTTAATTTTATCTTCTAATGCTTCCAATCAACATAAATGAACTTTAAAATTAACTTTATTCTCTAGTCAAAAGGGAAGAAGAGGTGATGATGATTTTGATCGAAAATGTGTGAGAATTGGTTGAAAAAGAAGAAGAAGATGAAGATGAAGATGATGATAGAGAAGATGAGTTGTTAACAACAAATAATAAAGAAGAAAAGAAGTTGATGAAAAACAAAAAGTAAATGTTACTCGGGGAAGATGAACCCGATCAGGATGAAGGATTAAATTAATTAATGAACTGAATTGTTCTTCTTTCTTTATTTCTTTTTTTTTTCTTTTTCCATCAGGATCAAGTGCCTCAAGTACATCTATTAGTGCGTCATCAGCATCGCCATCAAGTTCAAAAGCACCTAAAGGTAAAGGAGGAGGAGGAAGAAGGGGTAGAGGCAGAGGTAGAGGTGGAGGTGGAGGTGATCGTAGTGATACCCAAACAAAACATTCAGCAACAACAATGACAGGAGACGGAGGGGGAAGAGGCAGTGGCCACACCGGTGGTGGTGGTGGAGAAGGTGATTCAGTTGACAATTCTAAAGAAAGAAAGATCAAAACAATTGAGAAAAAATTGGAAGCGATCAAAAAATTAAAGGTCACTCGTGACGCTGGTGGTCAATTGGAAAAGAATCAATTGGCTAAAATAACCAAGGAGAAGGAGCTATTATCCGAATTGAAGAAGCTTGAAATTACCGAGTCAAGTTGAATGATTTACTATTATTTATCTGATCATCATGTTGATCATCATCACAACAACAATTTAACTTTCAATTTCAAGTTCGAGTTCGAGTGGGAAAAGATTTATGGATTAACCATTACAAAAGGAAAAATGAATCGGGATATTTTTTCATAGATATTTAATAGTATTTATATTTATATTTAAAAAGAACGAAGGAAGAAAAATGAAAGAACAAGGAGAGTTTTGAATGAAAGAGTTTCGATTTTGATTAGAGAGAGAGAGAGAAAATGATGATGATTATGATGACTGATGACGATAATATAATAATGATGATGAGCGATGAGAGGAAAAAGAGAGGACAAAATATATTTTTTGCATCTTTCAGCCTTTTTATCTAATCTGAAAATGTTATTTGTACATTCGTTTCAATTAAATTTGTTTCTTTTTTTCCAATTATAACAATTATCATAATCATATTACATGTAACACGAATATACTTGTTGATTTGAATTTTCTGTTATGGTTTCATTTTCCAGGCCAATGGTATTATATTTACAATCAATTTCTTTGTAACATATTTGGTTTTAGTTTTGTGTTTCACAAACTCTGGAGTGGAGGTTAATCAGCATTTCTAATTTGTATTCGTAATTTGTATTCGCAATTTGTAAGTGTTTTGATTGTTAAGATTGTTGAACATTGAGTTTTGAACAAGATTCATTTAAATAGAGTGAGTGAGAGAGAGAGAGAGAGAGAGAGAGAGAGAAAATGATGATGATTATGATGACTGATGACGATAATATAATAATGATGATGAGCGATGAGAGGAAAAAGAGAGGACAAAATATATTTTTTGCATCTTTCAGCCTTTTTATCTAATCTGAAAATGTTATTTGTACATTCGTTTCAATTAAATTTGTTTCTTTTTTTCCAATTATAACAATTATCATAATCATATTACATGTAACACGAATATACTTGTTGATTTGAATTTTCTGTTATGGTTTCATTTTCCAGGCCAATGGTATTATATTTACAATCAATTTCTTTGTAACATATTTGGTTTTAGTTTTGTGTTTCACAAACTCTGGAGTGGAGGTTAATCAGCATTTCTAATTTGTATTCGTAATTTGTATTCGCAATTTGTAAGTGTTTTGATTGTTAAGATTGTTGAACATTGAGTTTTGAACAAGATTCATTTAAATAGAGTGAGTGAGAGAGAGAGAGAGAAATATTTAAAGAGATAGAGAAAGAGCTGAATGAAAAAGAGAGGCCAAAATGTGTAGGTAAGGCAAAAAGCAAGGGAGGTGAAGGGTCAAGGTGGAGGTGGAAAGGGTTGAGACTGTGACATTTAAGAGACACAGTTTTGTTTCACAATCATAAGCAAAATTAATTTAAATTATAGTTGATCATTTGTTTTGAGTTGGACCACAATGGTAGTTTAAATTGACTGATTATTATCAATCAGTCTCACATGTAATATACACAAATATATATGTATCAAGTTTAACAATTAACGATTTCTCTTGATTTAACATAAATATATGAATATAATCAGAGTTTATCAGGTGTATTTGTATTTATGATTTAGTTACTATTATTATTAATTATTGTCTGTCTTTCTATCCCGGCAATTAATTGAGGAAAGTTGTTATGTTAATCCATCAACTGCTGTAGATTCATTGTTTTTTTTGTTTAAAACTTTGTTTGTGAGTGTAAATGTTTTGATCTCGGTGAGAAAGTGTTTCTGATCAGCAAGAAACAATCATCGTGCTGATGGCGCTTGGTAACAGTAGTGGTGTTGGTTGATCAAGTTGTGGTTGTGATTGTTGGTTGATCATTGGATTGATTTGAGGAGGAAAGAGAAGATGAAACGGAAACAAGAAAATGAAAGAATAATTGAACAAAAAGAAAGAAAAGAAAGAGAAGAAAAAAAGGAAGAGAACGAGAAAAGGTCAACCTCTTGTCTTTTTCTTTCTTGATAATTGTGATCATGAAGATGATGATTGTTGATGAATCGCTTTGATAACAACTAGTGGTTTAATTAGGGTTTCCTGTTGATTATTGCACATAGACAGGGATCAGAGAGAGAGAGAGAGAGAGAGGAAAATAATAGAAAGAGAGAAAGAAAGAAAAACCTTGAAGATAATTTAAAATTCATTTTAGCTGCAGGGTAATAACTCTTTCAATCTCAACATTTTCACTTTCTTTAAATATCAAGGTAATGGTTTTAAGAGTAATCAGAATCGTTTCTGAATTATTGTTATTAATTATTATTATTGGAAACATGTTGATGTCGGTTAATGATGATCTTGTTTGATGGAGAGGAGAAGATGATGATGACGATGAAATTACTCTTAACCCATTAAAAGTTAACTAATTTTTTTCGAATGTGTAATAAAAAATAACAATTAGTTTAACTTTTGCATCTTTTTTTTTCCTGATATTGAAACATTGCTTTTCCCATGTAATAATGATAATTATAATAGTAGTAGTTATAACAACAGCAACAACAACAACAGTGAAAGAGAGAGAGAGAGAGATGATGATGATGACAAGGACAAGAAAATGAGAGAAAATAATATACAGGGTGTGTTAAGATAGAATGATGGATAAAGGGGTGAGATAGCGATTTTCCTTTGCGCAGTTAACCAAATTTATCAATTTTCTATCTGGTTAATTTGACAGAGAGTTTTAAAAAACACCGCTAATTGTTTTGACTATTTTGATCCAACCTTATGAACCACCTTCTTTTTTTTTCTTAAAACACCCTGTAAGTTATGTTACATGGAGAGAATGAGAAAAAAAATGAAACTTTTTTTTCTTTTCGCTCACTCTCTCCGTTTTATCGTCCAACGAAAAAAAAAGAGAATCCTATGTGAGCGATGCGCAGATAGAAAATAAGGAAAAACTTTACTTTCTATTCAAATGAATGTTGAGTTGTTTTTTTCGTTGCGAATTTTGTTTTTCTATTTCGTATTCACGATAAATCAACTAATCAACTCGAGAACTTGTTGTTATTAATTTGATTTATCTCACTGAATATCATTTTGCGATCTTTTCTTTTTTCTAACTTCCTTTTTTTCTCCTCGTGACAATTGATTTACTTTAGAAGAAAAGAAGAGAGAGAGAGAGAGAGAGAGAGAGAGGGTAAGGGAGGAAAAAGGATCGACTGATTGTCAAGTAGTTTGATTGACACTTCCGATGGTAGTTTAATCACCGATGGTTGTTGAAGAGATTGTGGTTGATGAAAATGCTTGAAGATGTTGTTGTTTGGTTGGTGAAAGTATCATTGGTTATGGATTATCCTTCCCATGTCTTGAGTTGAACACTGAATTTTTTATATCTTTCCTTTGGTGGTAGATAATCAACTATCAATGGAGCTTCTTTGTTTAAGGTGTGTGTTAATTTGTTGTAAAACATATATAATTATTGTATTTATTTATGTGTGATAGGTTATCTCAGGTAGGGTAACCCTTTTGTTTTGTTTTGTTTTGTTTTTGAATCAGGGACATTTTGTTTAATAATCACCACTACCTCCTTTGGAACGATGGGATTCAGTGAATGAGCGATTTAATTCATCATCAATGTAACTCGGTGTAACTCCTACATCATCTAATAATCGTCTTAGGACCAACATTTTACCATTTAAATCACTTACAGTTCGTTTTAAATTATCGTTCTCATTCAATAGTTCGGACACTTTTTTCTCTGTATCCTTGGATCGTTGCTTAGCTTTTTCCCGGCTTTTTCGAACGGCAACATTGTTTCTTTCTCGACGTTTTTTGTACTCATCAGAACCTTTATCAAGACTTTTCTTTGAACCTTTTGAACCATCTCTATTGAAGGAAATTGAACCTCCTTCAGCAGCGATATTTAAACCATCATCTGAATTTATTAATTCACCTGAAAGACTTGACATATCGTTATCGTTACACTTTGGTGTATCCATACCCCCATTATCCAAATTATTACCGCCGCTATAGGCCAATTTATCGGATTCAGGTGAATAGGGAAAATCAAACAGAGAGAAAAGATTATTTTGAGATTGTTGATTTGATGGATTTGATTGTTGTTGATGGTGATGATGTTGATGGAGTTGTTGTTGTTGTTGTTGTTGTTGCTGCTGCTGCTGATGGTGGTGGTGAGTTTGATGATGTTGATGTTGCTGGTGATGGTTTTGATGTAAATGATGGTGATGATGATTATGATGAGGTTGTTGATACTTTTGTTCTATTATATTGTCAAAAGATTGACTCACAGTATTAGCTGATATTCCAGCCATAAATTCTTGTAAACCCAACGTGTCCATAAGATCCAAATATATAAATTTAGATACTTAATAGAATTTTAATTATGTACAGAATAAAAGAGAACAATTTGGAATAAACTTAAACACACTAATGAAAATCCAGAAAATAACACATAAGATTTAACAAATTATCAACAATCACAATCAACAGTAAACATGAAAATCTTGTTCAACTCCAAAAAAGATTAACCTTTTCCTTGGTGTCGCCACTTGTTCTCATTCTGTGAAATTCGATTTGCGCCATCTGTTGGGGACAATTGGAACTCTTTTAATCTGTTGCTTTTTGAAACTTTTCTGTTTTATCGGGTGACCGAAAATGAGTGACCATCTCAAGAATGGTAAGTCCTAGAATTAAATTTCTAACTTCATTGAAAGCGCCATCGATCAATTATGAATAAGAAATTTTTTCAAAATTTTCGAAGCTCAAATGCGACTGCCGTTTGTATTTAAAGGTCAAAATCGCGATTTCGAATCTCAAAAATCTCTTCATATCGATAACAATTAGGGAATTTTAATTCTAATTGGTTTACTTTTGATTTGATTTTCTATGTGATTGAAAGTCTTTTGTTGATAAGAGTAAACCAATTAATTAATAGAATTTGGTTCTAATTTTCTGTCCTCATTCGTTGATTTAACTCTTTTATTATTCTCGAATCTAAGTGAATCTAAATTTAATTTTTTCTTTTCTTTTTATTTTTCTTTTTAACGATTTCTCCAATTTGATCTAATTTTCTATTGTTGTTGTTTTTTCTCTCTCCCTCTTTCTCTAATTGTTACAATTTAAATTCAATCGAAAATCTGATCAACATTAAAATACGAAAAACGGGAGATGTTAAATGGTAAATACAATGAAAGAGGTAAAAAAAAGTTCGAATAAAAAAAAAGGTTGATAATTAATTGTTGACAATCGAAAATAGATAATCAAGTGGAAAGATAAAATCACCTAGAGAAAATGTTTCTTTTCTATCAACTTTTTTTTCTTCTCTCATCGAGAGAGAGAGAGAAAAAAAAACTTTTAGTTCTAAACAAAGTTCGAAACGAGAACGAAAAAAGTTCTAACTCGATTAATGAACTAATTAAAGGTCGGAACAAAATGATTTCAATGTCAATCGATACCATGCAACCTAATCTCATATGACCTGGTTAATTGTTGATGTACTTAATTACCAATTATAAATCACAATAAAAGGTAATTTAACAAAATGAAACAATTAAAAAACAAACAACCAAATCAAATAAACAATTAAAAGCTAATTAACAATCAATGAAACTAAAACTAGGAATAGAATATGAGATAAAAATAATAATGATAACATTCAATTGATTGATTTTAACGAAAACAATCAAAACAATTAACAAGAATGAGAAGTAAAAAAAAGCAATTTAGTTAATTGTAAATGGAAACAAATTAATAAATATTAAAGGAAAAGGTGACAATTGATACGAAAACAATTACGATCAAAACAAATGGAAAATCTAATCTCATTAAATTAATAAGAAAATCATTTAAAACCATTTCTCAAATGATTAACCCAAAAAGAGAGAGAAATTAAAATTAATTAACTTAATTAAATTTCTCTGTTTTTCCCTCGGTTGTTTTTCTTTCCCCTTCTCTCTTTTACCCTGTACTGTTGTCATGGAAACGCTTGAGTAAGAATAACATCCGATTATGACTCAGTCTATTTTCACAGAGACAAAGAGAGAGAGAGAAACTTTCATTTGGTAATAAAGAGAAAAATATTTCTAATTACAATTAGGAAAAAGTAATTAATTATTTGAATAGAAAAGTGTTTATTTTTCTTACCTTGTAAACAATGGCTACTTCTAATTCATTCTGATCAAATTGGTTCATCAATTTGTCTCTGTGGAAGAAAAAATTACCTCAAATTGTCAATCGTTTTTTTTGTTGTTCCTCATCAATACTGTTTGGTACTAAGCTTTTTTTGTATAAATTAAATTGTGAATTTCATCTTGTTGAGATAATTAATTTTTTCTAATGGAGAAATTAAATTCTAAATGGTAAGTAAATTGATTAAAACGAACAGAAGAAAAGAGATTAAATTGTCAACAATTTAAACAAAATACGAGAAAAATGTCTAAATTGGTGAATAATATTGAGAAAAATTCGGTTGGTTGATTTTTTGTTCTCTTCTCTTTTTTTGTTCTTCTCTCTTTTTCTCTTTCTTTCTGTTCAGATTACATAGAGACAAAGAAGAAGAAGAAAAAATTGTCCGTTGGAATCATAGATGGTAGCACAGGAGTAGAGTTTATATGGTTTTCTTCTGAGGTTTTCTTCATCCTCCATTTTCTGCGCAGCCTGAAAACAGAGTTCAGCAATTTGTTTAATTTCGGTTATTAATGAAAATATCAACAAGTATTATCATGAATAATAGTGATATCGGTGATTGTGATGATCTCAGTGACGATGATTCTAATTTTGATGACAATGATCTTTTATCATCATCCTGCCAAGATGAAGTCACAGCCCAACTCGCTGCAGCAGGTTAGTGTTTTTCTACTTGTTTTTTTCCTCTCTCACTCATGTTTCACTCTCTCACTAATGAGTTTCACTCTATCACAGGCCCAATCGGAGTTGCTGCAGCTGCCGCCATTGCTACCGCCAAGAAAAGAAAGAGACCTCACTCTTTTGAGACAAATCCTTCGATAAGAAAACGACAACAAACAAGATTATCGAGGTTTGTTTGACTTTCAAGCTCATGCGTGTATTGATTCTCTGATTCTGATTGTGTTTTTCACTGCTTTTTCCCTACTAATCATTTCTCTTACCGCTCTTTTCTCAGAAAATTGAAAGCAACGATCGATGAGTACACTACACGTGTTGGTCAACAAGCAGTGGTTTTGATAGTCACACCAGGAAAACCTCAAAATAATTACAAAGTATTTGGTGCTAGACCATTAGAAAATGTGGTTCGAAATTGTAGGAATATTATAATGCAAGAGCTTGAATCAGCTTTGGCTCAACAAGCACCACCTCAAGTCAAAGAAGATCCTTCTCGTCATGAATTACCCCCTCTAGTCGTAGATGGTATTCCAACTCCAGTGGAAAAAATGACTCAAGCACAACTAAGAGCTTTTATACCTCTAATGTTGAAATATTCCACCGGACGCGGTAAACCTGGTTGGGGAAAAGAATCCACCAGACCTGTATGGTGGCCTAAAGATCTTCCTTGGGCAAACGTTAGAAGTGATGCTCGCAGTGACGAAGAGAAGCAAAAGGTACTAGTATCCATTCCATAATTTTTCTTCTATTTCCTGGTTTTACTATTCAATATTTCACACAACTCAACTTAACTTCTCTTCTTGTCTAATTGAAAATTTCTAGGTTTCATGGACTCATGCTCTCCGACAAATTGTGATAAATTGTTATAAGTACCATAATCGCGAGGACATGCTTCCGGTATTTAGTGAAGATGACGATAAAAAACAAGAATCATCCAAAGAGAAGGTGAAGCCACGTACTCACACAAGCATCAGCGTAACAGCAGTTCCAGCAGTGCCAGGGAGTTCTAACATCACCAGTCTACCTACTCTATCAGCAGACTCTGCGACTGACACTTTAGCGGTAGCAGCACAAAGTGTCAATGTATGTTGCAATCTTTCCTATCGAAATCGATTAGACAAAATTAGTTCTCATCCAATTTCTCATTATTCAATAACCTTATCATTTTCCTTTTACAATTACCAAGTTCATCTTTTTTATTTGATATAATTTTTATTCCTGATTTGGCATGAATTCTTTTTCATTTGTTTTTCTGTGAACAAAAAAATTACTTCATCACCAATTAACCACACAATCAATTGATCATCACTAAGATGATATGAGATGCGGCTTAAATTTCCCAAAATTTAAAAACCAAACACCTAAGTAGAATTATTAATTTTTGATTTCTCTTTAATTTTGTTTTAACTTTTCCTATTGTTTGCCTTAATTTATTTACCTTCTCTGTCCAATATGTTGATGCTTGTGACGTTTTTTTAATTTTATTATTTTTTAATCAATATTTAACTTTCTGTGAATGAAATTTTCATTCACACCTTGTGTCAAGTTAATCTTAATCTTAATCAACTTTTAACTAATTCTTATTATTTTATTTTCTCCACAATTAATTTGCTTAAATTAATTAGATGCAGTATCAACAGGTACATTATGCTCCGACCATGGTTCAGGCCATTAACAATCCAGACGGAACTGTTTCACTCATTCAAATGGACCCTAATAGTGCTGCTGTAGTTACTCTTCCAGATGGAACTCAAGCTCAAGTTCGAGCTGTCAGTGCAGTTAGAGTGAGTTTTTAGATATTAGCTTCATTAAATTCAATCTGATTTCTTTTAAGTTTCATCTCTTTTTTTTACATATTAAATAACAAATACATATTTGTGTTTTTTCATTTATATTTATTTGTCATTTTTTCTATTATTATTTATTTTTCACATCAATATATTTCATATTAATGATTCCGCTTTATTAAAATTCACATTTTCATATTTCACCTTCTAGATACAAGGCTCGGGAGCTGAAGCAAATCAAGCTGTCCAAACATTAGCTGAACTATCTAGTGGTCAAGATGGTGATAGAGTTACTCAAATTGGTACTGTAAGTGTGGATTTAAGTGGCGATGGAACAGGTCAAACTGTTGCCACTTTAGCCGAAGCAACTATTAGTCCTGATGGTCAAATTATACTTACAGGGGAAGATGGAACTCAAAGTAGTAAGTATTTTTCTTTTACTCTCTCTCTCTCTCTCTCTCTCTCTCTCTCTCTCTCTCTCTCACCAAGAGATGAATTTTTTTATTCTATTCTTTAAATCAATATTCAAATCGTTCTCTTATTTTTACTATTTTTAGCCTTTCCCGTTTCCGGTATGGTAACCATACCTGTATCGATGTACCAAACTGTGGTCACCAATATTGGAAAGTAAGTTAATATTTTTCTTTTGCCTCTCATTTGATTAATTAATCAATTTCCTGGTTAGTAATTAGTTATTAGAAAAGTACATTTTAGATCTTTATTATTCAGCTTTCTTGCTTGAATCTTTTTCTTTTCCAATCAAAATAATGTTACATCTTCTTCATGATCTTATTAAGCTTTATTGTGAACATTTGGTATAGCTTTGTATACATATCTATGTTTGTCTATGTTTATGTAAGTTTAAAATCCAAGAATAACTTGAATAAGATTACCCAAATATAGTTAGATTCTTGTTAGTTAACTAAGTTGGACCGGAAATCTTAGCCAAGTCATAATTAAGATGTAAATTAAATTGTTACAACTTTGTCATAGTCACTTTTTTTCTACTACATTTTTCTATTCATCTTTTCCCCCTAAAAATTATCAATCAGTTATTTGAAAAATTATTTCTTTCTTTATATTATTGAGCCTTTTTAATTTAGAATAATTAACTTTTCTTCTTAATCTAGGGCACAAAAAGCTTCCCAAGCAACTTAGAGAAAAGTATTTAACAAAAGTAAAATGTCCACCTTGTTTAATTTGTGATTGATATTAATCTGGTTTCGAGGCTTGTTTAAATTATTGAATCACAATAATCACACTTCGAGCTTTAGTTAATCAATTTATTTCATACACTATACATTTTTCATCATTATTGGAATGGATCATTTATTTCTCGATCAAGAAGCTAAATTGTTTACGTTAGAATAAGGTGAGACAGTGTTAGTTACTCAGCTAATTAACAACACACATAAAAACCTAATTAGGTTAAATTTGCATTGTATCTTTTCATTACCTTCATTATTCACAATCTCTCTTTCTTTCTCATATATACAATCTGTATTAATTGTAAATAACAATAAATTTGCATGATTATGTATTAACAGCACATGAAAAATATATTATATTGATTTACTAGATTTGAGAGAAACAAAACAAAACAAAAAACTATCAATCACATTGTAAATTAATTGTACTACTCATTTTTCCGCTACGTTTTAGTTTGACTGATTTACACCTATGCTCAAATGTTTGATAACTTGATTAACTGTAACCATTAGGAAGCATTTGGAAAGGCAGGGAAAAGCCCGAACGATCAAAATTCATGTTCACTAATCGTTCGCTTCCTAACAATTTAACAGAATTAATGTTGCTTATTTTCATTTTGTTCTTTCATCGTTTAATCTATCGATTAATCTATTGTTTCACTATTTTGATGATTAATTACTACTCTACCAATCTAATTATAGCCTTAATGAAGGAATACCTGTGACAATGAGTGCCATAACTGCTACTGAGTCAGCTTCAAGTACAACGGGAGGAATGGCAGAGGAACAAGTCAATGATGCCAGCACAACGACCAATACCGAAATGGAAGATGTTAAAACTGTTCTCAATGGTACTCAGACATCAGTCACAAATTCGGAGGAAGAAAGTTGAATCTAATTTAAGAGGATATGTCAAAAAGAAACAAATTTCTGATATACTAATATTATTATTATACCTTAACCAATCTTCTGGCAAGCCAACTTGTTTTTTAACTAACAAATACCTACAACCTTACAAATCAACAAAAAGATGAAACAAACACTGAACCTGCAAATACCAAACACACAACACCACATATATACACACACACACACCAATCATATATAAGAAATCCAATCGAACCCTTTGTCTATCTTTCTCTCTCTCTCACACACAAATCCTGCTTCAGATCTCCATTTGCATGTGTATCATTTATTCATTGATAACCCTCTCCCTTTCTTAGAATGTATTTCTTTGATAACTCCTTCCATTTCCTTAATCGACAGATAGTAGCCACTTCTCTTTCTCCTTGTCTTCTTCACTTTTCCTAATGCATCTTTTGTCTTTTCCCTCCATCTTTCGCATCATCATCATCATCATCATCACCATCTTCTCTAAAGATCTCTAAAAATGCAATCTTTTCTCATCTAACCTCTTTTTAACACTTTGCAAGGAGGGAAGAGAGAAGAAAATCCCAGTCACACAAAGTTTTCTCTTATTTTGATCGAGATTTATTATAAAATCCAAAATCAAACACTTGGCTTGTCCAGAGAATTATCTTCATTCAATCACAATCATCTCCCGATTTAGAAGCCATCCCTGTCCTGGTGGTTAGCTTTGCATCGAATTTGACATTTCATCGGTTGACCATCGTTCTCAATGTTTTTTTTCTTCTATGTCGAAAAAAACTTGAGACAAATTCGATAATTTTTTTCGCTCTTCCTCCTCTTTAACTGCTTTCAATCCAAAGAAGATCTTTTTTGCTTATTTACTTGAGTTCTCTCTCTCTCTCTCTTTCTTCCTTTCTCTAGACACTAGCCAATATAAATCGTCTTTTAAATATTCACTTAAATCAAATTCGTGGATATAAGACGTTAGACACAGATCTCTTCCTTTTGCCTGTTTTTTTTCTAATTTCACCTTAATTTGTATGTAAAACTCTCACTGATTTTCCTCCCTCACATCTTCTTGTTTCTAATCTTTCTCTCTTTTTTCTCTTCTTCTTTCTTCAAATCTTCTTTATCCTGAAAAGATTACTGAAAAAAAGCAAGGCAAAAGACTAATGAGGAGACCTTGTTTCTTATGACATTTATGTAATTATTTTGATCAATTCATTTACATCTTGTATATTTACTCATTTTGATTTCCACCAAGACACTCGAAAGTGTTGATCACAAACCTTTTTTTTCTCCTTTTTCTCTCTCGTTCTTTTTTGTCATTGTATTGTTTTCGTTTTTCTCCTTAATTAGATTTCTGTTAATGCCAAATCAACGCTAACATCATCATCCACCAATCAACCATCAACATCTTCGCCACCGCTTCAGCTTTGGCTCTTTCGAATCTTTCGCCAACTCTTCTTCTCTCTTCCCTTTATTTGTCATCCTTCCCTTTACTCTTCTCATCCTCATTATCCAAAAATCGCATCACAATTCATATTTCATCACCTTTCTCTCTCTCTCTCTCATTCCTTTTCTTCCCTCTCCCTCTCTCTCTCTCTCCCATAACAAATCAATTGTACGATCATCATCCCATGTAAATTATTCAGACAAAGTGTAATTTTCTTGATTAACATTTTGTTCATCCAGTGCATCAAGGAATAAGAAATTGGTTACAATTAATTATAATTAATTTAAAATTGTGTGTGTGTTAACCAATTCAATTGAATGAAAAACAAAACAAATCCAAAAATCTCAAGGTTATCACAAGAACAACAGTTACAATTAAAATTAATTGTAACCCCATCGATTATCATTACCATAAAAATCACCGTAAACAAAATCATCAACAATTTAAATAAATCATTGGTATACAAACATCAATACTAATCATTATAAAATCGAGACGATCAATTTAGGACCATCAAATCTTCATGCAAACAATTTGTTAATTGGAAAAAAAGAAAGAAAAAGATTTTCAATTTTTTGCTTTTATATTAAGTGTTTTGGAAACAATTAATTGCAAATGAATCTCATCTAATCAAATCAACTAATTAGTTGATTATTTTTCTTTTCTTAATCAACCTTTTACCTCTTGTAATTGTTTTCCAGTTTCCACTTTTAATTATCATCTCTCATCAACACGATCAACTGATTCAATGAAATTGCCTAATTACAATTGATTAATTGGCTGGAACAATCTAAATCATTTCGATTGACTTGACAAACCTGAAAGTTTAATCTAATTAACACAAATCATTGAAAACAATTAACAGTCATTAACAACAGTCAACTTACATTTAATTTAATTAATTCTCAACAAAAGAAATCGTCTTAATCACTTAATGAGTGATGTAAATCATTTCTACTCTCTCTCTCTCTCTCTGTCTTTAATTCTTATAAATTAATATCAACCAAATGATTAAAAATCAAGTTAATTATAATTGGTGATATTATTTCATTTCCATTGCAAAAAAAAAACCAAGCAATTAAGTGAAAATTTAGATTCGGATAAAAAGTAACTAATGAAACAATTGATTAGTTAATCATTTTGAAAATAATCGTTTTCGATAGTTAATTAAAATTGATTGATATTCGAAAAATATTGATTAGCTTACGATTCGCGGCTTTTTAGGAAAATGATCCAATTTAATTGATTAAACAATTAATTCAACAATCTAAGATTATTTGACTCTTATCGGTATAATGGGTACATATTAGTCCACATTTAACGATGAAATGAAAGTTATTATTAGCGGAAGACAGGGCTGATTAGCTAACATTACATTAATTGTGCGATAGTTTGATTGTCTCAGGCCCTCCGGACCTTCCTTTGTCCATAATGACCCTTAACCTAACCTAATTTAAACAAACACAATTGATTGAGAAATTAAGTTAATTTCCATATGTAGCTGTAATTGTAAGCCGAAAAAAGTCAGCTGAAAGTCCTTGAGCCTTACCGACTAATCTAATTTTTAATTAATTTTTATCATCAACCGATCATTAAACATTTCGCTCTTTAGATAAAAGCGGGCAACTGGAAGATGATAAAAATAATGTTCATGGAAAAGACTTGAAATCCAGATTAATTTCCAAAACAATTAACAAGTTAAATCATTAAACTGATCAAGTTTTCTGAAAATCTTCATTACGATTTTTTGGAAAAACAAATTTTACGCTAGCGAAAATTGTAGGAAAATAATATATAACATTGTGATACTAATCGATTCATCAAAAAAATTCAAGAGAAAAGAGTTAATCTAACCTAAAACAGAAGAAATTAAATTAAATGAGAAAAAAAAGTTGAAATCAACTTTTAATCTTGGTAATTAGCAAGATTAATTTTTGATGGACACTTGAGCTAAAAATCTTGAATCAGATTGAGCTAATTTCACTTGAAACAATAATTAAATCTCGACTCAATTGATTTCGGTTGGTGAAATGCAAAATTTTTGATTGAGAGTTTTGGAAATCAAATTTTAACTTTAATTGGTGAAACAGTTAAGTTGAACTCAGCTGATTTGGTCTCAGAGTTAAGCTTAATCTCGGTTGGTGAATATGGGCCTAAATCAATAATTAGAACCATTGATTTGTGCATTTTCTTGTTGTGTCAATTGCTGAGAGCATTAGATTGATAATTTTATTTTCGCATCAATAACAATTAATCAATTGTGGATAAAGAATGTAATTATTTTGGGACAATTTAAATGTTCAAATGAAGTTGAAAGGTTAACAATAATTCAATCAAATAATAAGAGTCCTTAATTCACATGGATGAGATGATGATGATTAGCTAATTGTTTGTGATTAAATGTTGAAAATGGCACAGAAGATGAGAGAGAAAGAGAGAGGGAGGGAGAATTAGGTATTTATATAAAGTGGGAGCAAAAGAATAAGTGAAAACGATAATGATACTCTTCCTGGTGAGAGATAAAAAGATGATTAAGGTGATGAAAACCATGGGAATGATTCCAATTTCAATTGTTGTTAATTAATCTAATCACTGTTCACTTGGATTAGTGCATTTATCGTTCGCTCCTTGTTTCCATTTTGATCTTCCAAAATGTTTCTTATAACTTCACGATCAACATTCGGGAACATTTCACAAATTTGATCAACTTCATCCTCAGTAATCATCACCTGATTGGAAAGTTGTTGTTGTTGTTGTAATTGTTGATGGGGATGATGTTGTGGATGAACTGGTTGTCCAATAATTTGTCCTTGTTGTGGTTGATTGTAATTGACAAACGCAATCCTTGGTTGCTGGGTGATCATTAATCGGGAAATTGGCTGAAACAAAATTAGAATTAAAAATTAGTCATTGGTAACAATTAGAGTGGAAAATCTATTCCTTCGACTTAATCACTTACTGCAAATGAGAGAATCATACAAATTGTTCCTTCTTTACCATCACCTTGTTTACCATCTAAAGGAATCCAATGTTCAACAGTTTCACCGTTGAATATTTGTGATGGAATTTTGTATTCAGCCCATGCGATTTTCTCGTCCATGGTGAAAGCACATTCATCATACAGTTCGACATGTATCGTATCAACACCATTCGGCAATGAGCTAGAAAAACGTTACGAATAAGGAGAAAAAAGAAATTAGAATAGAAAAGAAAAAGGTAAATTACCTTGAATAAAGAAACATATGTAATCACTTTTATATAGAATAGAAAATGAGTAAAAAAAAGAATAGAATTTTTTCTTTTCTTTTCTTTTCTTACCATTGAAAGATTCGATTCCATCTTGGATTCTTGGCACCGTTGTAACAGGTTCGAGTTTCGTAGATCGCATGGCCTAACCTTAACCGGACATAAGGGTCCATTCGGGTGACACCATAATTTTTGACCAGTTTCGCTTCAACAACTGTGATCACAAGTTTACCTTTAATATTATCGGTGAATCCATTGTAATTAGTGTATTGTTGTTGTAAAGCGATTGCTGCCTCTTGGTCCACATTAATTTGTCTCTCTGGTCCACCAATGTTTTCGAGGTCACTTTCTAAACGGAGGAAATCGTTTGGAAGACTGAGCATCACTCGATCACGATGAAATCTACGCGGTTGTTGTTGGGATTCACCATTTTCCCCATGATAAGATTCACTTCTTATGGACATTGTTACTCATACAACTCAAGAAATATAACAAAACTGGTAAAATGTTGCAGTTGTTAAGTGAATTAATCACCAAGGATCAGAGAAATGTTGAAACAGGTTATTAACAAAAATGGAGCAATTGAATTAGAAAGAAAAATAATTAGAAACAAAAAGAAACAATCAAAACATGTTGGTTGTTGATTCCAAAAATTGAATCTGAGTTGTTGTTGTTACTCATGAGAAGGGAAAATGAATCAACCAATTGATTCACTCATGTCAAGATAAATACTCACAATGAATTGAATGATGTCAGAATTTATCGTCTCAGGCTCACGGGGGTTTTGTTTAGGGAAACAATGGTTAAAGAGAATCGATTGGTTATGAAAGAAATCGTTTGACAATCAGTTAATTATCAAAAACGAATCAACGAAAAGAGCATCACCTTATCGGTGGAAAAACATTGTCGCAATTTTTTTTTCTTCTTCAACGATTAACTTGATTGTTATCGATTTTCCAATGAAAATCAGCGAGTGATTATGTGAATTTGTGTCTTTTTATTTATTCTGTTGTGTATCAATTGGAGATTTTCAATATAAATGGTTAAGTTGCAATTAAGGTTTCGGTGGAGGTAAAGATAATACGTTCAGTGGGGAAATCGAGCATTTTGATTTGGAAATTATTACAACGGAGAATTGGGAAGAAATTAAATGAATTAAAATTGATTAGAAAATTTATGTATATAGTAGATAGACTGGAATATGATTTTTTTTTATAAAGTAATCATCCTAATTGGTTCATCCAGATGATCGGACAAAGCGGTTACTTTGGCCTTTAAGGTACCTAAGGGGACGAAGCTTTTAGCGTGCATACAAAGTAAAACATTGGCCACTCGTTTAACGATTACATTGCCGTCCTGTTTGATAGAGAGAAAAGAATTTAGAAATTTAACAATTAACCCAATAGGTTTAAACAAAAACACACCTCACACTGAAGTAAAAGACAATTTAAATCATCTTCACTCGCTGCCAGTTTACCATATTTCTCATATGAAATCCAAATACTGGAGGCAATTGCTGCTGTCATCCGAGCATCAGTGTCACCATACCCTGAATAAGCAAGAAGACTACCCTCACGATTCAACAATCTAGTTAATAGAGAAAGAAAAACAATTTAGTTTTACATTAGATTATAATCAATTGTTAAAATTGAAAGACAAACAAAGATAAAAAAAAAACAACTTACAATGTACATTGAACTCCTCCGGTATTTGCTTGTCCTAAAATACTACTCAAAGTTTTCGGCTTTAACATGATGACAAACGATAATTAAAAAGGCACAATTAATAAACAAAAGAGAAAACTAATTAAGAAGATTGAAGGAAAATGTGTAAACAATTAAATGGATTAAATTGGAAAAATTTTCTCTCAAAAAACAAAACAGAAAATTTTTTTCGATACTATCGAGTCGATGGTATCGAATTATGTTCAACTTGTGTTTACAATTTAGTTAATTTAATTTTATTTGATAAACTTTGATTAGAGAGAGAAAAAATTGACTAAGATTCTTGTTCGGCTTCCATTTCCTTCGCCGTTGTACCAAACATGTCGGCACCGGTCTGAAGATGTTTTATTCTCGCGGCTTCACTTTGTTCGGGTGAATGAGTTAATTGGACATTTTCTCCATTCATATAAGCTTCAATAATTGAATTTCCATAAGAAACTTTGAACAAATCTTCGGCGGTGAAAGCGCTGTTATTGATGGTCGGTGTTTTGTACGAAACGTACGGTTTTAAATTGAAATTATCTAAATTGGGAACAACTAATTCTGGTTCCATCTCTTTAACATAAACAAACTTCCTTTTGAACCAATAACCAGGCCAACGGATGCCCAATGGATCACGAGAGATCGGGTAATTGTAAAAATCCTCAAATAAATGTTTTGGTATCTTCTTTGGCTCATAAACATTGCGATAATTGGGCACTGGACAATTAAATGAATAACAAAACAATAGAAGGAAAAAAATTAGATAAGGTCAATAGAAGATCAAAAAAAAAGGTAAACAATGTGAACTACTTACAGCTGAACTTTTTTAAATTTTTCGTTGCATGATGGACAGTTGAAGAATGAAATTTTCTTTTCAATAAAAGGGACATTATCTCACCGAAATCAATTTAATCACGAATCAAATGAATTTCAGAACAAAATTAAATCAAAACAAATAAAATCTCATGTGTTGAATTGAGAGAAACTCTAAAGTGCTGCCATCTGGTTTGCAAAATTTTCTCTTCTTTTTTCTTCTTGAATTCGTAAGTTCAATAAGTCGGAATATCATGAGGAAATTAATATTTTCACGAGGAAAACAATTAGGAAACATTGGACCAGAGAGACAAATTAATGTTGACCAAGAGCAGCAATCGACTTCTACACTAATTATTACAATCTATTCACTGATAATCTTAACCGTTTCTATTTTTATCTGTCAAAATCCATGAGAATTAAAATTTTTCGTGATTAATGAATTACCTATGATCAGGTTGAAAAGAATCGTGATTATGATTGTAAATTAAGTGAAATTACGATTGAGAATAAGCATCATCATGATTGTTGCGTTTTCCAAGAGATACTAACAATTAGAAGATAAATTGTTATAAGATTAATACTGATCGTTAATTGTTTTTAAACTTATTTATAAAGTGGTTTACTACGATTAGCTTACAATCAATAAATTTCTATTAGTTAATGGTGATATATGGCCGATGGTAAATGAAGCTTCCGGTCTTGAAATGCGATTAATTAGATCACAAACCTATGAGATTGTAAATTAGTCTCTGAATTAATATGAATAATTAACTAACCTTTAGATGTGTTAATAGATCTCCTTGTCTATCAAGCAAAATCCTTCTTAAATTAGTACAATTAGAAACCATCTGAATATAATAATCACAAGAAACAATACAATTAATTGGAGAACTGATCAACTAATCAACTCACCTTTTTCCATAAATTACCAATAACAATAGCAGAAGCAATTAAACCGATGAAACAACTTGTTGAAATAAAGAAAACGAAAGCGTCAAGAAATGACCGATCAACATGGACAATGAAGCAAGAAAAGTAACCAAAGTCCGAATTGACCGAGAGACAAGTGTAAGTGACCATTAACCAGATTGAATATGAATTGTTGACAGATTCAATTTGATTATGATAAGTGATGATTAACTTAATCACTGGATAATAAACATCATCATAAGAATGAGTAACAACTGATGACGATAAGAAACTGAATGGACTTGATATTATTTGGATTCTCTCGTCTAGAATTTTAGTTTTTTCTTTACTATTTTTATCCAATGATAATCGATTAATGGTCATTAAAGATGATTGACCATAATACTGGACATAAGAATCTAAACAATTTGAAACGTAATCACATCGGTAATAAAAGTAAGCCAAGGAAAGGGTTGTTGTAGCTGCCATGATGCTCAGCGAAGAGGCTGAAAAAATCAATCCAATGGTGAAAATGAATGTCCAACAGGAAGTGACCATCAAGCCGAACCATGACCTTGGCAAGGTTGACGAATACCAAAGAAACAATGAAACAGGTAAAGGTGAGACGATAAAGATGATGGAAATTCTTGACCAAAAGTTGGCCAGAAAGTGACCAACGAACCGATACTTTGAACAAAGTTGATTCGATAACGATAATGATTTACTTGTGAATCCATGTTGATAAATTGATGGATACAACGAGTGGAACCATAAATTACCTTGATTGTCAAGAGAAATGTATAATTGTCTCAGAATTGCGGCCGAGAAAAGGTAAATTGTGAAATAGGTATAAATGGTTAGTCTATTTGGATGATCGTGAAAAAAATCACCCAAATTAATGAGAACCGAATCAGAAAAAGGAAAACACAGAATTAAACATCTAATTGTGTTGATTAACATAATCACCATGATGGTAAATTGTTTCACTCTCATTCCATGATCACAATTAACATGATCACGGGAGTTGAAAGGTTTAATCAATTGGAAACTGTTGAAACCATTGGAAAGAAGAGCAAAGTTAATTGCTAATTGTTCAACAAATTTGATTGCATTTACTGCCTTGTGATCAGTTTGTGACAATTGAAAAGTTAATTTCTTAACCATTTTCAATTTAAATTGTTATTACTTTAATTTCAAAATGAAAGTAAAACTAATCTGATAATCTAATCAAATTTTCATGATCATTTGTGAGTTTTTGTTTTGTTTTATTTATCCAATTGTATTAATCGTTGTAATATATTTATACATAATTTGAATTGATTAGTTAATGATAATTAAATCTCATGAGAGGATTAAATTAAACAATAAAACCAATCAATTTTACCTTTAATCGGCTTTTTGTAAATTACAATTAACAACAAACGTTAAGCTACAATTACGTTGATCATAAAAGTTTATCTCTCTATTTGTTGTTGATATTACTTTGATTAAACAATATTTTTCTTGATTGTTTGATGATCATTATGCTTACATTGTAACAATTAACATTAACATTGGTTTTACATTGATCATGAAATAAATTAAAGTTAGAAAATGAATTGAAAAACAAAAGGAGATACAGTTAACAATTTATATTTAGATTATTGTGATTATTTTCATCAGAAATCATTGTAACGATCAATTAATCAAATGGTTGATTGTTATCCTCCAATATTAATCAATCAATAATTCAGTTGTATTGGTGTGTTGGTGTAAGAGGAACAGTTTTTTTTTCTCGATAGTAATAATTATCTTCCTTGTTTCTTGTTTTTCTTTCTTTCTTTTGATTTGATTGTTGATTAATATCTTTCTCTTTTTCCATTAACTTTGCCAATAACATTCAGAAGCTTCGTCCATTTCAAGGAGATACAATTTCTTGGTATTTTTGGAAACTTGTTCAATCTTTTCCAGTGTCTCTTTCTCATATTCTTCAAGGGATAACCTTGGTTTACTATGGAAGGGAAATTCTGATTCTGACTGTTCCTCATCGTCCGAATTGTATTCATCTCGTGACATGTAACCATTATCATCTGTTTGACAGCCACTGTCTCGACAAATTGGATTACTTGATGATGAACATGATGATGATGATGAAGCTTCATGTTCCCTTCCCTCTGTTGAAATGGAACCATCATTATCCGAAGAGTAATAAACTTTTTCCTGATCAGATGAACTTGAATTTGTATCATCATTCATCTCATCATCATTTATCGGTGAACTTATTGAACCTTCACCTGAACAGGTATTCTCAGCAATTGGATTGACCTTTAATTGTCCAAATGAACTGAAGAACGGGTTACTTTTACTACTATTAACCTGAGAAAAGGGTTCACGAAAAGGTGTTGGTGGATCTTCAAGTAATAACGGATGTTTGGTTCGCTCAATGATTATCGCTGTTTCCGGAGTTAATGGTGGAGGTGGAAAAGCGGTTAAATCAATCATATCTGATCCCAGGTAGATCGTTGTATCAGCTGAAGGTAATTCAAATTCATCTCGATTCTCATGAGATCGTAACTTTCTTAAAGTTACCATTAGTCCGTTATTTGGCTCCATTAGATTGGGAATAACATCCGGAGTACTCAGGCCGAAACTTGAACCTGATCGGCTTCTCATTCCCGGTGTGGGTATTGATACTTTTAGATTTGCTTTGCTTTTAAATGATGTTGATTTACCATCTAAATTAAAAGTATCCCGATCACTTTCAGTGCTCTCATTAACTAAATTGTTGGTGTTCATTTGTGAAGGTGATGATAATAAATTTGATTCACTTGGTACATTAATCGTCTCATCATTACCACCTACAATATTTAAATTAAAAGAAAGAAAAAGATTTGGAAAAACAATTAACAAATAATAATAATCAACGTGAACAAATCAATTAACATCAATCATCATTAACTAATCAACATGTTTATCAAGTATTATAAACAAACAAACAAAAAAGGATAAAGTGAAAGTTAAATTAGTGAATTAAACTGTTTCATTATTATAATGTGATTAGAAGGTCATTAGCAATTAATTGATTATTATTGTAAATTTTGCTTCAAGCTAAATTACAATTACCAATATATATGTTATTAATAAACTACAAAACAATTTATGTGATCAAGATTAATAATAGTTAGAGGATCAAAATTTTAACACTGTTTGATTGTTATAAACTTAATAATGATCGTTTAACTTGATTAGCTGATTGTTGATACTAATGATAAACACGCTAATCACTTGTAATTCATTTACAAGTAGCAGTTTAATTGTTTGACGATGGAAAGTATAATTTAACCATGTACAATTAATGATTAACGATCATTATATTTGGATTGATTGATTAACTTTTGTTATATTGATTAAAAGACAAATATTATTATAATTTCAATAATTACCTTGTTTATTATTGTGACCATTTCCATGGCCAATTTGATGGAGTAGCTCAAATGAATCAGCGGCTTTTAATTTGTTGAAGCAATTAGTTGATTCTAATGATAATGATTCCTCTGGATCTTCATCGTCATCCTCATAATCATCAAAATCTTTCTTAATTGAAATACTACTGTTACGAGAACGATAACCGGAAGAGGATGAAGCATCGTCGCTACTTGTTGTTGATATTCCGGAAAGGGAACCGCGTTTATCGTCTGAGGTAATTGTTGAAGACGAAGATGAACAACCAGATTCAGATGAACCACGACGATAATCAGCACCACTAATCACAGTTAATCCATCGGTTTTAGATGAGATTCGAAATTTATTCCGTTTAATTGTTTTACTTGAGAAAAGATCAGGATCATAAGGCGGTGGCCCATTCGAGAAATTGACCAACATTGTCTCACCTCCATTCTGATCGGGAGGATAATTCCAGAAAGAAACTTCAACAACATGGTCCTCATGATAATACGGAGCTAGAAAAATGGACGAAAATCAATTAAAACGAAAAAAAAAGATCAAAAATAGAAAAGAAATCAAACCGAACCGATTGGTCTGAGAAAAGAAAATGAAAACAATGTTTACATTTAAAAGAAAGAGAAAGAAAGAGTTAAGAAAATGAGTTGATTTCTTTTTCTTTGTTTACATTTTTTTCTTTGTCAATTTTTAATTAATTCAATTGGTTTTTTCTCTTTTCTTTTAACGGTTAATTTTTTTTTCTTTTTCTATTCTAAGTTGTTGTTGAATGAATTTTACGCTTCTATTGTTAATTGTTAAGTGAATAGAGAAAAGACTTTGTGAATTTACCTGAATCGCTCCACCAAGAATTTCCAACTTCCCATATAACTTTAATCTCTTTGTAATCTGGATTATCCATTTGTGCTAATCTATGGTAACCTCTTAAGCACATAACAAACTCTTCAACGTCCATTTCATCAAAAATGAAAGATAATTGATGTCCACTTGGTGATCCAGCATTCGATTCATTTGAGATTATATTTGATTCGGTTGGTGAAAGTGAATTTGATTCTCGCAGGGAAACATCAACTCTAAATCCTAATTCCTCATCTCTTGTTACTCTAATCCTGTTTACTTCATCAAAAGATGCCAGAGTTATCGGTGCTGATTGTCTTAGGACACCTCGATTTAGTTGGGCGATTCCGAATTTTGGACTGATTAGGATAACTGCTCCACATGAGGAATCTTTTGAATTGAGTGGGAAATTTTTGGCTCCAAAACCAGGGAGGCCACTGATTATCTCCAAGAAAGCGGACTTACATTGTAACGGAGTGTAACCCTTGCCCAGGTCACTTTGGGTTTGCTTGATAAAATGGGACAATAGTTTGTACATCTCTTTGCGTTTCATTGATTCAAGGGTGGAAAGAGGTACAAAGTGCTCAATCCATATGATTTGTCAATCTTTTTCAGGTCAATTTTACCTTGACGACCAATTGATCCGGTGGTCAGTGAATGTTGAAGTAAAGCCAATGCTGCGAGGGTCAATGTTGTATCGTAATTAAGTTGAGTTGAATATCTTTCCTGAACAAAATCGTTACAACTTTGAGCGTAAAGATAATCAAAGCTTCCTGAGTCGCGATTCAAAAGGCTGGTTAAATCTTGACTTACAAATGACATTCTCAAGACACATCGTAGGTTATGAATTCCCGGACGAGAGGCGATTTTGTATAAAGTATCTTCTGGACTGAGAATTGTTAATTTAGATATACCATGGGAACGAATGTGTTCCGTACATAAAGTATAATGTTCCGGCTGACGAATGGCCAATTTGTTAAGCAACGATTCCAATACTTGAGCTACAGTGGTTGAGGTGTTATACTTGAATGTTTTGGTTTGATTGTTTTCGAGATAAACTTTAAGGACATTGTGAATTATGGACGACGGGGAATCACACGGAGAGGAAAAGAAAGGATTTCCATCGAGTGCTAATCGTTCAGAGAAACGGACTCGAAGAGTATAACCCAAAGCAAGACGAGCTTTTTTAGCTGATTCAGTTAAAAGAGCTGAACGACGAGAGGAACCACAATTAAGTGTCGAGGGTTGACAAACGGTTAGGGTAACGGTCGATTCACAGCACTTTACCCGGCGGATTATTTCCTCTCTTGGTGCATCAACCATATCAACACCATTAACTTTGAGAATCTGATCACCAGCGAGTAATTTACCCTCTGAAGGTCCATCTTCTTTGACGAACCGGACAATCACGGGCTTCTCTGAACCCGCTACAAAGCCAAATCCAAGCTCTGGATCACGGGTTAAAGTGATCTCTCTTGGTACTGGAATCAGCGTATCGGTGTTGATCACTTTTCGCGGATCTTCATAAGTTGTCGTTGAGTTTAAATGATTAATGAAATACGATTTACCTTCCGAATCGAAGGCAACTTCCCAACCATAGGGAAGACAAAGGTCACTATTTCCGTAGCTACAACATTCCTCCCAAAAAGCCGCTGGTGGTAACCAAGAGGTTCGTTTGGTTCGATTGTTAAGATAAAAAGCTCGACCCTCTTCATTAAGTGTCACTCGAATGTGTTTAGGTAAACGTTTATTAATCTGTACTATCCACTGATTCTCAACACTGTTACTTAAATCATCATCAAGAACATCACAACTTCCAATGATTGAGGGTTTACGATAATGTCCATAAGGTGATGGAGATGGAGACAATGAAGATGAAGGTGAGGTAGAATCAGAGACCGATGATGAAGATGAAGATGACGATGGACGGAACATAAATTTCATCAATAAACTATTATTACTATTTGATGAAGAGGATGAAGATGAGGATGAACCATGATAACTACTCAAAATTGCCGTTTTCATGATTAAGTTGGACAAATTTTTTCACAAATATTTAATTAGTATCACTTTAACACTTTGAACAGTAATTAAAAGCACGATCACAATCAGATTATCAGATTATATGGAATTCCAGTTGATACCTAAATGATAAATCGTAAGTAAAGTTAAATTAACATGAGATCAGGTAAATGGGAGAGCGAGAGAGAGAATTAAATTTAGATCATCGAAAGAGAGAGAGAGAGAGAGAGAGGAGCGAAATTTGATCATTAACAATTTAAACCAAATTAATCATTAATTCCAATGTTAATATCATAATGGTAATCAAAATTTCAAACTTGATTAACAGGAAACCTTTTCATTTGAAGTAAAAATCGTTATTCAAATGAAGCAAAGACAAAAATTACACCAACAATTAACTGTGCCATCATCATTTATATATATAAATCATGGAAACAATTAACATAAAATGATCAATTTGCTAGAAGAAACTGGATTTGATTAAATTGGAGCACGAAACTTACCAATACATATACTAATTGCTAATCTACAATTAACTTTTCAGTGAGAAAAACAATCAAACTCCAATGAGGAGAAAATTATTTCTTCTCCTCAATATTAATAATTAACTAATTGTTCATTTGTTTTTCTTTTCTCTCCAGGATTAAAGGAATAGCACAAACAGGATAAAACAAACAATTAAGAAAACATTGGAAACAATGGACAACAACAATCAATAGATATTAAATGATGGATTTTAAAGACAATCAATTTAAATTGTTTCGGATCGTTGGAAAAGTTTAACTAAATATCAAAGTTAAATGTTGACTTTTCGTTAGCAAAATGACCAATACAACTTGATGATAATCTAAAAAGTGCTTTTCAACGATCAACACTTAATTGAGAATAAAAATAGGTCGATGGTCGAAATTGGCCTTGACGATTTAAGTTAATTGCTGGTAAACTATTAACATGATGATGATGATGATGATCAAGTCGAATCATTTAAAATGAGAAATTAAATGAAAGAAAAAGAGAGAAATTCAGAAGTGGCCTCTTTGCGATCCCTCTCTCTCTCTCTACGAACCTGTTCTGACCACACCGGACAAAGAAATATAATGATAACAGTTAACAGTAGTGCCAGTTAATTGTGATTAAAGGAAAGATCAGAATAAGAATCAACAATTTAATTCCAAGAATAAGATATTAAACATTTAACATTTCTGGTCAAGGTTATTATTATAACCGTTTACTGATGAGCTTTGTTTCAGATTTGTTATTATGTTTGACGAGAAATTATTACTTATATTATCTTGATTATGATTAATTTAATCATTATTCTTAAATTGTGATTTAATTCATTCAACTTATTTAACTTTATCTCTCTTTTTTTTTGTTGCTTTCATTTGATTTTGTTTTGTTCACAATTCTCTCGATATAATTATCATCATATGTTGAGAAAAGTTTTTCTTTCTCATTTTCAACAAATCACATTAATAAGTTTCTATTAATGTGATAACAATTTAGTAATTATTTTGATTATTACAATTGTTAGAATTGAATCAACATATAGCCTTGACCTGATGGTTGATTGTTGATGATATCAAAATGATTTAATGATTGTATTAATATTTTCATCTCAATTGGTAGTTGGTAACATTAATATAATTGAATTAATTGATTGGTGATTACTTGTTGTTTCCAGATTATTATTATTATTATTATTTGGATTAACATTGATTTGAAGCGAGAAAAATTGGTCAACAATTTAAATGAACAACAATCAAATTAAAACTGTTAGTTTGATATTTTTCTTTCTGTTAACTAAATTAACTAATCAGTTTGGTTAATGATGGTAACAAAATTTAGACCGAGGACAAAGGGGGAAAAAGACAATTATTATCATTGTGATAATTTCAATCAAAATTAACTTACAATTTATTCATTCCTAATTGGAGTTACAGTTAATTAATCCAAATGATGATGATGATGATGATGATGATGCTCCTGGTAAATTGGACAATCAGTTGATTAGAAACAATTTATATGTAGCCGTTAATCAGCAATGATACACATATGAGAAAGTTTTGTTAATTGTTTGAAAAGTTTTGGTTAAATGTTTGGGACAAACAATCAAATTTGATTTACCACCCAAGTCTCAACAATTAGTGAAAAATGAAACAATACAAAAGTTTAATCAGGTTAAACGTTACTATTAATGTTATCAGGTAATTTAATAATTAGCCTGATTGTGATTAACTCTAATCAACAATTAAGTAATTTTTTTTCTTCTTCTTTTCACTTTTTCTTAAAACTTGTAACAATTATCATTTGGAAAGTTAATTGTTACCAATTTCACCACAATTTGAATAATATAATGGAAAACTATTGGTTAACAAAATTTTAAATTTTCGAAAAGAAAAAAATTGAAACAATAAGTAAACAATTAAAAAGAGAAAATGAAAATTAACTAATCACTTTTTCAAAGAATTATTTTCTTCTAAATCTTGATTATTATCTAAATTGAAACAAGAATTAATTTCTTTCTCTCTGTTCAATTCAATACCATGGATATTATTATCTCTCTCCCTCACTCTAACTCTCTCTCTCTCTACCTTAATTGTTACCCACCCTCTTAGTTAATTTACCTGTAATTATCATCGTGATTAATATTGTTGTTGTTATTGTAAATTGTGATTCCACATTTGAATGGTTGATTGTCTCTCCCTTAGGGTTGAAACGACCTTAACTGTGATTAGATTTCATTTCCTTTGGAACCAGCAATTTAACCATCGACAATAATAATAATCATTATAATTACAATCTTAATAATCATCATGATTAAGTGTATAAACCATATACCCAAATATATTTGGATAAAAAGTTAAAAATAGTAACAATTTACGGTTATTTAAATGATTAACTGATTGTCGGTTGTTGTTGTTGTTGTTTCTTTGCTTCAGAAAAAAAAAGTCTTAATTGTTTCATTCATTTTCTAGTATGTGAACAACAATTTACACATTGGTCGAACCTTTAATTGTTTATAATTAGATGAATTTACTAGTTAATTAGTTAGTTGATGTATTTTGTTTTTCGCAATTAGTTCAAGATCAAGATAAAAGAAAAGACTTTCAATTGTTTGTTATTAAAAAGAAAAAGTTTTTTTTTAATTGTTGTTGTTATTTTTTTCGTCTTTTGTTTTGTAAACTTGATTTCGATTATTAATAAAAAGTTGTTGTTGTTAATTATCTTAATCTTTTATGATTCAATTGTAAACTTTTTAATTGTTTCATTTGTTTTTAGGATGAAAGATGAACAAATTGTTTCCATCCTTTTAACTGTCAAAGGTTATCAGTTGTGTGTTTGTGTTAATCAGAATCAAGGATAACAGCAAATGGAATTAAATAGTAACATGAATCCATGAGAAATGTTCAATTTAATTGGAAATACAATCAACATTTTCTCAATTTTTATGGAACTTTTTTTGGCTCCATCTATGAATAATTTAAAAATCTCCAATTGACTTTATTGTTTATTCAAAAAGAAAAACTTATCTGATGCACTAAATGATTGTTTCGTTTTGTCAAATTAGAGAGAGAGAGAGAGAGAAATAAAAGAAAGTAAGGAAGAGTGAGAGAGAGAGAGAGAGAGAGAGAGAGAGAGAGAGAGAGAGAGAGAGAGAGAGAGAAAGAGAGAGAGAGAGAGAGAAATAAAATAGAGAGATAAATGAAAAAGAGAGAAAGAGAAAAGGGTAGAAAAGACAGAAGAGAGAGAGAGAGAGAGAGAGAGAGAGAGTGAGAGAGGTTTTTTTTTGAAATAATCATAGAATGTAGCACTTCTTTTTGCGAGAACCTTTTTTTTCTTTTTTCTTATCTTTTCCTTTTCTATCTCGGTCTTTCCTTATTTCACGAACAAGTGTATAGAATGCATCATCAACACCTTGGCGAGTTTTGGCAGAAGTTTCAACGAATGGAATTCCATAGCTTTTGGCCACCTCTTGAGCACCCCAAATGTCAACAGCTCGAGTCTGTAAATCACATTTGTTACCAACTAATACCATCGGTACATCGTCTGCATCTTTTACTCTTTTAATCTGACATAATAAATAACAATTAATCATTATTATAGTTTGTTGTTGTCATAGATGATCATCATAACAGGAGAGAGACGGAGAGAGAGAAAGAGAGAAAGAAAATATAAAAAGAGAGATACAAAGAGAGAAAGAGAGAGAGAGAAAAAATAAAGAAAGATCAATTAATTAGTATGTGTATATACAATTTTTTTTTCTTCTCTTCACTAGAGTGAAAGAGAGAAAGAGATGGATTATTGTTGTTACCTGTTCTCTGTACATTGAAATGTCTTCAAATGATTTCGCATTATTAAGGGCAAATACAAGCAAAAACCCCTCCCCAGTGCGCATATATTGATCTCTCATGGCACTGTACTCTTCTTGTCCGGCAGTGTCCAAGATATCCAAAAGGCATGTTTCACCATCTATAACCACTTGCTTACGATAGGAATCTTCGATGGTTGGATCATATTCATCAACAAAATGATTTTGAATTAATTGTATAGTGAGAGCACTTTTACCAACACCACCGGCACCGACAACCACTAGCTTATACTCTGTCATGTTGGTAAATTGATCAACAATTTAAATTGTAGTTTAAATAAAAAATCAAAAACGGAGATATAAACAAATAACTACATTAAAGAAAAAGAGAGAAAAGAGAAAAAATTTAGATGAGTCTAGACCACCGAACTAAGACTGCGCATGTTCCTGCGCAGTCTCAGTTTGATTTTTCTCTTTTTTTTGTCAATTTTGGTTCATCTCAATTGGAAACATTTTTAATTGTGGTTGATTTGATTGGAGCCAATTGGATTGATTTTTTTTTCTTCGTTTACAATTTGAAAATCTTTTTCATTTAGAGTAATTAAGTTGAACATAAATTATTTCGTTTTGTTGGGGGTTTGTTTTTTCTTCACTTCTCTGTTTTCAGTTTAAAGATTTTTATTATTATTATTTTGACTTTGGTTAATTATTGTGTCTCTTTTTTTGTTGTTGGATTTGATTATTAATCGTCCTTAGCTTTGGTCTCATCGGGTTTCATTGCTGGAAATAGGAGAACCTCTTTAATTGTATGGGAATCGGTTAGGAACATTGATAATCTATCAATACCAATACCAACTCCACCGGTTGGGGGTAAACCATATTCGAGGGCAGTGATAAAAGTTTCATCAACTAATTGAGCTTCATCATCACCGGCGGCTTTTGCTTTTGCTTGACCTTCAAAACGTTGTCTTTGAACAATTGGATCATTTAATTCGGTATAACCATTGACAACTTCTCGTTGACCGACAAACAATTCAAATCTTTCGGTTAAATTAGGATTATCTCGATGATATTTAGCCAATGGACTCATAACAACCGGATGATCAGTTATAAAGGTTGGATTATTACAATTTATCTCGATAAAATGACCAACCAATTTATCAATTAATCGTGAAGTAGTTCGAGGTGGTGCACAATCAACCTCATGTTTAACACATTGATCAGAGAAAAATTTATTAGCCTCATCTGATTCCAATTCATCTAATGGAGGTAATTTAACTCCAAGACATTTCTCCAATTCAGTTAACATGCTAACTTTCTTGAAAGGTGGAGTAAAATCAATTTCAATTGATTCACTTTCTGGTCCTTCTGGATGATAGGTAACCTTATATGAACCATGTACCGATTTAACAAGTCCACTTAACATGGTCTCAACAATTTTCATCTGATCATTATAATCAGCATAAGCCATGTAAAATTCAGCCATGGTAAATTCTGGATTATGAGTAAGATCAATTCCTTCATTACGAAATTGTCGACCAATCTCATAGACACGATCCATTCCACCGACAACCAACATTTTAAGATATAATTCGGGTGCGATTCTCATAAAAAGATCCATATTTAACTCATTATGATGAGTAATAAAGGGTTTAGCTGTTGCCCCGCCGGGTTGCATATTAAGAATTGGTGTTTCCACCTCCAAGAATCCCAATTGATCCAAAAATGATCTAATATAACGGATAACCTTACAACGAACAATAAACTTTTGTCTAACCCAATCGTTTAACATTAAATCCAAAAATCTCATACGATATCGAGTCTCTCTATCCTTTAATCCAAAATGAAGGGCAGGTAACATTCTCAGACAAGGTGTTAAAAGTGTCATCTCAACAGGTATAATTGACAATTCTCCTTTCTTTGTTTTACCAGGATAACCGGTACAACCCATGATATCACCTCTCTTTAATTTATCATTCATTTCAACGAAACCTTCACGTGTAGGATAATATTGAACATTGGCCATAACTTGAATCTTTACTCCTTCACCTCTAAGATCATAGAAAGTTAACTTTTCCCCATAATCGCGTTTAGCAAAAATACGACCTGCAAGGCTCACTTTAACATCCTCCAAGACTTGACCTAAGTAGAAAAGAAATTAATTTCAAACAATCAAGAGGAAAGAGATTAGAAAACAAATATAGACACATAAGTACATGTATACATCTCGTACTTGAAGCGGTTTCACAAAATATCAACCAATAGATTATTGTTGATTTGATTGACAGATTAGAATCGACAAGGTAAGAACAATGTTAACATCAAAAATCAATCAATCAATCATGAAAAACAGGAAGAAGCAAGAAATTGATTTTGAATGTGAAGAGAAATATGTAAGCAAATAAGTTAACCATACTAACCATCAGAAAGTGATGAGTATTTTTCAATGAATTCCGATAGAGAAATGGTTACATTGTATTTATGTGGAAATGGATTTTCTCCTTTGGCTTTAAGATTGTCAATCATTTGGGTTCGTAGAAGATAAAATTGATTCTCATCCATTTCATCTTCATTAATTACACCAGCCGAAGGACCAGAAGATGAACCATCACCAGTTCCAACATTGACCAATTTAGATGAATTTTCCAGAGTTTGTTTCTCTTTTTCAGCTTTTTCTTTTAATTTCTTCTCATTTTTAAGTCTACGTTTCAACTCGTTTTTACTCAACTTCTCACTTGACTCGGACATGGTGGACACTAATAAACTACTATTGACACGAAGCAAACGATTAAATGATCTCAACACCGGAAAGATAATTCTCATTGCAGCATTTCAACATCGTGGAAGAATATCACTCATCTCATCTTCTATTCTCTAGATGGAGCCACTCACGTCGAATCAGATGTTTACTTTTTTTTAATTTTCTTTTTTCAAATTCACTGAGTTAATTGTTTCTAATTAATTCTCGCAATTAAAGTTTGATTATCTGTTGGATTAGAATTTTGTTTTGGTTTTTGTTTTTGGTCTTGTGATATTCATCTAAGTGTGTGTCTCATTTAAGGTAAGTTGTCGTGTTACGGTTCGTATGAATGACTTAGTTTTACTCTTTTGTAATTTTGAGTTTTCTTTGATTTTTTGATTGGATTTTTTTCTCTTTCTCTTTCTCTTTCGTTTTCTTTTTTTGTTTGGTTTAGATGTCTTCTCAGTATAGTGTACCGGTTAGTATTGAGATATCTGATGAATATACTGTTCAAGAGGTTACTTATGATGGTCAGGAGAAATATCAATCACCTCTTACTATGTCTGAGAATTTGGCTCGGATGGTTCAACGGATTGATTTTTCTTCCATTGAAAGTGATGATGGTGAGTCTGAGGGGAATTCTTTTGATTCAAGTAAAGAGTCAACTCCTGCTGCTACTGTTACTGCACCACAATGGCCATGGGAAGCGGCAAGGAACAAAATTAGAGGAGCTTTGACAGAAGTTCATGTATTGGAAGATGTTCTTAACATTGCAAAGGAGAAAAAATATCTTGTTCTTGATCCAGTTTCTCAAGATCTATTTGAAAATAAGCCGGTTGTCAGTTTGGTTGCTAAAAAGAAAGCATTTGCATCTGCAGCTACCATAATTACAAGTGGAGTTGAACGAATTAAACAAAGTAAAAACGATGCATCTAGAAGTCAAACATCCGATTTCCATACGGAGCTTATGTGTATGAGACAAAGTTGGAGACTACGACGAGCTGGAAATTCAATCATTGGTGATCTTAGTTATCGCTCAGCTGGTTCATGGTATCCTCATTTAGGAAACTTTGAGGTGACCAAAAATGAAGATCCACCCAGTTCAACACCTTTATCCCCACCAATGCCCTCCATTCCAGGTACTTCACCTTCCGGACCTGTTGCCAAACAAAGTGCTCTAAAGGTTAAAATTCCCAGTGATCTTGAAGGTGTTGCCTACATTCATGTCTGTATTCAAGAAGGTAGAAAAGATCTAGATGATGATCCAATTAAACCATCTATCAATCAAGAAGCTCTTATCAAAATGGACCTTAGTTGGCAACAGAAACTTGAAAACGCTCAAAATATACTTTTCTGTAAGGAATTATTTGCTAAGCTCGCACAAGAAGCGGTACAAGTCCAATTTCCAATTCCAACATTAATTTATGGTAACATAATTATCGCCACTCTTTTCACTGGTACCCAATTGAATATCGGTCTAGTTCATCAAACACCACCCAAAAAGAAAAGAAAATTTGGTAAATCGGAAAACCCCGAGGGAACCGAAAAATCTTCCGAACCTGTTAAATTCCCTCACAAGCCCGTTCTAGAACATACTCTCCATCAACTTCTTCGTGACATGCATTATAATGCTCTTCATCATCCTATGCCTCATCCAACAACAGCGACTTTGGGTCTAAGTCGTGTAAGATATTTCGCCGGACCCGAAGCATACGATCGTCATATTTTAACAGAATCTTGTAAGAACGAAACCATGTTGGAACAAATTCTCTCTCAAAGTCAACATTATGTTCTTCGTGGTCAAGTCTTGAAAACAATTGACGATTTAACCAAAGAAGTTAAAGAAACGATTATCGTTGTCCACGGATTATGTTTAAATAGTCCAACTCGAAGTTGTATCAAGTTGAACCTAATCTCCAGAGGGTACGAAGCACTTCATCGAACTCCGGCCACAATTCATATAACCTCGAAAAGGATGTACATCATTTGTCGCGAGGGTAAAAAGTATAACCTTTACTATGACATGTCGCTACTTCGGCAAACCCTTCTCACCATAATTTCCCACCATCAAATGTTCACAATCCAATCAATGTGTAAACTAATGGGCTGGCGAGTCCTCTCGTTTACCAATAATTGTGGCCTGGGTCCAGTTGAACAAAGTGGAACCGCTTCAGCGATTCAAATTGCTTCACCAAATGATGAAAGGATCATCTCAATTCGCCAAGGGCCAACCTCAGAACCTAAAGTTTCCGTCTCTTCAATTCCAAGGGATCAAGATTTTTATCCAAGTTCAATTATTCGTGATCGTAAATGGCAAAACATTCAATCAAATTTTAAGACAATTGATTTAACTAAAATGCAAGGGAAAAATTTAATCAACAAAATTGAGATTCTCATGTCATTTACATCAAAGACATAGACAATTGTATTAATAAGAAAGGAAAATATTACAATCACAAAAAAAAAGGTTTATTATTAACACTGAAACTTTCATTCATCAACAATTTAAAAAGTTTCTTCAAGCATCTATCATATATAATTAATTAACTATTTATTTTTCAAACCAAATTAATCAATTGAAATTTTTTCTTGTGAAAAAAAAACAACAATTTCTGTTCATAAATTAAAATTTAACAAGAAAAGAAAAATGTTAATTGTCATCAATTTTAAAATGAATTTACTTATTAATTGCGATGAACAATTGATTTGAATTAATAAGAAGATGAATTAAATATTAAAATAAATTACAAATTCCCAATGATAGAAACATTATCAAGGAAAACTAAAGTAACTTTGATGATTGAGAAAAAAAAGTCAAGGTAAATGAAATCGTAATGAGATCACCAATTGGAATTATTGATTAATTGTTTACTCTGATTAAATACTGAGAAAGAGAGATTTCTGATCAAACAGAAAATGCGAATCAGAATCAAGGGTTGATCAGAAATTAACTTAATCGTTGACCAATACCTTGTAAATCCAAATGGACATTTTTTTGTACTTAATCTCTTTCTCTTTTTCTTGTTTATCTTACAATTAACTCGTTGATTGCGTGATTATTGCTTCACCTACTTCGATAGATAATCTATCATCTTTTACCTGAACATTGAACTAATCAAATCATTGTTTCCATAATCATCATCATCGTTTTCGTCATACATTGTATGTTCTTTTGATTGTTTGGTGATTGTTGTTTGCTTGATTGTTATGTAATCAACGACGAGCACACAATTAAGAAAAAGGTTAAATTGTCTATTCTATAACGAGAAATAAAGCTAAGGACAAAATCATTCCGAATATAATGAGAACTGCAATTCCAACTCCAATTCCACCGACAATCAATGCATGAGCTTTAACAAATTCTTTCATCTTCTCGTAACAATCCTACAATTAAAAGATTAAAACAATCAATTAATGAGACAATCAATAGAATACCAATTAATTACTTACATCCATAAAGACAAATCTCTCCTCTAGTTTATCTCGGACACAAGCTTTTCGCTGTTGAGGGTCAAGCGGATTCTTACAACAACTTTCGGGAACTTGAGGTCCACTTAATTTAAAAACGTTGTTTCTTAACCAAATTTTGTAAGCCTTTTGGTCACGATAAGCTTTTGGATTGGCAATATTAGGTATCACTCCACAACAATTAAACTATAATCAGATGAAAGAGAGATTCAATTCAAAGTTAAATTGATATTCATGTCATGTTTTGATGATCAAATTTTACATTTCTATGAACAGCATCCCATGATTCGGTTACTTTGGTATCATTTCCATATAATTTAATTGTCATCACCATTTCTGTGTGCATTCGTTCATCAACCTTAAACAATCAAGAAATTAAAAGAAGTAATAAAAAAAAGAGTGTAAATATTATATAATAATTATTAGAATTAACAAGAAAATGATAATTTGATTAGTGTCAGGAATTGAAAGGTTATATTTCTGATTAGATAATTGTTTTCTCTTCTCAAATTCATGAGAATATAAAGTAAATCAATTGTCAAAATTTACTGATTAGTTGACTTTCATGGGAGAATAGAAAATGTTTAGAAAACTTTCTTTCAACTGACAAACTTGTCAATCTGATAAATTAGGTGTGTCTTTGGTACTTTTTTAGGACTATTATTGTTATTATTTTTAGTACATATTCAAATTAGATCAAGAATGTAAATAGATTTTATCTTTAACATTAATCAGCTTGAAATTTGGAGAGAGATACAATCTATTAATATCTTGAATATTAACTATTGTAATTGAATAAAGTAATGATTGACTTGACACATACACTTAACTAATTGATTACTAATTGATTGTAATAATAATAATACCAACAATCAATAACTGGTTAAAGGAAACACCGGATAATATTTATGACAAATGCACTTGAGAAGAGGAGATAATGAATAAGTAAATCTAATTGTTGGTTGATTTACTTTTTACCTGTTACCTTGAATAAGGTTAATTTAAGTAATACTATGTAGATGAAGGTTAGATGATTTATCTCAGTACAATTTGGATTAATTAAAACATTGCGCGGATTGAAAACTATTGATTGTGTTTACCTCACTTCGAAATATGTAACCCAGAATTCCTCCGGTTAACATGGTGAGGAAAATCATGGCCAGAATAAAAAAGAAAGTTATTAATACACATCGTATCTCTTTCCAAGCTCCAATTGATCCAAGGAATGAGATAATTGCCACAACTAGACCAGTTCCAATTAGAATTGATGCTGATGCAATATATGATTTAGTTCCTAAAAGTCTTTCCATGAAAGATTTATCTGAAAGAGTCCAAACACCAATGGAGAAAACAGTAATTCCACCAGCCTAAAGTAATTAGAAGAAGAAGAAAAAAATAATAATAATTAATATAATTCAACTCAATTCGTTTTGAAAAAATATCCAATGAAACATTTTCCCGCTTTAAACATCTTCCATTGGGAAGATTGAATGGAAAAAAAGTTCAATCTGATTTTTAGATGATAATCAAGTCATCATGAAATTAGTTATTATCATGATTCGATATAATTTATTAAGAGGGTGGACAAATATTCTCACTTGTTTGAAGATACAATTAAATTACTAGCAATATGTAATCATCTAAGAATAATAAATGATGAGGAGGTGGAAGTTATGATTTACTGATTAGTATTGATAAAATTAACTAATAACCTTTTAAAATTGTCGAGTTTCTTGTTTCTTTATCTATGGTGATAATCAATCAAGTAATTTATCAAAAGTGATCATTATTGGTTTAAGGTTCACATTTGATTATGTATTATAACCAATGGATGGTCATTAAATTACTTTATCATTATTATCAGCAACATTTAATCATTTTAATGGAGATGAAGATTAATATTATTAATCAATGATTATTTGGTTACTTTCTGGCTTATTTACTGGTGTAAATTAATCTCGTTGTAATTAAATTAGGTAAGGTTTTGATAGGGAGACTTGATAAAAAAAACTTTAATTGTTATTACTTACAAATATAACTCCATTGGCGATTAGCATAGCAAATTTAACTCCTTTAGCGAAACCGTCAACCATTTTTGATTACTGATAATCGTTGAATATCACTGATCAGACACATCAGACTTTCTGATGTAGTTAATTGATTGTTGTCCAATGTTCAATGGTTAAAGTGTTGAGCGATTAAAGTTTTCAAAATAATCCAAGATTCAAATGTGACAATTGGATTGAGAGAAATGGTAACAGAAAAACAGAAAAGGTAAACACAAATGAATCAAATTAAATTGTCACTTGGTGGAAATCAGGACGTGGACGAATGTGGACCAGAAGAGATTATGATAACTAATTAAATTATCTCAAGTTTCTTATTGATAATTTGTTTTTTTCTTTTCTCTCTCAACTTTTGAAGCAGAACATCAGGAATAACGGAAGAAAAATGTTCATAATTTGCTGGTTCAAACTGTTGGTAACAAGGTTAAAAGGAACTGGAAGTTAATTGCGAATATTGGTCTTTCTATTTCTCTCTCAATATTAGATTGTTGATTCTCAAAGTTGTTAACTATTGACTTAGCAGAATTCAAATGATCCAGAATGATTGTTGCTCTCACTCTGTTACAATTTTCTCTTCTCCTTCTTGTCTTTCCTTGAGTTCTCTTTGATTGTCTCCATAACCTGAGAGTGTGTGAATATGTTACCACCATTATCCATCAGAAGATTTATCCCTCTCCCTCCTTCTCTCTCATTCTATTTCGTTATCATCAATTTTTGATTCTTTAACTGCTTTTCATTGGAATTATCAGCTCTCCTTTCTTGTATATTCTCTTTGTTTTCTTTTGAATTTCATGATTCCCTCTTTTTCCATATCTTATATGTCGTCATTTTTTTCTTATTCTTCAATAGAGATTTGATGTACAGGGATAAGAGTAAATCAATTTTTTCACATTAATCGGGACTTGAGAATCTCATCATCATCATTTCCATCAACTGGGTGTGTCTCCAAGTTAACCAAAATTATCGTGACCACAAAAAAAAGAAGATGAAAATGAAAGAGAGAAGAGAAAATTTTTTCAGAATATTACTGAGAAAACTCTACAAGAACACTGATGAATATGATGATAAAGATAATATTCGTAATGATGAAGATTTTGATTTGATAATGTAGGCGTTCAACAATTGTATCCAATATAATTTGATCCAACAAGAGAAAAACATTAAACAAAAGATATCCGGCTAAAAGACAAGAGAGATACAATTAATTACAATCGATAATCACATAACTGTTTAAACATCATTAAGAGAGAAATAACAAATACACTTCCACCCTTTTAACCAACTAATACTTACCAATATTATAGAAACAAAAATATGATTTAATCAACCTGATCAACGATTAAAATGTAACATTAATCCAAAAGGTAAAACAATAAGATTGACCAATTAATCAGCTTTCGGTTAAAAACATTAACCATAATTATAGAGGGAAAACAAATAACATCCAAAAAGAGAAATAAATCTTCGTAATTAAACTTCTTCTCTTATGAATTTAGATTCTAGAGAAGCTTAAATTACCTAATCAACCATTAAGGAAAAGAAATTAAAATCACAATAATAAAGAATAAAGAATTTTAATTACGAAAATTAAAAAAAAACAATTAACGTTCCCGTTGGAAATTCAATTCGGTTACTATGCTTTTTATGCTTTTCTTATGCTCTTTTTAGTTCCAAACTCGGCCAATTGGATTAGAAAGAGAAAAAGAAAGAGAAACCTAACCCTTGGTTTCCAACAACAAAAGTTGAGAGAAAATGTTAACAATTTAATTTCTAATTGTTGTGTTTAATTAGTTAATTTGGTGATTTTTTTATTCTTTCTGATGATTAGTTAACTGGTCTTTTACCAATAATCAATCAATTCAGTTAAAATGAACTCGATCTTTGGTAAAATTTGTTTCTTTCTTTTTTTCCCTCTAGGTAAGTAAACATTTACATGAGAAAAATTTACCTATCATGTTTACCTTTTTCTTACCCTTTTGTTTTTTTTTCTTGTTTTTACCTTATTTCAATTCAATTAAATTTGATTAATATGATTAATTTAGATAATCTAAACTGATTGACAAGCATTTTTCAAGAAGTAACTTTAATCAGTGCAATTAAACTAGTGAAAGTTTTGTTTCTAATTTTTTGTTTTTCTATTCTTACCTGTAACCAATAGTATTTTTTACTTACCTTTACATTTCCTTTTACTTTTGTAATTTTTTCTTTTCTTTTAAATACTAATTAGATTGGTGATTAATTTCTATCATTTTCATTGTCTTTTTATATAGAATTTGAAGTTAAATATTGTCAAGTTTTAATCCACTTGTCGACTTGTAGTTTTAAAGATTGTTGATTCTGTTGAATATTTTTCTGTTCTTTTTTCTTTGAAGAAAATTATTGATTAATTTTATTTTCTATTCTCTTTTTTTTTTCTCCAATTTTTTTAGGTTATTATGCACAATCTTCTAGGTTTGATGTGACACCACCTAAAGAATTAATTTGGTGTACAATAAGTGTCGCCGAACAAAAGAAATGCTTGGATTGGTCTGAAGCTATCAAACGTTATCCTAATAATGTACCTGTTGGTTCAGAGGAACCATTTGGTTACCAATTGAAATGTGAACAAACCTCTGACCGAGAGACTTGTATGAATCATATTGAGAAAGGAAGAGCTCATTTGGTTACCTTGGATCCTGGTGAAGTTTTCATTGCTGGTCGATATCATTCACTTGTCCCAATCATGGCTGAAAGATATGATTCAACATTAGATGATGGCTATTACTCTGTTGCTGTGGTCAAGAAAAGTTCATCCATTCAAATTCAAACGATAACTGATTTGAAAGGTAAAAAAGCTTGTTTCCCTGGAGTAAATCAAATGGCTGGTTGGGTTTTACCTTTGGCTCGATTGATAAATGATGGAATCATTGAGTTTAAAGATTGTAATAATATCGTTAAAACAGCGGCCACTTTTTTCAATTCTTCGTGTGCACCAAATGCTTTAAATGATAAAAACAATCCCAGTGGTGATAATCCTCAATCGATTTGTGCTCTTTGTCATACTAAATGTTCTGGATCCGATGAATATGCTAATTACGAGGGAGCTTTTAAATGTCTCATTGACAATGGAGATGTTGCTTTTCTTAAACATTCAACTGCTCGATTAATGGCCTTACGTGATCGTTATAGTTACCGTAGAGATGATCTGGAACTTTTATGTCCACAAGGAGGTCGAAGAGGATTAAGTAACTATCGAGAATGTAATTGGGGTCGATCACCTGCTCATGCAGTTGTTGTTTTCTCTTCCATGTTACCTGAGGAGAGGAAAAAAGTTCAGCAATTCCTCATGAAATCAGCTAAAATTTTCAACGTAGGCAATGATTATGGAACAGTTAACAATCAGAACTTTGCAAATGATAATAGAAAAGCATCTCAATCATTTAATCTTGCCGATGAACGGAGTCCACAAAAATATGGTGACAGTGCAAATCTATTATTCTCTGATGAACTTACTGGATTCGAGCCACTTTCAGGTCCCGATCAAACTTTTCGTAATTATTTAAAAAAGGACAATTATGAGTTACTTTCTAAAAGATTAAAGAAATGTCCAGTTCCAACTGCTCGACTTTGTGTAATATCTTCCGTTGAGATGAAGAAATGTCAAGAGATGGCAACAACATTTCGAGCGGCATTTTTACAGCCCATGTTAAGCTGTGTCTCTGAGAGAAGTGTAATCGGCTGTATGGAAGCTATTAGACGAGGTCGAGCCGATTTGGTAATGTTAGATGCCGCTGATGTTTACCGAGCAGGCCACCAATACGGACTGGTGCCCATTTTAGCGGAAAAATATGACCTCACTGAATCGGGTTATTATGTTGTCGCTGTGGCTAAAACCTCCGACCCAGAGTCTGATTTATTTTTCCTCAAGGGTAAATCATCATGTCACACGGGTGTTGGAACCGCTGCCGGTTGGGTTGTACCTTTGGGTTTCCTCCTCTCCAACAATCGGATGAGATCCTATGGGTGTGATTCACTTACCGCTGCGGCTCAATTTTTCCAAAAATCTTGTGCACCAGGAGCACTTTCACCCGATTATACAACCACCGATTGGGGATTAAATAATCTATGTGACCTTTGTTCGGGTACCTCTAAATCGTATTGTGCCCGTGATGCCAATGAACCTTTTTACGGTTCAACGGGAGCTCTTCGATGTCTCATTGCGGGAGGTGGAAATGTGGCCTTTGTCAAACACACGGCGATCTTTGAAAACACCGCTGGTCGTAATCCAGAATTCTGGTCTCGTAATTTAATCCCCGGAGATTATGAACTTTTATGTCGAGATGGATCTCGAGCAAGTTATAACGCCTCAGCCTCATGTAATTTGGGCAAAGTTGCGGGTAACGCGATGGTCACCAGTCCATTAAAACCTGAGCAACACATCGCTGCCTATGTAAACCTTTTCTTAACCGCTCAGCAATACTATGGATCAAAATATTCCCAAGATTATACATTTAAAATGTTTGTCTCTGAGAAAAATTATCATGATTTAATCTTTTCCGATGCGACCTCACAATTAGTGGCCTTACCTGTTAACCAACGTACCCACACCTCTTACCTCAGCCCGGAATTCATTAATTTAATGAAATTAACCGATTGTACATCACAATCAACCCAATCCTGTTTGCCATGTTCATCTTTACAATTAATCATTGCCTTAATTTGTTCAATCAACTGGACACGAAACTTTTTCTCACTTTAATCATAATTATTACAAATCAAATTTTTCTTTTTTAATTTAATATAAAACAACTAAATTCACTTTCTCTCTCTCTCTCGCTCACACTCACATATACACAAATACACACACATTTGAATCTCATCATCATGATCAAAATCAATTCTCACTGTGACAAATTGCAAATTCCAAAATTAAAATAATAAAGAAAAATAAAAAATCTCAATCATCAATTCACTTGAATTCTAATTAATTGAAAATCGATTTTTGAATCGATTTGATTTTTTGTTTTCGTTTTTCTTTTTATTTTTTCACATGGTAACTGGTTTTCCCAAAACAAAATCAATTGTTCACTTTAAATGAGATTTAATTGTAACTTCTATTTGTGATTGACCACATCAGTCAATTGAGAATTTCAACCAACATTACAATTAGTTAATTGTTAAAAAGGTAAGATGATTAAGTCTTCGTTCTGTCCTTTTCTCTTTTCTCTTTCAATAACAATACATTTTCACCCATAATCGGTCATTGTAATCATATCAATTCTACTTTCTCATCGATTTGTTGAGTTAATTGTAATTTAGATTGAATTGATTTGAAACAATTTCCAATCATTAACCAGTGTCCTGATTAATTTGATTAGAATGGTAAAAGAAAAGCAATTATAATATCACCCGAAGATTGAATAATTGCCGTTCCTTTGAACAAAGGTCTTTCTTTTTCTCTTTTTCTCTTTTTATTCTTTTCTTATTTGTCTTTCTCTTCTTTTTTCTTCTTTCTTTTTTTTCTCTCTCTCTCCCTATTTTTCTTTCTTTCTTTTAATTTTGTTCGCAATTAAATCTGACCAAGCTCAATTCCAATCTCTTGCCATGATTAATCCAGTATTGTCTTAACTACAAGTTGCCTTGTTTATTGGTGCATGTTGGATGTTATTGTTGAGAGCAAAAAAGAAGAAGAAAAACCAGAATTTAATGATTGGTATTTTGATAGAAAGAGAGAAAAGAAAGAAAAGAAAGAAAAGAAAGAAAGAAAGAAAGAAAAGAGATCAACATTGAGAAAGCCAAAAAGGTTAAGAGTATTTGTAAGAAAATGAAAAGAAGAAGATAAAGAAAAGGTAAAGAAAACTCTCTTAATGTAACAATAAAAAAAAGAGAAAGAAAAAAGCTCAATGTATTAATGGATTAGTTAATTGTCTCTTCTTTCCATTGACACTACACTTTCATGGTGATTGAAATTCTCTTCTTTTTCTTCCTCCTCTTTCGCCTACACCTTGATCATCATGTTCCTTTTCTTTGTCTCTCTTTTCTCATCATCAACTAATCATCTTCTTTTCTTTATTTTCCCTCTTCTTCTCTAGATTTCGATCTCTGTCTCAACCTTTCACTCGGACAATTTATTCTGTGATTATTTATGTCAAGATAACTGCTCTTTTCGTTTTGATTGCTAATTATAAACAACAATTCAACATCAAAGAGGATTCATATTGATACTTAAAGATAAAGTGATTCGAGAAAACAAAAGCGTCGATAATCATGTTACAACCAATTGCCCATCTTCTTAGTAAACAGAGAAATATCCTTGGTAGTACTTCACCTCGACGACGAGCTCTTCTTGAATCAATTGGACTTAATTTCGAGATAATTGACAGTGGTTTTAATGAACAATTGTTGCGGGATAAGTTTAGTCATCCCTGTGAATATGTTAAAGAAAATGCTAAACAAAAGGCTATTCATGTGTACAAAAAATTAGCCGATGCCGGTGAGACCGCTGACCTGATAATCGGAGCGGATACTGTGGTCACTTTTCAAGAATCTATTTACGAGAAACCCAAAGATAAAGAAGATGCTTTTCAAATGTTGACCAAATTAAGTGGTAATTGGCACACAGTATTTACCGGTGTTGCTCTGGTCACAAATTCAACTTCACCTCACTCATCAGCGGCTTTGACAACAATTAACAATCCCTCGTCAACAACAACTACGACAACAATAACAACAACAACATCATCAACAACAACAACCTCAAATGCTTGTAGTAACAAGGATGATAATGGTAACGGTGATGATTATGTGGTGACAACTTTCCATGAAGCAACCGATGTTTACATTTGTCAATTAACACCCAATATAATTAACTCTTACATTGAAACCGGTGAACCAATGGATAAAGCTGGAGGCTATGCTATTCAAGGAATAGGAGCAACTCTAATTGAATCAATTAAAGGAGATTATTTCAATGTAGTTGGATTACCACTTCATCGATTAACCAAAGAATTGTATCACATGTATTCCGAATAGAATTAAGAATACAATTCGAACACTGATTGTATCACCCAAATAGAATTTTCTAAATATTATCTTCCTCTCCTTCTAAACTCTATCATCTTTGACCACAATTTCTATCTATTTAAGGTTTTCTTACCTTTTCCTTTTTTTCTACTCCAATATCTGATCTAATTTGTCTTCTTCTTCTTCTTCTTCAACTAATCAACATCATTACATGACTGTAGTCAAGTTTTGCTAATCGCTTTTGGATAATCTTTATTTTGTAAATCTCTCTCTCTTCTTCTTTGATGAAATAGGAACAGTTCCTATCGGATTGTTTGACCAAATCTCGTTGACCATGAATCAAGAATTCTCAGTTCCATGTATTGTAAAAAAAAAGTGAAATCCCTCAACATCCAAACTGTTTAAGCTCTTTCAATATCTTTTGCTAATCTCTTTTCATTTTATCCTGTTATTGTTTATCCAATCTAAATGTTTGCTGTCAATTACCAACCCTTTCAATATATTTTTACCCATCAAATGGTTATCAACATAAACAAATTAAAACATTTACCTGTTTCTCTGTAACAATTATTATCACAACAACGATAAAGAAAATATCAATCAACTAATTGGTCTCGAAAAAAAAACAACCAGAACAAAAAATGGAATCAATTTCCAATCAATGAATCAACATCTAAATATCACAATCGAATGTCAAACAATTAACCTTGACAATTAACCAAGAATCAGAAAAATAAAAGATGATTGATCAATTTGATTAGTTGATTTTCACTCGTACCGATTAACAAATAACAATGGAAATATTTCCAATGAGAGTAATTTTCTTCTTGTAGACATTTAAATGACCATTTAAATTGTAACTCGAAAGATTATTGGTCAATTTAAAGTTAAAATTAATCACAATTAAAAGGAAAATTAAACGTCACTTGGATTCTAATCCAATGAACATGAGCAACTAATCAGCTGGAGTTGAATTCAACTCATGGTTTTCAAGTGAAAAGAAGCCAAAAGGAAAACAACCTTAATCAAGGTGAGTTGTTTTCTTAATTTTAACTCATTAATTGCTTTGAATTCTTATTCTAATTGTGTTAATTGTTCTTATTTAAAGTGAGATAATCATGACCAACGATTCGGACTATCGTCGTTCTGTTAAAAATGATAATCCAAGTGATCGAGTTGATTCACCGAGACCTTTACAACCAGTTCTTAATTTGGATGTTTCCAATCTTGATGATAATTCATCATCGGCTTTAATTGCTGCTGAAGTACCTTCAAGACAATCTCTTTTCACCCTTTACACCCTTTTATACGATAAAGTGACCAATGTCCAGAAAGATGAAAGAAAACAAACTCTTGTTTACCAAGAGCTTTGTAAACGTTTAAGACAATTGGGCTTCGTTGAGGTTTTACCCCAAATTGATACTCTCCGGTCTTACCATCACAAATACAGTTTTCACCTTGATAATCTCATCTCGGAAATTTCTTTGGACATTGACCAGCAATATACTTCGCTTAATATTAACATAGGTGATCTGTTTTCTCGTAATTCATCGCTACCCAAGTCAAATAATCTGTTTGTCCGGTTAAATGTTAAACAACACCAACTACTCAACACTGATCCGATCTCCAATGTTTCCAACACTTCTCGATCCAATGATTTCCTAAATTGTGGCCTAATTGCTAAGGGTGGATTTGGATCCGTTTACAAGATGCAAAATTTAACCGACAAGTGTATCTATGCAATCAAGGCGATTCCATTTAAGAGTCGAAACCAAGTTGATGCCTCGAAAATAATGAAAGAGGTTTATTATTATGCTCTTTTGCCCTCTCATCAAAATATTGTCTCTTACAAAAGCTCATGGTTAGATCATTATGTTAAAGATTATGGGTCTCCAGCTGATTCTTTCAATTCTAGTGATGGTTTACAATCAACGACTGAATTTCTCTCCTCCACCGATTCATCAGGATCACCGCCATCAAAAGGAGCAACAGTCTCACATTCACCATCATCTAATTTAAAGGAGCAATTTAATCCTAAACAAGATGGTGACTCGTTGATCCAATCACAAGTAACACTTTCACCTGATACCCTACTGATTAAATCACCAAATTCACCTGAAAAATTATCTCAAGAATCATTTTCATCTCAATCGACATCACAAAATGAAAACAATTCAACTTCACTTTCTTCATCCACATCCACATCCTCATCAGCATCTTCATCCCAATTACCCTCTAAATCCCAACAATCATCATCTTCTAATGATTTAATGGTTGAATTTATTTCATCTGAACATTCATCTAATCAACAACAGCAATTAAAAATGAAACCAAAGGAAACTTGCGACGGTGATAAATTGGCCGTAACCACGAAGGTTAATACAAAGGCACCTCTTTATTATTGTGTCCTTTGTATTCAAATGGAACTCTGTTCATTTAACCTTCGAGCTTGGATCGATAAGAGAAACGATGATTTATACCATAAACGAAGTGAATCAGTTGATTACGATAAAGCGATTGACATTTTTATCCAAATTGTAAAAGGAGTTCATCATTTACATTCACACAATTTAATCCATCGCGATATTAAGCCTCATAATATCCTCTTTTCTGAATTGGGTGTTGTTAAAATCGGTGACTTTGGACTGACAACTTTTAATGCTCATGTCGAGGTTCAGGAAGACGAAACTTTGGCCTGGTCGGGAGAGGTACAAAATCGTACTCGAGGTTTGGGTACTTCATCGTATTCCGCTCCAGAGCAACAGAAAACTACTTGTTACAATTGTAAAGCTGATATTTACTCTTTGGGTCTAATTGCCTTCGAACTGCTTTACCCTTTGTTCACCGATATGGAGAGATCAGATCGATTCGATAAACTTAAAAGTAAACAAATATTACCTGAGGAATTAACTAAATGTCAACCATTTGCTGATCTAATTTTGGAAACAGTTCAAGATGATCCCGAATCTCGTCCCGATGCTGCGACAATACTTGATAAAGAATCGATTCTCCGTCATGGATGGAAAATTAATTCTGATCAACCTACTTACGAACAAGTTAAAGAAATTAATAAGCATTTAAATGATAAATTAACCAAATTGGAGGAAACAATTCAAGCAAAAGATGAAGAAATCAAGAGATTACAAAAGGAATTGGAAATTCAAGAGATTGACAAATTATCTAAAGCAATAGACACCCAATTGAAAAGCGACAATTAGTTAATGAATGTTAATTGTTTCTCTGGAAATCTAATCTAATTATTACAACGAATGACCAAAGTGACCAATCATATGGAAAATATTTTTACATTATACTGCCAAAGGAAATGATTAATTGATGTAATCAAATGATTAAACTTTTATTTAGACTTTAAAATCAAAATTAGAAACAGTTTACAATTTAATTTTTCTAAGTTTTGTAATTGTGAATCCGATTGTATCAGTTTCAGGAGAATCAATTTCTTGATTAGTATTAATGAATCGCTGGATTTTGGTTAAATCATCGGAGGTTAAATTGTGATCACCTTTGAAACCTGATTGACCAAAATGAAAAGGTTTTTGTGATTCCAACTTTATCTGTGGATAATCAGTTAAAATTTTATCAACAATTAACTCATTTTCTTCAATAGTAAAGGAACAGGTTGAATAGACCAAAATTCCGTTAATTTTTAACAATTTAACCGCATTTTCAATTAGGCGAGATTGAATTTTAGGAAAGGACAGGAAACCGGACAAAGTTTTATCCCCGACAAGTTGAGGTCGTTGTCCAAGTCCACTACATGGAGCGTCAAGTAAAATCCGATCAAATGTTTCCTCTTGAAATGGAGGTTCAAGTTGATTAGTTGATTGATTGTTCAGTCTTCCAATTGGTTTGGTACAGTCATGATTGTAGACGGAAACAAATTGATCCATTTGCCATCGTTGAAGGTTTGACTTTAATTTTTCAATTCTTGATTTTGATACATCACAAGCGATTAGGGTTCCAGTCAAGTTCATCAAGGATGCGAGGTGGGTTGTTTTACCACCGGGGGCTGAGCACATATCGAGAACTACTTGACCCGGTGAAATGTCCAGAGTGTGAACTGTAACCATGGAGGGAAAATTCTGAGCAAAAAAAAGGTCATCCATGTTTCCATATAAAGAAGGAGCTGGATAGAGACAGTTAGTTAATTGAACACCGATTCCTTGAGGTGGATGATCACAGAAAATGTCCCGACGATCATGAAAACTGATCCCGTTTCCGATGAAAACCTTAGCCCCTTTGTAAGGTCGTTTCCAACCTTTTAAACATTTGCCTTGAATATCAACGTAAACGGCCACTTGGTCGGATTTCCTTAAATCAGATGGAGCGCCGATTATCCCACCAACGTAAATCTCTGATCCTCGAAGTACCGATTGACCTGCTCGAAGATCAATTATCACTGGTTTACCGTGAGGTTGCAGAGATTCAATCTGATCATAACCCCCATTCGTAACAATTAGTAAATCTTTAAGGATCGGATGAACTGAGATGGATAAAGATTCAACCGGAAAACGATGGCAACGTTCAGATAGAATCTCTTTCAATTTGGAAACAGCAGTTGACGAATCCATTTTATTACAATTAAATCGTATTGTTGTAAACTTTGGTGGTCGAGTTAACCATTTTTCTAATTGACGGAATTTAATTTCACTCAAATCATCTCCATTCGAACCATCGTTTTCCATTAACAACCATGATTTACTCAGAGAGTTTTTGAGAAAAATTCTTAAATCATTAACTCGTGTAAAAGGTGATTCTGGATAACAGGCCATAGTTTCAATAGATCTTAAATTGTTATAATTAAATCGCTGGTAAGCAACATAATTAACAGAATTCACAAGCTTAAAAAGTTTAGTCGAATGGCCAATGAACTGAAAAAATTTTGTTGAATTATACCAATAACAGTTCATTAAACACAAAGACAATTAGTATTGATTCGTTGCGAAAAGACAAAATTAAAGACCTGATAAAATGACAATTGAGAAAACAAGTTAATTGAAACGAATAATTAAAAACAATTTTCCACCAAATTAAATGAAAACTCTCACATGTTCAATGTTTACAAATTAACTTTCATCTGATTGGATTTTGGGAGAAAAACAAACGCGCGACAATTAAAACTTAATTGTAACAATTTCCATCCAGTTGAATATTAAAATTCTTATATTTAATTGAAGTGGTAAAAGATAAACTTGACGTTGGTTTAGAGAGCAATTTAACAATTGAACAAACTAATAATTCATTTTGAGTGGACAACCAGTACGAACCAAGAGTCTCTGAGCGGTGAGAGACAAGGTCACATGTAATTTCTGACCGATCATCCGGCCAAAGGTTAGTTGGTAGAAGGATCTACCTTTAGGTCACATTAATAATCGATTGATGGTAGACTTGCATTGCAATTAACTCTTTTTTATAATCGATTGTTGGAATTATAAAATTGCCGAATTTTAAATTATCAAGAAATGTCGGCAAGCTCAACTTTTCTACTTTCAGTAAACGTTTTTTCGGCTTACGACTCTTGGTTTTTAGGAAAATGATTTAATCTAATTAATTAAACAATTAGTTCAACAATCTAAGATTATTTAACTCCTTGTGGGTATAACGAGTACATGTTAGTCCACATTTAACAATGAAATATAAGCTATTAGTGAAAGACAGATCTGATTAGCTGTCGACAGCTAACATTAAATTTATTGTGTGACAGTTTGATTGCCTCAGGACCTTTGGGCCTTCCCTTGTCCATAGTGACCCTTAATAATGAAAACCTAACCTAATTAAAAAAAACACAAGTAATTGAGCGATTAAGTTAATTTCCTTATGTAGCTGTAATCGTAAGCCGAAAAAAGTCAGCTGAAAGTAGAAAAGTTGAGCTTACGAACATTCCTGGAGCCTCACCCATCAAGTGTACCGAGTGCAACAAAGAAACTACCAAGACGCATAACAAAAGCACGTCTGCGCGTGTTCACCGTCATTCAACCGCATTGGTAAAAACTAAATTCACACTAAATTTACATTCCAGTTACTAGAATTCATTTTTAGATAAAATTCTTTCCAAACTGAACACTTTGGGTATCATGTCACAACGATTAGTCGATTTACACACAACATGGAATAGACTTGAAAAAAGTTCCTTAGGAACTCAAACCAAATCTAACCATTCAAACTCTTCAAATTTAACTGTTCCTAAGGAACAATGTAAATCAGATCCTAAGGATCTGAATGGATTAGATTACAACAGAAACACCACCAACGGGCTATCGATTGAATCTCCAAAGGAGATTTCTAATCAATCACTTAATCATTATGTTCCTAAGGAACATAATCCAAGCTTAAGGTGTGAACCTAATCAAGAAAAAATGAAGATCAATCCTCGTTTGATCGATATGAAATCCTTTGTAAAGCAAATGGATCCTTTGACTTGGCTCTTTGTCTTTGAGAAAGCGATAAAACTATTTAATTATTCGGACGCCGAAAAAAAGGAGAAACTTCTATATCGCCCTTCAAATGAATTCCACTCCATGTTCGCTCAAGTAGCTGAGAAGTACCAAGGTGAACCGTTCGAAACTTGGCTTTATTTTCTTAGAGAACGAATCCTCCATTCTTACACTTCTGATGAAACCGAAAAAGTAAGAACCATGAGATGGAACAGAGACATCGAACCCATTCAATTCTGTTATACTCTATTCGCTTGGTATAAAGCTAATTACAAAGCCAAAAGTGAACTAGAGACGGTCGAAATTATCCTCAGAAGACATTTCGATCGATCAGTGATCAGCATAATAAAAAGTCAAGGGCCAATTGGCACCATTGACGAGTTACACTTTCGATTAACGCGATTATGTATCGATAACAAAATTCGAAAGGAAAATAATGAACAAAGAAATTCACCTGAAGTAGAGAAACGACCACCTCATCAATATAATCGATCAAATCAACGAAATGATGAGAGAAAAAATAATTATCCTTCTCGAAGAGACAGTAAATATCCAAGGAGAGATAATCAACACAAGAGAAATTGGATTCCTGGAAGACAATATTTTCCTAAGGAAAAGGGCGATGAAAGGCCAAAACAATCGGCTTCTCCTGCTCCTAAGGAACAGGGCACATCTCAACCAACGAAACGTCGCCGCTTTTGTAAAAGTGAAACACGTAATGAGCCTGATTGTTGGAAATCACAACGAGAACGAGCGGCAACGCCAGAAATTTCTAATGCCAATTCCTTTGGAAATTACGAAAAAATAGAAAATATTCCCGACAAAGTTTTTCGTAGCATCGAACACCCCTATCTAATTGTTCATGTTAAAGACCAAAATTTTGACCATAAAACAACGGAATGGGCCATCTTAGATACAGGAGCAAATTGTACTCTTGTTTCTCATCGATTAGCTAAACTAACTAATTCGCGTGTGTTTCCTTCATTGGCAATTTCATCAGGATTAGGTGGGGGAATCGAAATTGTTGGTCAAACTTACATGAAAATTAGAAAGGAAACCGAAAGGGAATCTTATCTCATCCGGTGTTTAGTAACAGCATTTGACTTCCCTGATCATATATTAGTAGGTACCGATATTCAAAAAATACTTGGTATCGGTGCCATACCAATCAATGGACGATTTCGCTTTTGGTTAGTGGGAGAAAAACAATTGAGAGAGAGATGCCATTTATTCATGAGATCTTGTAGCGCTGATGAATTGGAGCTAATTTTGGACCCAAATTGGAGCTAATGTATCAATTACTGGACAGAGAAAACTGTCCTCAACTTTATCTCTTAATGAAATAGTTCAAGAATAAACAAATTTTTATCAAATTTGATTGAAGTGTTTTTCTGTATCAAAATATTTTCTGTTTCTTATTAATAATTGTTTACATTTTGTTCACTTTAAAATTGTGATAATTTTAATTTAGTTGTAGGGGAGAGAATTGATTCAATTTTTGATAATTAAATAGTTTTTCATGTTAAACACAAATATCACAATCGCAGAAACCAGGGCCTTGAACGGGTTCTACTCGAATGCCGCGTTTCAACATTCGACATCGTTGGTCATCTAATCGTAATGTTGCCGATGAAATTGATGTGACATCTTTGGCACTCCAAAGTCTCTCAGCTACGGCTGAAGCTCGAACCCTTTAAAATAACAAAGATATTAGTTTAATAGTAATTCGAACAAGATTTAATTGTAGTTTATCATCTTACCATGTTCTTGAGATTAAATTGTTACCATCAACCCATTCACCCCAAACACAGGCTTCACCTCCAATGACTAAATCATAATCGGATGTTGATGATACGTTAAAAGCGAGAGGTTCAACTTTATAATAAGTTTGCCAATCAGATCCATAGGAAATGTAATTAAGGTACCAGGGCGATGAGAGGATAGTTCGATAACCACCAGAGACAACGGAAGATAATTCTGATTGATAGTCACCACTTTTCCAAACATGGACAACGGCATCAGAACGCAATTTAACACCATTGTCAAAAACTTCTTGCCAAACGATGTAGTTTTTTTTCAATTTGTCCATAATAGTGATAACCTTTTGAAGGTAATAACTTTCCAGGTCAGCATAGTTACCCTCAATTCCAAGTGATTTCATGAATGAATTAATTTCAGGGTTAGATTTCCAACAAGAAAAGTCAACCTCATCTCCACCAAGATGGATAAAATCATCGGGGAAAACTTGAGAAATTTCCGAAAAAAGTGACGCCAAGAAAGTATAAGTTTCATTCTTACTTGGGTCGATTGGACCATAAGAATTGGCCGCTGGTTGACTTCCCGAATAACATTGAGTCAAAAGACCCTTGATTCCCTTACCCCAAGCAAGGGTGTGACCTGGTGTATCAAATTCAGCGATCACACGGATACCACGAAGTCGAGCATATTCAAGAACAGTGGCCACATCTTGAGGTGTGTAAATGTGACTTGATCGAAACGCTCCGGCTTGACTAAGTGATGGAAAAGTGGTACTAACAAAGGGAAATGATTGATCGTCAACAATATGCCAGTGGAAAACGTTCATCTTATTAAAGGCCATTGCGTCTAAATTTTCGAGCAAAATGTGAATCGGAATATAATGTCGAGCTGTGTCCAAAAGTAAACCTCGATAGGTGAACCGAGGATAATCAACGATAAAAGTTGAATTAATTATCCAGTTACCCTTATGAGGGACAATCAGTTGACTGAAGGTTTCCAATCCTCTTAAAATACCCCAGAACGGGGCAAACAAAGCGGCATCGTTTGGATAATCGGCCGTTGCAACTCGAAGAGTATAAATCTCGAAACTTTCTGAAGTGATAAATTTCTCACAAGAATCGGCACTAATGGTTAAATTGTCCAAAGATCCACCAAAATTTGGATCATGGGAAAGATCTTCAACTGGATCCACAGGTAATTTTTTACCATCACAATTTGTTCTCAATCGTGAACAATCAGAGAGAAAGAGCAATTTAGAATATCGATCAATAGCTTTTTCCAAAATTTCACATCCAACTGATTTTTCGTCCAACAAAAGCTTGAACTTGGATGGATTAAGAGTGTAAAACTTAGCACTTTGTTGAAATGATTTAGGTTGAGGCCAAAGATTAGCACAGTTAATCTAATAAAGAAAAAGAAACAATTTATTTCATCATAATTCACATTGGAAATTTTGTTTACTCACCGAGTCCCATGTAAGTCCAACGATAAACAGCAAGATTAATTTACAGAACATTTTTCTGGTTATTTAACACAAATTATCCAGTTAATTGTAAAACAATAAGTAAACAAGTGATGAGCTACCAATCCAACGAGATCATTTATATTCTAATTGTTCACCTTAGTAAATAAAAGACAATGGTGATTGTATAATTTGTTGACGAACAGAAAATTAAGATTTTTTCGATTGTTAATTGTATCAGGTTTGTTTTCTCCTGCCAAGTTGGTCTTTGATTAAATCTCTTCTTCTGTTATTACTCTCTGTTAACGATAAACAAGTGAAGAGATAAAATAAAAATGAGTAAAGATACAGAAAGAAAACAATAATAGGAAATGATAGGAGATGATATTAAGTACATGGAGAGAATAAGATAAATTCAATTCAATTTTTTACCTTTTATCAATCCGTTTTGTATCATTAATCTTCTGGTAGAATTAGTGTGTTTTTTTCTCGCGATTTCTTCAACCAAGTAAACATAAAGTCAATCAACTTTTCAATGGATAAATTGAGAAATCAGTCAAACCAAATCAAATGACAGTTTACTTCAGTTCGGCTCTAGGATAAGTTGTTACAACATTTGACAATCCAATTGTCGGAATACAATTTCTTCATCCGTTTCATATCCTAATCTTCAATAATCAAGACGACACTTAACAAATTGTGTCTATCTAGTAGAGGAGAGAGAGAGAGAGAAGAGTAAAAAAAAAATAATAGAAAAACAATTTAGTCAAAATAAAATTGATTCATTAAAGTTGTTGTGATGAAGAGGAAAAACCAAAACTCTTGAAGTGAAAATTGAATCATTAACAAAACCGATAAAAAGAAAATTAAATTTACATAATTGGAGAAATTAAAGAAAAACAACTCGACGATTTCCAAATCTTGCTTAGTTTTAACACATTAATTCACAAAAAAAACAAGTATAATCAGTTAATTGTCACCACAATTAATAAACAACAAACTTGAAGAAACCAAAAAAAAAAAGATTTAGAAATGAGATGAAATTTTTAATTCTAATTGGTCAAAGGTTAAACCGCGAAAATTTGAACTTGACATTGAATGTTTACTTTTCTAAATTAATTAGAGATAAACTGTTTAATTAGCTTTTTTTCAAGATTAATTGGGACATGAAGTTGATTTAGAGGGTCGAAAAAAACTAAATCAACTAATTGTTTAATTCTTAATGAAGCATCTCTTTGATATTTAACCTTTTCCATCTCCATGGTGATGAGATTGTTTTGATTTTCTGGTTCAATTTGACAATTTTAATCTTTATTGTTTATCAGTTTATTTTGATTCGATTTCTCTTTTTGATTAATTATCTTGGATTGTTAATGATGATTAAAGAACAAGGAGAAGATAATGTTAAGGTTGCTATTCGATGTCGACCTCTTTTAACAGAGTCCAATGAGAAATCAATGATAATCCAGGTAAGAGATTATCTTAAGTCATTTTCTTAATTCTGTTTGATTGATTGTGTCGATTGTTTTTCTTTCACGATCTAGAAAACATTTTATTGTTTTTCTTTTTTTCCCCTATTAATTAATCACTTTTTCTATTGCCTTTATTGTTTAGTTTGATGAAAATGGACAGACAATAATTGTTGGTACTCGAGAGTTTACCTTTGATACACTTTTCCGCCCAGAAGCGACTCAAATACAAGTCTTTACACAATCAGCTAAATTGATTGTTGATTCTGTCCTTCAGGGTTACAATGGTAAGTACAATTAATCAATTGATTGCAAGTGTAAATTGTTCCAAATGTTTCTATCTATCTTTCGATTAGGTACTGTTTTCGCTTATGGTCAAACGGGAACCGGTAAAACCTACACTTCATCCGGAATATTATCTCATAGTTTTGCTCATATTTTTAATTTTATCGCTTCAAGTGGTCGAGATACTCAATTCTTGGTTCGAGCTTCATATTATGAGATTTACAATGAGGAAATTAGAGATCTATTGGTAAGCCATTTCATCAGCAATCATCTAATTCTCTTGATTGTTGGAATTTGTTTAACTATTCAAACATGAATTCCCAACAACCATCAGTTTCCATTGTGATGGCGATTTTTTATTCCAACTAAATTGCGATAATTTTTTGATTTTATATGAAAATCTATTGAATGAAATTCAGAATAAGAATAACAAAACCTTAGAACTCAAGGAATCAGCTCAGAGTGGTGTCTATGTTAAAGATTTATCCTGTTTCGTGGTGAACAATGTCAATGAGCTTGAAAAATTACTCGAAAAAGGTTTGATCAAATTTAACTAATTGTTCAGTTTAAATTTTGATTTAATGTTTTTTTTTTCTTTTCATTTCAATTTTACTTCTTATTACCAAATTAATTTCTCGATTCAATTTTACTAATTATACTTTTGTATTGACCAATTACAGGTAACAAACAAAGAGCCATCGCTTCAACAAACGTCAACAAGGATTCGAGTCGTTCCCATACTGTTTTTACAATCGCAATTGAGATGATCAAAAGTAAGTTTTCCAAAGAGATTAACTGAATCAATTTATAATCTAAATTGTTCTTGTTAAGCTGCTCCATCGGAAGGTCGAGGTCCTGGTAATCTACGCGTGGGTAAATTAAATCTAGTTGATTTAGCTGGATCAGAGCGGCAAAGTAAAACTGGAACTCAAGGTGATCGCCTGAAAGAAGCTGCCAAAATTAATTTATCGTTAACTTCATTATCGTTGGTAATTGCTGCTCTAACAGATCCGAAAGCAACTCACATTCCTTACAGGTAAATTAATCAACAATTAGATCAGTCAACAATTAACCTTTTCTCCTTTTCTTTTGATCATTAGAAACTCCAAACTAACTCGACTTTTATCTGATTCTTTGGGTGGCAACTCGAAGACACTTTTAATCGCTTGTATTGGTAATTAATCCACCAAATCAATTGATTTACTTAAATTGTTTACATCATGATTTCTGTGTTTTCTTTAGGTCCTGATAAATCAAACATCGAGGAAACAATTAGTACCCTTAGATTTGCATCCACAGCGAAACATATTAAAAACAAAGCTCGAATCAATGAAGATGCCAAAGATACTTTACTTAGACGATTCCAGGAACAAATCATTGAACTTAGGAAACAATTAGAAGCCGCAGAAGCTGAAAACTCTGAGAATACTAATCAAATTGAACACGAAAATGTTAATCCAGTGATCGATAAAAAATCCTCTGGTAATCCGGAATTATTAGAGAAATTAAAATGCCTCGAAGAGAAAGTTATGGTTGGAGGTGAAAATTTACTCGAAAAAGCTGAACTTCAGGAGAAATTGCTGATTGAAAGTGAAGCTGAATTAGAAGCTAGAAAGTAAGAACGATTAATTAATCCAAATCTCAATTCTCAACAATCAAATTAATCTCCAATCAAATTACAGGAAAAAAGAAGACGAACTCAAATTAGCTTTGGAAGCTAAACAAGCCGAGATGATACAAATCGAGGAGTTTTATGGAACCTTACAAGAAGAAGTTGTTGGAATTAACAAGAAATTAAAAAAGGTAAATTAAAATAGACCAACAATCAGTTAATTGTAATTGATATTTTCCTCTTTCTCAGGTATTTAATTACTTATGTTCGGCCAAAAGTGAACTATCTGATATTCAAAGTGAATACAGTAAATTACGTGAAGATTTGCTGGACACAATCAGGGCAACTCACAAAGAGATTAAATTAGCTAATTTAATCATGAATCAATTCATTCCAGGTAAAATTAAAATGCTATTAATCATGATGAACAATTAGACACAAAAATTAACAATCAATTTCTTGATTATCTCCACACAATCAGAATCATGTTTCGAAATGATTCAAGAATCAGCTAAATACAATGAACTTGTTGGCGAGTGGCAATTAAAGTGTATTGCTTACACTGGAAACAATATGCATGATGTAAGTAAACAATTAACTTAATCATTAAGATTAATTAATTATACAATTTTGTAAATTGTTACTTTTCAGAAACCATTTCATCACGAGAAAAAGGATAATCAATTGGAAGATGATTTTCTATGTAAAGTTTATCTCTCTTATCGTAAATAAATCAACCTGATTAACGGTGGAAAAATAATTAATTGCAAGACGACAACTTAATCACAATTAAAAATAACAACAGCTTAGGATAAACATTTTCAACCAACGATTTAGTTAATCACCATGGTTTAAGTTTAATTTTACTTATTGCGCCAACAATAACAATTAACATAATTAGACTCATTACTAATTGTTGATTGAATTAATAATAATATTAACCTCTAATCGTGCTTGATTTTTGTAATTTACTCATGGTAACAATCAAACTATTGGGCAATTTGATGTTTACAATCAGTAAATGTCTTTTAAAGGTTAATTGTATATTGGAACTGTGGTTAGTATGAATAATATTATCATCTATTAATACCATTTATTGTTAAATTTAAATTAGTAACTTTTTAAAAAGATGAACTAATTTAAATTCAGTTAATATCAAAGGTTTATAAGATGAGATTAGTTTCTTCAGGTAAGTTAACTGTATATGAACAGGAAAAGCAGAAACAAAATGGCGACAAGTTAATTAAGGTTACAAATTTATTTCTGTAACACAGACTAATCATATTCCAACGAAAACAATCATGATTATTGTTACAGGAAGATTTAATTTAATCAATCATTAGGAGTATCCTCATGAAAGATGAAACCGGAAAATAGTAAATGAACCAAAAAGTAATGAACAATTTACCTGGAAAATAAAATAAAACAGAAAAAAACGCAATGAGAATCGAGCAACAATTAAGAATTTATAAGTAAATTGTAACAATTAGAATTAATTTTCAAGTAATTGATTGTTCTGATTGTTCTGATTGGTTAGTATTGTTTAGGTTCTTGACTTGGGAACGATTATTTTGACTAGAAAAGAGGAACAATCAAATCTGAACGAACTCAATTAACTATTTGAGTTGAATTATGAAACTTTTGGGTTAACCTTAACTTAGAATCTAAATTAAGATTTTTGGCAACCAGAAGGATGGAACCAGAAAAGAGTAAGGATGAAGATGATGATGATTTTTACATGAACAAGATGAAATTTAAACTGTTGAGATGAAAAAGAAACAGGATAATCCAGGAGAAGATGAAAAAATCTAATCCAATCTATTTAATCGTAGTAAACAATAGTGGATCTATTATGTATGAATCTTTTTCGTGATAAACCAGATTTTTACCTTTTCTATTCACGATCGATATTGATGATCATCTTCATCTTCTCTTCTTTCCACCTTTACCTTTCTTTTCTTAGTCATAAACCACAATCTCTTTCTGCCCATACGAATCTACATATAATGATACATAAATTGTCAAAGAGAGAGAGAGAGAGAAAATCGTTGATGATTATGATGAAAAGTTACCTTTATGCAAGAAATTACCATGGAGATGATAAGTTAAATTGTATCGATTGACAAATATTAGACATTGGGCCACGTAGAGTGAAAAATAATTAGGTAACAATTTGGAGGGGAAAACTAATTTAAATTAACCATGAATTCAGAAAATAGCCTAAGGTGCTTCCATGGATATGAATCTAGAAGAGAAAAGAAAATACAATTAGAATTATTAAATTGTTAAAGAATTAATTTTCATTAAATATTATAATAGTAATTAACTGTGAGAATGTATGAAATGAACAACAATTAGTAGATCAACAGAAAACGAGGAAAATCTAATTGTTCGGAAAACTTGTCGAAACAATCAACGATCAGAGATTAAAACTGATTGGAAACATTGTTTTTCTTTTAATTGTTAACAATCAAATTAAAAGGGTTGAGCCTAATTCTTTGATTGTACCTTGATTAACATAATTAACTATCGATTGTAATTCAAGGACTGGTTACGCTCTGGATAAGTTAACCATCTCTCTCCCTCTATGAGTATTTCCTATGTAATGATTGAACTTTTTTCTTTTCTCTCTCTCTCTCTTTATCATCTCCTCATCTCTCCATCACCAACATCATTATTATCATCTTATGATGACAAATCATCATCTTAAACACAATTAAGGTCCCACCCATTAGCCTATCCTAGTTTTTTATTCCTAATCTTTGGTTATGATTAAATGAATACCTCTAGTATGTGTTAGGCCATTGAGAAGTGTTTTTCATTTTTCATTCTTGAAATTCATACAACAATTAATCATTTTTTTCATTCATTATTGAGACTTTCTAATCATTAATTTGGTTTTAAATTGTTAAGTATTAATTTTCAAAAGAAATTAACTTACTTTTACTCAAGTCTCGTTCTGTGGTAAAATCAATATTCAATTGTTGATGACATGATCATGAAGGAACAACAATCAAGGGTTCGCAGATCTAATTAAGTTTGAAGAATAGTAAAAAAAGGAAAAATAATAATAATAACAATAGTTAATTATTAATTAAGGATAATTATATAATTGTTCACAAGTGATCAAGGTGAAGACAATAAATGGACTTCTTGATTGTGGTTAATTACTTTTTCCCTTGATAATTGTATTGTCTTCAATATGAGTATTTCCACCAATGAGTTAGTTGAGATGATAAACTTAATTGTGGATAATTGTTGAAATCAATTATTTAAACATTGGCTTGATTTTTATTCCCAGTGATTCCAAATGGATTAATGATCAGTTAATTGTTGATTATTCCAATTACTTTAAGAGTTAATTAGTTAGCCAGTGATGATTTGCCACTTTGATTTAGTTTCTTTTACCACAAGAGAGAGATTAATTTTTGTCTTCTTCCATCTAAATTGATGATTGTAAAATAAGATTAATTAGTAATTAATAATTAATTTTGAATGAAAAGATTATCAGTTAATCAGTTAGTAGCTTCAAGTACCTTTAATCAACAACAATCAAGACACAAGAGCTTCCGTAGTAAATCATAAAATACTGATTGTTGAGAAATTACAACTTCTTCAAATGATTTAAGATAATCAACAATCAATTTCTTGATTAAAGTTGTTTATCTTTATTTCATTTAATTTGTTTGATTAGTTAATTTTGATATTCTTTCACTCTCATATGATTAACTTAGTTAATTGTTTCTCTTTGTTGGTAATAAAATATATAAATATGAGAGTCCATTTTTCTCATGATCAATAAACTAATCAAATCATCACTTGATTGTTGTTGTTGTTGTTTAAAACATAAGAAAGAATTAAATTAAGTAATTTAATTTTGTTTTTCTTCTCCTCTCTAGTAATCAACATTAGTGGATTATAATTACAATGGTATATATGAGATTCTATGAGTTAAAATTACAATGCTCCAAGTTCATCTCGTTAATTGTTACAATACAATATTGATTGTTAAATTTTCTCCTATCATCGTCATTGTAATTATAATTGATTAACATGATGATGATTACACAAGAATCAAATGAATTAGTAGATAGTCATCACAAATTGACCAGAAATTGATTATTTTACCTTTGTTTTCATGGTCAATCCCGAGAATATGGTTCACATGTATTAACGTTATGGTTGGAGAGAAACAAAAAGAGAGAGAGAGACAAAATCAATTTGATTGACCACAACGATTGACCATCATTAAGAATTAGAGGAAATCCAATAATTATCCAAATCCAACATTACCCTTGAGGCTCTCAACTTTTGACATGATTACAAAGCAAATGATGAATATTATCCTTGGGAGAGAGAGAGAGAAAAGAGAAAAATTGTTAATTTGATTCCAATAATATTCTCAAGGCACCGGAATATAAATATACACAGAGAAATGAATTTATCGAATTATTGACTGAACAGTGAAGAACAAGATTAAATCACAATCAAAAGGAGAATATAAACAAATTAACGATAAATGAATTATCGGTAAATTAAATTACGTAACAAAAGAAAAAGAGTTAAAAGTGATTAACAGTTTCACTTGAAGAAATAACAAAAAAAAACCGGGAAAAGAGAAACAAAGAAAAGTGGATTGATTGATTGTTTACCTCTTAATTGTTTCTTCGCGATTATTAGTTGATGTTAATTGTTGACGAACAATTTAAATTCTACACACCAGAGAAAAGAGAGAATTTCCTGTAATCACATAATCCAAATATCTGTTTGTCTCCAATCATCAAAATGAAGAAGAAAAAAAAAATTCTCCAAAGAGAAAAAAAGACAAAACAAAAACACCGATTCTTTTTTTTCTCCTGGTTAATTGAACGACCGATGAACAATTCCAACTGAATTACAGGTAAGTTTGTTTTCTCTCTTTCATGTTGACCAACCTGAATAGCCTTTGGCGATAATTAAGTAACATTTTAATTGTCACTAATTAACCTTTTCCATTAATATTACACAATGTAAACACTGAAGACCAAACCCAAGACCAGGTACTAACCTTTTCCAATGGTCGCCATTGTTGTTTTACCTTTTTCTCTGTTTTCTTTTCTCTTTCTTTCTCTTGAAATGGTTTTTTCTTTTTCTCAACCAATTCCATCACCTAAAGCAATTTAAACTTGCAACTTGGAACAATCAGTCGATGATGATGAGAAAGAGAAGACAAGTGAAAGAGACAGAAGAAGATGAAATGTTACATAGAGAGTGTAGAGGAAGAAGGAGAGAGAAAAGAGAAAGGCGGTAAAGAGAGAGAAAGGGAGACAGAAAGGGAGACAGAATCTCTTCAAGAGAGACTGTCTGTTAGTCTTCATCCGAACATTGGAGGTAACAGACTTTCGACTCTCTTTCATTTCTCTTGCTTCTTTCGATTTATTCTCAATAATTTTGTTCTCTTTTTTTTCTATTCTTTTCCTCATCTTTTTCTCTATCACCATCTCTTCATAATCATCATCATCTTTATTCATCAATTTCTCTTCTCTTTACATCAACTAGTTTCTTTTTTCTTATTCTTCTCTCTCTCTCTCTCTCTCTGGTAAATGAAGTGATTTTATCTAATTAGCTAATTGTTTTTCTTTCATCTTTTGTTTTTCTCTCTCAATTTTTTATGCTTCACTTTGATTTTCTCTTCTTTCTCCTCTCTCTCTTAGATTTTGTGTATCCTTTTCCCTCTCTTTCTGTTTTTTTTTCTCTCTCTCTTTTTCTCTTCCTCTGTTGTTTTTATTTTCTCGTGTTTCATTTCTATTTGTTTTAATCTATTAGATGTTAAGGGTTAACATATCAATATTATCATCGCAATCGCCATCAAAAATTGTTCGAGTGGAAATTTCTGGTTTTATTTGTGCCAATTACAGTTAGCTGATGATTTATTGTTCTATTGTCCATCTTATTTTATGTTCACCACAATTTGGATTAGATCTTATTGTTCAATTTATTCTAATAGCTTCTCTTAATCTTCCATCTTTATTTAAATTACCAACAGTTAACCAGAATAGAATAGAAAGTGAACACAATTCTTTTCTATCTCAGTTTGTTGATCTCTTTCTTTCTCCTTGTAAATAAGCTTCGAATATTTTTTCTCTATATGTTGACTTTGTTTACCTTTTTTCGACTATTATTTTCTATGTTAATTTTCTTTCAGTTTTTACGATGATTTCTGAGTCTTTTTAATATTAATCCGCTTCATCTTTTATATGTATCCAGTTTCCATATCTCTCCCATCGTTTGGGTTTTGCTTCTTTTTGCTTCTTTTTACTCCTTTGACTCGACTTCTTGAACTCCTTCCTCTTTTTCCTTTTATTTTTCTCTCCAACTTTCCAATGTTCAGCATAATGATAATTTATCTTTCTTATATTTTCTGTTACCTAGTTAATCAAAATCGTATGATCCCGGCCCATTATCTGTAAATAACTGGAGAGTTCTCAGGAGATGCTGAAATGGCTTCCGATTTTGGCTTTATTCGTCAATTTAAGTAACAACCAAGTCTCTGGTAATCCATTAAATCGATCTGAAACACTTAAACCAACCTTCACTGCAGCTTCGCAAATCAGGTAAGACTTAATACTTTTCGTATTCCCTTGAAAACCCTATGTTATTGAGAAATTAGAAGAGTTTACACAAAAAAAAACGAGTCTGTTGGTAATCGAAAATAGTGTTTTTTTACTATTTTGAATTAACATCCACTAATTACTCTTGTTAATACAGTTTATCTTGATTAGTCCTTTGTCTGTTTTTCTTCAGTGTTTTAATATCCTTTTCCTGTCTATTTATCTCTTTAAAGTGGTGCACCCAACAGAGCTACCTCACCCTTTAGAAATGATAATCGATCTGTTATTTATGGGATTCGAGCTTTGGGAGGCTCGTTTGAGGAGGGTACGCTTAGAATTCCGGCCGATAAACTGACTACGCTCATTCTTTTTGGTCAACGATTAGAAACGACCGAAGTTACTTTTACCAAAACTCCTAAAGGTCGAGATCAGAATGTGATGCTCTTGATCATTCCGAGGTTTTCACTGCCAGTGAAATTGATGATGGTGTTTACGAGCTTCATGTCACTTTACCTCCATATTCGGGAAGTTTTACATCTGTACTTTGGATAAAGATCGTCGATCATGGCATCATCAAGGAGATGCATCATATCTCCAAATTGGTACCAAAGTTCCAATGTTACCTGTCTGGGTTTCCATTCTATTGATCTTTGTATTACTTTCATTTTCTGGACTTTTCTCTGGTTTAAATCTTGGATTAATGTCTTTGGATAAAAATGAACTTCTGGTAATCGCTCGTTGTGGTACGGAAGAAGAGAAACGATATGCAAGAGTTATAGCTCCGATTCGTAGTCGAGGTAATTATCTTCTCTGTTCTATTCTTTTGGGTAATGTGTTCGTCAATTCAACCTTGACAATTCTCATGGATGATCTAACCTCCGGTCTGGTCGCCGTCATCTCTTCAACCCTTGCTATCGTCATATTTGGTGAAATTGTGCCTCAAGCCGCTTGTTCTCGTCATGGTCTAGCCGTAGGTGCCAAAACCATTGGAGTTACCTATTTTTTTATGGGGCTTACATTTCCTCTTTCATATCCAATTTCAAAAATTCTCGATCTTTGTCTGGGCGATGAGATTGGTCATGTTTACGACAGAGAGAGACTCATGGAATACATTAAGGTTACCAAGACTTACAATAAACTGGAAGAGGACGAGGTTAACATTATATCCGGTGCTCTTTGTCTCAAAACTAAAACTGTTTGTGAAATAATGACCCGATTAGAAGACGTTTTCATGCTTCCCATAACTGCGACCTTGGACTTTAATACAGTCTCGGAAATATCTAAAAAAGGTTACTCTCGAATTCCCGTTTACGATTCGGAGCGTAAAAATGTTTGCGCTCTTCTTCATGCCAAAGATTTAGCTTTTATTGATCCTGATGATAATACACCTTTAAGAACCATAATTGAATTTTATAAACACCAGTTGATTCACACTTATGAAGATGAAACTCTCAACAATTTATTAAATCATTTCCGCCTTGGTATGTAAACATATTATCATTTTCACTCTTTTTATCATCCAAAAAAAACCTATTATTTCCCACTAGCTATTATCCGCCATCATAGTTATTACCGTTCTTTACTTAATCATTATTTTTCATTTTCCAAAATAATCTTCTTTTCATCATCATTCTCATTAATTACTTGATCAAACTCTCTTTCTCTCTCCTCCTCTTGAAATCTTCACAAATACAATCTATCTGTACTCGAAGATAAATATTATGGAATTGAGATAGAGAAAAAAATACATTCATAACTATGTAAGGCTTCTTAAAACTTTGTTCTACAAACAGAAATTAATCGGGATCATCATCATCTCATTGAGAAAAATAAGTGACGAGAAGAGAGAGAGAGAGAAATAGATAAACATGGATCATTTTGATGACGATGATGAAGGAAGATTAGGTGAGGGAGTGAAGAGGTAAAGGCGAGAGTAAACGATGATCAAGTTGATGAAGATGATGATGATATGAAAAGATACTTTTTCTACCTTGGATAGATAGAAACTGCTCATGGGCTTCTCGCCCATTTAACTTTTGCTTTGATTGTGAAATAATTCAAAATTTCTTCATCCGCAATAATCATCATCTTTCTCCTACTTAAAGTTTTCGTTCTTTGCTGCTTTCCTCATGTTTACAATTCTTTACTGAAGAGCATAGATGATTCATCGAAGGCATTAAGAAAAATAAAGAGAAAGAAAGAGAAAGAGAGAGAGAGAGAGAGAGAGAGAGAGAGAGAGAGAGAGAGAGTAGGATGATGAATAAAAAGATGATCTGTTTCAATTCCATTTTATTGTTTCTTTTTTATCTTAAAAGTTAGTTCGTTGTACTTCAATTGATAATTTCTTGAGTTTCAGTTAAATTAATAATTCTCATTAATATTGTTTCATTTTACTTAATTTTAGTTAATCATTACTAACACTTAGAACCATTTACAGACTATTATACTATTAATAGTATTAACTACAAGTATAAACAAGTCATTTTCAAATCCATTAGTCTGATTAAATTGTTTCCTGACTAATATAATCAACATTTTCATCGTCAGGTAGATTCTTAACAATAAGTTGATATTGAAATCTTCACTTAATCAATTTCACATTAAACAATCTGTTCTGATTAAACATAAATCAGTAAATTATTAATAATAATGATCATTGATTGAACAAAGTTTCCATCAATGATCATTATCATGCTACTCATCTAACAAATTGTCTCAATGAAATCTATTGTTTATCTTTTGAAAGACAAAAATTTTCACAATAATTTGATCAATTTGATTGAGTTAAAATAAATATATTACAAAGTTTGATTACTATTCTCATGTTAATTATCACTCCTCATTATATTAATAATATTTATCTTCATCTGTAATTGCTTATAACAATCAAAATGATGAACCTGAGTCGATTTACAATTTTAATAATCTGTAATTTGAGGAATCATGAAGATGATTATTATTATCGTTCAACTTAAGATTTATCAGATGATCATGATTACTATTATTATGAATATAGCTCAAGACTTTTCTTTCATCATCTTTTATATCCACCCTGTCTTGGTCATTCCCTTTTCTTTTATCATTTTCCTCTCCCACTCTCTCCAGGTAAATGTAACCTTCACTTTTGATTTATACATGATTCGGTCAATTTGTTATAAAAACAATTCGATAAGCCTGAATTGAACTTTTTCTATTGTACCTGAGACATGAATCATTGTTATCAATGAAAATCGAATCATCATTTTGAAAGGTTAAAATTATATTTCTCTTTGAGTGGAAATGGAAAAGACTTTCAGATTTAGAGCAAGGGTGAAAATCTCTCTTAATCTCTCCAGACAATTTTACTCAGCTAATCTTGTTCCTAATCTCCCTTGGTGCCAATTTTATCCACCTCCACCTTCATCCTCTTGTTTCACTCCTCTCTACCTCCTTAATTGTTTTTCCATTGCTCCATTTTTTTGTGAATGTTCACTCTTTCCAAAGGGCCTCTCCCTCTAACTGTCTATTTACAATGTTGATCTTTTCATTAATTCCCTCCCATCTTCTCATTAATGTATATTTTTCTCTGTCATTTCTGTCTCACAGGAAAAAGTCATATGGCCTTTGTAAGAAAAATATTTGCTACCGAAGATGCGGATCCATATCATGAGATAACCGGTGTGGTTACTCTTGAAGATGTAATTGAGGAGATCCTTCAGATGGAAATCGTTGATGAAACCGATATATTAAGTAAGCATAACAAACTCATCACCACAATCATCATGATCGATTTTTTTACAGTGACAATAATATTAAATCATCTGTATCATGACGATTAAGTTGCTCGATGATCTTTGATTAGTTATCACTATTATTTATAATAAATCTTTTCCCCTTTTCTTTTTGTAGTTGACAATAGGAAGAAACAACGTAGAAAGGGCGCTGAACATCAAGATTTTACCGATTTCGCTCGAATTGGTGCTGGACCAGGAACCCAACATATTTCATCTCAAATGGCTTTAGCTACTTTCCAATATCTGTCTACAGGTAAATCTAATTGTTTTTTTTCAAAGCAAATCACAAAACAAGAAGCAACTATTCAAGTGGAGACTCTCAACTAAATTACTATTTGATTTTCGATATAATTATTTATCATCAAACAAATCGAACATCAATTAACTATTTACTTTCTCTATTTGTATTTCAACTAATCAGTTAGAAGCATTAATATTATTCAATTTTGATCTTGGAGTTTGTTCAATGATAACTTACGATTTGTATCATTGATTCAAAATTTCTTAACTTTTATGTTTTGTGAAATTGAATCAATTATTTGTTGTTTTATTTTTAATCAATTGAATTTTAATTTGCTTTATTTTTTTTTCTTCTTTTAGCTGTTGAACCTTTCAAGAGTAGACTATTGAGTGAGACTGTTCTTCGTCGATTGATTGCTCAAAAAATTTACTATTTCGTTAAAAATGTCGGAGACAATGATGCAAGAAGTTTACAAGAACGAACTATTTATGCGGCGGGACAACCTTGTAATTACTTCGTAATGATCTTAGAGGGTAAAACAAAGGTGACCGTAGGAAGTGAGGCTCTAATGTTTGATGCTGGTCCATTTACTTATTTTGGAACATCAGCTTTACGTTTAACTGGAAATGATATTCGTAGTTCAACAACCACCGGAGGAGGAACTCGACCCCCAACTCCCGAATCACCTGGTTTTGGTTCAACGGACATTAAAAAGGCCATTGAAGCAAACAGATTACCCGTACAACCTGGAGCCGATCCTGGAGTTACTTTCCGACCCGATTTCTCGGTTGTCATTGTTGAACCAACTCTTTACATGAAAGTTCCTCGTAATGTTTATTGTGCAGCATATCGAGCAACTCTTCTCGAATATCAGAAGGGCTGCCCACCCGATGAAGAGAAACTCCAGAGAGAAATCGACAAGGCCTTTATCGATGACGAGAAAGAAGAATCTCCCGAGACGGGAAGAAAAGACTATCACATTGCCGGTGAAAAAGAGAAACTATTGAGCGAAGGTCAATTCAAAACAAATGGAAATAGTCCTCATTCAGAGCGTCGTCCCTCAAGCCCCCAAACGAATCCACCTCCACCCGTTAAACGGAAAAACTCTCTCGCAGCATTGGCGCGATTACCCGCTCAAGCAGCGGCAGCTATTTTCACCAACAACACAAATAAAGCTCCAAGCTCTCCATTGTCTAATTATCCACCCACCTTAAGCCTTTCATCCAAGGTCACTCCGACTCCCGATCGTAAACCAACACCACCATCACAACCACCAGCCCAAGTGCAAAAAGCACCACCACCACAACCACTGCAACTACAACAAGAAGAACCACCCCCTTCACCGACAAAGTACAATCCAAATAACCGTCGAAACGGATCCCCTAGTAAAGAATCACCAATCAGAGGAAGATCTCCCTCACCCCCCAGTAGCCCGAAAGAGGATTCAGCCCTTATCTCAAAGCCAACAACGAAACCAAACTAAATTATCATTAACCTACGAAAAGACGAAGAAAATAATTGATCATTAATTAGTTTATACAGAGACATTTAAGAAGACAACAAATCTAACCGCTTATATTAATCATCTATTTAATTAATATTATGTACATCATCTGTACATATGTATTATGTTTACACACACTTATAGTTATCGAAACTCTTGGACTATTTTTCGTCGCCTCTTTGCCACTTCTACCTCTTTCTATCCTCTCACTCCTCCTCTCTATCTTTCTCGTCTTCTTCAAATCATCAAACTTATCCTTAATTTCATTAACTAATTATCATCTCATCCTTGCTCACTCAACTTGATGCTCTCTCTCTCTCTCAACTCTCGTTTTTGTTAATTTTTCTTCCCTCACATTCATCCTTCGTTTTCGACAAGATATTTATTCATTGTCTCTCTCTCTTCATACTCTCTTCCATCTCTCCCACCACCAAAATTTTTTTTCTCATGCGAAAAAAACAAACAATCAAATTAAGCAAATTTGTTGAAAACTATTTCTCTCTTCCCTAAAGGGAAAGTTATTACAGTTCTAGTGATTATCTATTATAATTCATAGTTGAAATATTTTCTGTATTAGTTTATATATACGTTTATTAACTATATACATGTATAGTTAATTATTATTATTAACAGAAGATTCAATTTAAATGATAAATCTTATTAAAGAAACTTAATTTTTCAGGAACCGACAGAAATCAATTCAACAAAATTGCTCTAAATCGATTCTAAATTTGATTATTCTAAAGACAAAAGCTCATAAAATAATTATGATCATATTAGAATGACTCTAGTACTTGTGAGTGCAAAACAAAAGTGAATTAATTAATAACAATTAATTTATTTATAATATTGAATCAGAATTCAATTTCTCTGCCTACTCTCTCTCTCTCTCTCCTCATCTTTCCTGCATTTAATTATTAATATAAAATCAGATGTAAATCTATGCAATACTTAGCATTGAAAATTAAATACTTTAATATATATGATAATAATTAACTATTATAAATATTTGCTAATTATGTAAAACTAAAAGCAATTAAGAGTCATCATCATTATCGTTATCATTATTATTACATCATTGATTAATATAAACTCATATTCTAAAAACTATTCAACAACTAAAGTTGTAACAATTATTTATCCAAAATTAATAATGAAAAGAAAATCAATTTCCACAATCACTTAATTACGATTCAATTTCAATCCGAAAACATCAGCTTATGTTTACACACACACTTAAAGTTATCGAAACTCTTGAACTAATATTTTTCCTCTTTCTCTTCCCCTCTCTCGTATTTAAATCATCAAATTTATCTTTAATTTCACTTAAGTTAATTAATATTAACAGAAAATAAAATTTAAACAATTAGCTTATTTAAAAACCTAATTTTCCAGCAACTAACAGAAATCGATTCAAGAAAATTGCTCTGAATCGTTTCTGAATTTGTCACCAATCCTAAGCCGAAAAAATCAGCTTAATGTTATTGCTAAGGTGACAGACACTTGTAACTCTACCTTATTGATTGTTTTCGTTTAGATTTTGTTGATTTAATTCTGTTTCTAATTTATTGATCATGACTGATTCCGAGGAAATTCATGACGAGATTGAAATTGAAGATTTCAATTACAATCAAGAGGAAGAAAAATTTACCTACCCTTGTCCATGTGGGGATCTGTTTACATTTTCAAAAGATGATTTGATTAACGGCGAAGAGATCGCTCGCTGTCCAACCTGTTCGCTAATTGTAAAAGTTATCTACGACTACTCGGACATTTCAAAGTATATTCGATCACTTGAGCGACCGGTGGCTGCTTCTTTAATCCGTCACTAAACGCGCTACACAATCAGTTTTATCCATTCGATCTGTTTCTTTCCTTCGTCAAGATCCTTTGCCCTCTGGAATCCTTGACCTTGGACCTTGTAAATATGGTGCTACCATTTACCTTTCAAATCCCCACTTTTTAGACGCTGATTCCATTTATGGTCATTCAGTGACCGGGTTTAAAGCCTAATGTATCGTTAACACATCGATTGATTGATAAATCTGTTTTTGTTTTTCTCACTTGCAAAGGCGGAAATGATTTAATAAATTGTTGAGAGTTTCATCTTCATAAGTGTGAATCAACTGGTGTTTATAAAATTCAATTATGGTTCTTAAAGGTGTATTATCATCAGGATCAATAAAAGCTAAATCTTTGGCATGAAGAAGAGCGCAAACATTTTTACGCTCCGAATCGTAAACGGGAATTCGAGAGTAACCTTGATGATGCCATGATCGACGATCTTTATCCAAAGTACAGATGTAAAAGCTTCCCGAATAGGGAGGTAAAGTGACATGAAGCTCGTAAACACCATCATCAATTTCACTGGCAGTGAAAACCTCGGAATGATCAAGAGCATCACATTCTTGATCTCGACCTTTGTCTCTCAATCGATTCGGACTTTGGTTCTTTTTCTCGGTTCATTATTCATGTTTATCGGTCATTTCTTGTCGATTCCGTTTTCATCAAATCAACTTGACTAATTTAATTTAATTCAAAATTAAATGAACGATTATTTCAATACGATCCCTTTAAGAATGTGTTGTCATGGTAACGCAAATGTTGTTTACTTTTTTCGTTTTGATTGTTAATTGTTGATCTTTTTTTTTCCCCAATTTATTTTTGGTTTTTGTTTTCATTTTCATTTTTCTCTTTATTTAAATTTAGTTTAAATCTAATTCTCAGTGAATAACTGAACATGAGTGACTCCGAGGAAGCAGAAGTTCATGATGAGGTTGAAATTGAAGATTTCACTTACAACGAGGAGGAAGAAAAATTCACTTACCCTTGTCCATGTGGAGATTTGTTCATATTAACCAAAGACGATTTAATCAATGGTGAAGAGATCGCTCGTTGTCCAACCTGTTCGCTAATTGTTCGAGTCATTTACGATTATTCGGATATCTCAAAGTACCTTCAGACACCCAAGAAACAGGCATCAGTCGCTTTATCCACATCAATGTGAATTATTCATCGTTTCCAACTCCTCCTCTTCATCCTCTTCATCCTCTTCATCCTTTTCGTCATTATCATCATCATCATCATCTTTTTTTGTTTCCTCTGATAAATAAACTTGGTTACAAGTCTAAACTTGGCTGTTGTTGATTCTTACATCTAATAGTTTCCAGTTAGTTAACAATTTAACATTAACTCAAGTTCATCTCTCTCTCTATCTAAATTGTACCTGAACATCATCATTGAAAATTCCAGCCTTTCATAAACTTTGCCAGTTTAGAATAGGAATAATTAACTGTAACAATTAAAAACAAATTGAGAGTTAAATTGATTAACCAAGAAAAATTGTAAAAACAACTAACAATTAACTCGTTCGCAATTATAATCAGTCTATCGTTACAATCTCATCAACAGAGAGACAAACAAATAATCGTCAACACAATTTAAATTATCTCATCTGTGTGTATCACCATCTAAATCAATCGTTAAATCATCAAATTATTTTAATTGTTGTACGTTAATTGTAATAATAATTTCGTATAAATAATATAATCATAATGTTAATTTCGTAATAAACATAAACAAAAGTATCAACTCTTGTTTTCTCATATTGTGACTTCCCTTCACTCCAACAATTGAAACATTTTTCTTGTCATAATCAATCATACAAAAGACAATCAAAGATCAACAATTAAATCAAATGGATCCAAAGTTAATTGCTCTTCTACCATTTACTTTACTTTTAGCAATATCTACATTCCTGTTGTGGAAACTTTTACCTGGAACTAAACCATTTGATGTAAGAATAAGTTTCTTTTCCAATTGATTGTTAATCAAATCAATTCTCAATTTCGAATCAACAAATTAAAGGGAACAATTAAATTTCTAGAATTACAAACAATAGAACTTTGTTTTTTTCTATTTTCTTCTCTTCTCAATATTCTCGTATCTCAATTCCATCTTTGCTCATCTTCATCAATTCAATTTCCTCTTCCTGCTTGAGGAAATTTCTTGGCAACAGAATAACAAGATAACTTGACAATTAAATCACTCGATTTAAATTGTTAATCTAATTTTGTTCTGTTCTTTTCTCCATATCAACTTTTGATTGTTCGATAATTTTCGCAATACCACAATTAACTTAATTGTTTGGAGGTTTTTTCTTTCATTATAATTATGATATTTCAATAATCACCTATGGGTGTGTTTGCATATTTCTTTGTTAATTGTTAACAGTTAATTGTTGGTATGATTAAGATTATCTCTGTTTGCAAATATCAATTATAAATGGTTGATGATAACGAATTGAAATTGAAAAGTTAATTGCTTGTTGTTGGTTATCAAATTAGTTGACAGTTAATGTAATCAGCCTGTTAAATGAATTAACTTAACCACAAATACACATTAAATTGTATCAATTATGTCTTATCACAATTAAGTTAATGATCATAAGTCTACAAGTCCAAGTTAATTTTAGGAAATTAAATTAAACTCAATCATTTGGTGTTGGATTTTAATTGTGATTAGTTAAGTTTTTTTTCTCTCATTCTCTCGGCAATTATCAACAATTTAACATTCAATTGTAACTAGAATATATTTGAATAATTAATTTAATCATTGATTATTTACTTAATCGTTGGCGATGAGTTGATGATTGAATTGACTGAAAGGTGATCTCATCATCATTAAATTTGATTGTTGCTTATGCATTTGATTGCTAGTTGATTACAACCTTGATTTTTTTTTGATTATTGTTCAACTTTTTTTTTTCAATCAATGGTCTTTAATTTAAATTGTTGATTCTCATTCTCAGTTGATTTAATTGTTGTTTGATCAAAGCATTTGATGTTATCATCAATAAGAAATTTAGTAAATATGGAAAAGAAACAATTTCATCATTTCTTTAAATTCATTGATTTAGTTAATTGCTGTCAACTTTTTCCTCAATAATAATAATAGAATACACAATTAAGTGTATAGAAAGTTAATTGTATCATAATTAAAAGTGATTGTTCATCAATAATGGACAACAATTTAGTTGGAATCGTTTTTTTTTTGTCGAGTTAATTGTTTCATGTTTACCTTTTTTGTTAGTTAATTTCTGGTTATAAGTAGTTTGGTTAATTGGGTTGTGATGTTGATTAAACAATGACAATTAACTGACCTTACAACACCTACGTAATCATTTTTAATCATCATTAAATTGTTTTCTGTTGAAAAGTAATTCTTAATGAACAATTTGTTGTAAATATTTACATAGGAAATTTATTTACCTCCAATTTTTTAATTAACTTTGTTTTCTCATTGTTTTTACCTGTTCTTGTATTTTAATAGGTTTAACAATCAATAATTAACTAAATTGTTGTTCAATTACTCTTTTGAAAGTTTAATCAATGGTAATTTGATTAACTAAGTAAACACAATTTAGCAAAATTTAAAAGATTAACACTTGAAATTGTAATATTACAATGTTGAAGATGATGAACCAAAAGTGATCAATTGTTAATTGTTAATTTGATGAGTTGATCAAAATTAGACAATTAATTGTAATTCATGGTTATTATTGTAAAGTCGTTAAGTAAATTTATGGGAAACTTTCAAAAACCAAAGACATTTAAATTGTTTCTCCTTCTTTACTACATAATTATTGAATTTAACCGATAATTAACTAATCAATTATCTGCAGAAAATGTATCATTTTTCAAGGAATTAGATTAATTACTTTTACAATTATGTAAATATTTATGATGTTGGCATGATTATTATCAACAATTAACGAGGTGTTGCCATTGAAATACAACTTGATAACTACTAGTTAATTTACCAACTAACATTCAATGGTTTATTAACTGATTAATTGATTAAAGATGAAATGTTAATTGACTCGAGAAAATTTTCTACATAAAAACAAAGAAAAAATTAACAATTATTTTCATTTTTTCTTCTTCTAATTTTCCAATGATTAGTATGGATTAGCAATCGACGCTGGATCATCTCATTCGGAGGTAATTCTGTATAAATGGTCAGAGAAAATCAATGGAACAGGTCACGCTGAACAGATCGCTAGTTCGGAAATTTCAACGGGTATAGATGACCACGGAGAGGACATCGAATCGGCAGTTTCTGAGCTCTACACTGCTGTTGATTCAATAGTCTCTCAGATTCCAAGTGATGCTATCCCACCGTTTCCATTATTCTTGGGGGCCACGGCAGGAATACGAATACTCAACTTAACTAAGCCGAAACTGGTTGACCGAATGATGGACAATATTAATCGTAATCTAAGTGAATCAACTTTTTCCGATGGTCGTTCATTGAAAGTGAAACAAGTTCGAATACTAACCGGAACGGAAGAAGGTCTTTATGCTTGGGTAACAGCGAATTATTTACTTAACTTCAAACCGAACGAGGAAGATCAATCATTGTACGAGAAATTAATCCCATCAACGGAAATGGAAATTAATCAAAAGAAACAATTAAACACCAGTTTACACACAATCGGAATTCTGGACATGGGTGGAGCATCAGCTCAAATAGCTTATCAAACAATTGACTCAAATAAGGATCAAAACGACCAATCAGTTAATCCAGTTACTCTTTTTGGCGAAACATATAAGATTAAATCACATTCAAATTTGTGCTTCGGCTCTGATCAGGCTTATTTCCGATATTTATTTGAACTGTTTCGCATTCAATTGACCCAGGATGGAATCGTTACCGGTGATATAATGAAAAATTTGTCTCTAACTGTACATGACCCATGTAATTATGATTCGCCGATTGAGATGTACCAAGTTAATGAATTTCTTTCCAATCCATGTTTAAAAACTTTTCGTCCAGTTAGTGATGTTGACCTTTCCAATGTAACGGTAGTTTATGAGCCATCAATGAACCATTCAAAATGTGCCTCGATGATAATTGATCTAATTGACGAGGATCGTTGTGACCTAGTGTACCACGTTTGTCCAACCAGTCATTCTGATCGATTTCCTAATGGTAATCATTTCTATGCCACATCGTCCTACTATTTCTCAGCTAAGGTGTTAAACTCACTTCAAAATGGCGCCGATTCATTTGATAATGATACTCATTATCTTGAACAAGTCAACCACTGGTGTACAACTCAATGGACGAAAAGATTCAACTGTCCGACCTTAAGTACGCTCGATATCTTTGTTTTAAGCAGCTTTATATCTATTATACACTCAAGACCATCTATCAATTGACTGATGACCATTGGCCATATATACACTTTCGTAATACAATTGGTTCGTCTTCTCTTAGCTGGTCACTTGGTTATATGTTGGCTGAAACCAATGTCATCCCAGCAAAACCTACGAGGCCGTTGATTTGGCCTGAATATGCTTTCTATGTATCTATTGGATTAGTGATATGCACTTGCTTGTTTCTTGTCATTTATTGGATTGGCAAAAGGTCAAAAAGTGCTGTAATTAATCAAAAAGCTTGAGATAATTTTTAAATGTAAAATTCATCAATCACGATTATGAATGAAGAAATAGTTCAGATTGATTTTGACTTGGGACGATGAGTACTAATTAGAGCAATTTAGATCAGTTTTTAAATAATATTTCATCATTTTTTCATTAGTACTTTTAAGTCAATAAATATTGGACGGATCTCATTTAAAAATGGATTCATTGTGAACTATTATTATGAATTATTTGTCCGATTCTGCTGATGTTATCAGCGAAACATTCATTACCAATTAAAATTGAAATTTTATTAAAAATTTTGAACTGAATTATAAATTTATACAGGGAATATCTGATCATCATTCGAAGTGCCAATGAAGTTTAACGATTTAATAACCAATCAATAACAAAGCGTGAAAGTAAATAAGATCTCGATTATTTTTAGCTTATCTGAGTAACGTTATCTGATGAAGATGAAGGCGAAGATGAGATGATGTTTAACGTTTAAACTGAATGCTAAATATATATTTTAGTGGTAATGGAGGGATAGATGAACCGGGAGCGATTTAACTTGAAAACCTGGTGACACAGTTAATAAATTGTTGACGTGAAGTAGATTGGTTGGTGAGTTTCTTAATCTTTTCAATAGTTAATTTTTACTCAGTTGACGATCAAAATTTAGAAGAAAACACCAAAAAAAAAATCACATGAAAGACTATCCAGCCTCTGATCGTTTCTACCACCCTCAAATCTTTAGGTCACGGAAAGCTCACCAAATCATACAAGAACCAAGAATATAACATCAATAAGAAAAAGACCAAAAACGAAAAGGACATTGGAATTGGTGATATTTGTTGTAGACCAATTTCTACAATACGTTAATAAGAATATTGAATCTCTAACAATTTAATAATTGATTGATAATAGACCAAAGGAGCAGAAATAAAGTTCTTATCATTGATTCGACAAAACTTTCCAACAAAGCGCATTAGAAAAACAACAACAACGATGATCTTTTTTAATGGGGAAACCGATTAATAAGAAACCAGTTTCTCTTTCTTTTCTTTCTTTTACCTTTTACCTTTTATCTTCTTCATTTACTTTCAAAGTTTATCTTCATCTTCCTCTCCTCCCGCTCTCATCATCATCTCTCCTTTTACACACTCTCTCTCTCTTTCCTTCATCAGTCAACATTCATAATGTATTGAAGAAACTGATCTACAACAAATATCACCAATTTTAATGTTCTTTTTGTCTTTGTGATTCTTTTTTCTTAATTATCTTCATGTTTTCTTATTTATTATTGTCTATTCATCATCACCTTTGATTACTCAGTGTAACAATCAACAAATTAAGTGGATTAATTGGTTATATTATTGATCTTTAATCGGCAAATCAAGTTGATCTTCATGGCCAATTTTGGTGGAATCATTTTGAATCAAGAGAAAACTCTTACAACTTTAATTGTATTCACCTTAATTTTTATAATCAATTGTGCTCAACCAAATTCACAAGGTAATTATCGTGATTAAGTGACAATTAGGAGTGAATATTATGTTTCATGTTTTTCTTGCGATTCAATTGTTAGATTAACCAAGATTTAAGTTGACATTAATTGTCTCAAAAATGAACTTTTATTACCTTTACCTGTTTTCTTGACCACAACAATCAAAATGTTTGCTTTTATTTTACTTTTAATTGATTGAATTGAATTTCCCATTCGTTAAGAAAAGAATCAGATTAAATTTCAATATCGATTCGATATTATCACCATTTATGGTTAATATTGTTATTATAAATAAGTTAATTGTTATTGTCTTACTGTGCGTGTTGACTATGATTAAGTTTAATCGTTACGTGATCAGTTATGGTTTATTTTGATTTGGTGACTCGAGATTACAAATATAATCAGTTAAAATAATCAGAGGATAAAGATGAGGATGGAGACAAGGATAATGATTAGAGATGAAAATGATGAAAAGTAAAAATATTAGCATCATTTTTTGCTCTCTTTCATTGTTTTCCACCTCATCCTTTGTCTATCTGAAATTGACTGGATTAAGATGATGGATAAATGAATGAATAACTGTCATTAGCTCGTTTCCTTTTCCTTGATTAGTTGTCTGGTTGTCTTGTTACTTTAGATTTTCACTTTGTTTTGTTCTGAAAAGAAAAGTATCAATAATCAAGATTAAATTGCTTCCATAAAATGAGAAAATAAAAATCGCTAATTGTTGAAACGTATTCTTGTCTCTCGAATATCACAAAGACCTAAGAGAATTGAGAAAAAAAAAGTTCAAGTTCCTTTGTTAACAAATCGATACTTTTTTTTCAACATTCGCAATTCCAATGAACTTGAACGATTCGGTGCCCATTCATTTGTGTAATCTATTTGATAGCCAATCAATAACAAATCATGAGTGTAAATAAGATCTCGATATGTATTTTTAGCTCATCTGAATAACAACATCAACTGATGAGAGATGATGATGAGATGATGGTTAAAGTTTTCATCCGAATGCTAAATATATATTTTAAAGGTAAAAATGGAGGGACGGCTAAACCGGGAGCGATTTAACTTGAAAACCCGGTGACACAGTTAATAAATTGTTCACTTGAATTAGATTGGTTGTTTGGTGAGTTTCCGAAGATGTAGTTAATTGTTACGATTAACAAGAGACCAGTTTCGCTTTCGACAACAACTACATTGTATTAATATTACATGACGATAATATCGTCGATGGGAAAGTTTGAATAACTGTTATTTACCGTTACTTTTTCATCAGTTACCTTAATTTTTGTTATTCCTCTTCACTTTTTTTTCCCCGAAAGTTAATTAACAGTTAATCTTTTTAAATGAACTAATCTAAATCTACTCTTAATCTTGTTCTTCTTCTTCTTTGATAAATCATTTCTAAATTAGTAATTAGCTAGATGATTAACGACTTGTTGCACGATTGATTATAATCATTATCAAAAGATTCACTTTCACGTTCCACTAAATTGTAATTAATTTCTGATGGGATAATTTTACGATTAAAATAGTTTTGAATTTCATTATGTTGTAACAATTTACTTTCAATTGAATTTAATAGTTTTAATTTAAATTTAACTTTAATTGTTACAACTTTATTCCTGTTGGAAACTTTCAAGATCAATATTTAACTTGATGCTCATAATAAACTCATAAAACTTTTTTAATTGTAATTAAACCAATCAAAGGTCAGCATTCAATTTCTAACAATACAAACAATTGTTTGATTGTTAACAATTTAATTTCCTTGATTCAGACAAGGATATTTACATAGGTTGTTAAACTTTTCCATTCACTTGGAACTTGAATTGATATTTTCATTGAATTTATTGGAAATATTGATTTAATTGTTGTCATCTTTTTGTCGATTAACTTTTTTTTTATTTCCTTCGTCTTCCTGGTTCATAGGTGACCTGGACTTAAGTGAGACCCCTTTAGAGCCGATTCTAGTTCTACCGGGTGACGATGCATTTATCGATTGTACAGTTAACGATTTAGCTAATCGAACTGTAGTCTGGAAATATGCTAATGGAATCGATGACCTGGAAACTGCTAGAACTTTGACCGCTGATAAGGTTCGAATAACGGAAGATGCAAGATTTTCCGTTCTCCATCGAACAGGCCATCAAACTTGGGTTCTAAAAATTCGAGCCGCTGCTCCAGCCGATTCTGGTGTTTACTTGTGTCAAGTTAACTCTGATCCACCGATTTCCATTTCACGATTCCTCACAGTGACTTTCCCCGAAGCGGGTAACCCTTTATCCCATGCATCACCTTTTGTGACCCTTTCAGATCACAATTTCACCGAATGCTGTCACTCTGAACAAGTAGCCGACATTTGTTTACCTTTTTGTAATATTAAAAATCTGGTTGGACAAACACCTTCACCGGCAGCAGCGGTCACTTGTATTCAATATATGCCTCCAATGGTCCGTTGTTTAGCCGATGGACGAAACCATCTACCTTGTTGTGTCCGACAAAATGTTCCCGAAGTGTGTCTACCCTCTTGCTCCGGTAACTACAGTCTGACCCGAGTTGTTGACAATATTGTTTGTCTTCAATACGCTGCTCCAATTTTATCTTGTATCGCCCAAGGGATTGAGACACTTCCACCTCAACCAATTGGTGTTACACTTGAACAACTTTCACCGACATCACTTCAGGTCAAATGGAATCTACCCAAACAACGAACAGGTTCAATTGAAAGGTCACCGACCGATACAATTCAGATCAATGTAACCCAAAGGTTATCATTCAATTTATCTGGAAAATTAGTGACCACCGAAGATACCTCATCAAGTGACCTCTCGTCGGTTATCAAATCGGCCAATTCAACTGATCATAAATCAATTAAAGTTGATGCAACTCTAACATCTTATACACTCAATGATTTGAAACCTTTCACCTTGTACCAGGTAGTGTTAACTTCACATAATAAATTTGGTTCTAGTCAAGAAACACCAATGGTTCAAGCGTTAACCTCACCTGAACCAGTTCCAGAGAAAAGTTTGATCAAATCTAAATTATCGGCAACGAACAATAATTCAGGTAAATCTGTGAAACTTCCCGACCTAAGGAAATGCTGCAAAGACGGCGGAGTGAAAAGTGAAGCCTGTATCGATGCTCTTTGCGATCCAACTCAACAGTACAACGTTTCTCGAATCATGAGTTGTTCACATTTCGCCAACATCACCTTTAAATGCATGTCATTATCTTCCGTTGACCAGTCAGAATGCTGTCGATTACGGGGTATTTCAACCTTTTGCCAATCTCTTTGTAAATCAGCGTCGGTCATTTCACTTCGACACACTGTTTGTTTCCACCATTTTCCCGCTTTTCTCAATTGTTACGTTGAACGTTTCGAAGTCCTTCCCAGTCCACCAATGGATTTAACCGTTGCCTCTGTTCACCATCGATGGGCATTACTTGACTGGGAACCTCCAATGAAACGAGGTTCAACCGTAACAAAGTACGTTGTCCATTGGCGTGACATGGAATCGGTTGAACTTATTCAAACGGAAACGGTCACTAATCCTCCTTACCTATTGGACGAATTGAGGCCTGGAGTTCAGTATGAAGTTTATGTGACAGCGTTGAATAAGTATGGATCGTCTCAAGACTCGATTCGTATTGATTTTCGTACTCAATCACTTCCCTCAAATGATCTCATCGATGCTACCATGGCTTCGGCTAAAATGATCTACAATGAAACCGCTTGTTGTGCTCGTGCAAACATCAGTGCTCTTTGTCTTCCTCTTTGCTCATATTCGGTTAAAGTTAACGAAGTTCTCGGATTAGGTCCATTGTGTGTCGATGCGACAACTGCATCAATCATCGTTCGTTGTACAGTCGGTGGTCGTGATCATAAACCTTGTTGTGAACGACGAGGTGTCTCTCCCGAGTGCCATGGTCTTTGCGGTGGTCTCATTGATGGAACACCCTTTCAAGTTGGTACCCGTTGTGGACCCGAAGGACCAAACATATTACTCTGTGTTAAAGAAGGTGCCGAAACTCTGCCAGGTCAACCTTGGGATTTACATGCATACAAATCAACACGGGACAGTATTTACCTTCGTTGGAAAACCTCTGATGAAGATCTTGCCCGAGGCGTTAATTCAGTTAACTTTACCGTTCGTTACAGTCCAATTGTCGGCTTACAAATTCCGGTTCATCCGCTAAAATATAAATTCCAAGTCAACACAAGCTCAACCGAAATGGTTCTCGAAAATTTAAACGCTTCAACGACCTACAGTATTTTTGTACAATCTTTCAATTCTTTCGGTACCTCATTGCCTTCATTTGTGCTTCTAGTGACCACTACATCGCTTGAAAGTGAAATTAGCGAAGGGCGAATGGTATCAACAATCGGCCCACCCCATGCTCTTGAGGTGATCCATCAAACCCATGAGATGATAAGTCTCCGTTGGTTACCGCCTTTATACATCTCCCCTGATGCAACCGTTAATTATATTGTCCATTTTAAACCAATAACTGATTCCGATTGGACAAAAATTGATGTCAACTTTAATTCAGCTGATTTAGCTGGACTATTACCTGATACTAAATATGCCATTTCTGTTCAAGCGTCAACGGAAAATGGTTACAAAAGTCATCTCTCAGAAACCATTCTAGTCTCTACCGATCCTATTCAACCTGTCATTGTTGACCCACCTTCACTACTTCCCACCGGACCAATTACTGAAGGTGATAATATAACAATTCTTTGTGTGGGTCGTGGACTTCCTCCACCGGTCATCTCCATCCTTCTCAATGGTCAAGTTGCTTATAAAACAATGGCCGAAAAGGTTTACTATACAATACCAAATATGCCAAGGAACATAACCTCAATCGGCTGTTATGCCGCTAATGGCGTTTCCGTCCAGGGCTCTTCTGATGCACACAAGTCGATCCTTGTTCGGATTAAATGTAAGTTTTTTCTCCTTTTAGAAAAATTTCTCACATTTCTAATCAAATTTATTCTAAACAATAGCCACACCAACGGCAACAATTAAGGAAGAATTTCTTCGAGCCATGAAGTTTGCCGAAGTTCGAATCTCCTGTCGAGTCTCCGGTGATCCAAAGCCGAATGTTACCTGGTTCAAGGACGGTGATGACCAAGTTGTTGTCGCTCCAGGTCCAGAAGTTGCAATTAGATCAATGGACGATCCTATGGTTAGTATAAATATCTTATTGAATTAGCGACAATTATAATCTTGAAATTTTCCCATTCTATTATTTACAGTTGGCTGGAAGTTTCTATTCAATTTTGATCTTAAAAAAAGTCGCTCAAATGGACACTGGTCGTTACATCTGTAAAGCAACTAACGAACTTGGAGTGGCCTCTGATTCCGTTGAGATGCAAGTAGTTATGGAGAAAGTTGAACGAAGTGATGCCGCTTCGTGCTGCGCTCGAAGTGGAGTACCTCAAGAATGTCTCGGCGCTTGTACACCGAGAGGAATTGATATAAACTTTGCATTCCATAAGCACGAATGTCTCAATGCCCTTGGACTATTAATCTTATGTGCCAGAGGTAAGTTAACATTCAAGTTCAATGGTTCGGATTTGAAATAAACTTCTAATATCAGAAATCACAATTAACCAAGCATGGATGAATAATTGCTCTAATTATGATGGAAAATCATCTCAATTGCAATCATCTCCATTTTCAGACAATTGTGTCTCTCAAACTTTCACTTAAATCACTAATTATGTATTGATCGTTACACTTAAGACACAATCAGGTTTCTCTAAATCTTAATCAGATGAACACTAATACATAATTACCATGTAATCAGTTAAACTTGTAAACCATGAAACAAAAGTGAAAAGTAATCAGTCAATTTTTTTTCATCATGCAACATCAATAAGTTAACCAAGTTGAAAAGGAGATCAAATTGATTAGTAAAAAAAATGATGCTGATTAGTTAAAAATAGATTGGAGAAAATAAATTCACCTCAATTCATCAATGTCATGGATTGAACAGTTCAAATTGGATTAAATGAGAGAGAGAGAGAGAGTTCTGAACATGATGAGATCGAAATAAGTTATTAATGATGAAGACTTTATTATTATCGATAATGAGAAGGCGATTAGAAAGTGGGAGATTAAGTCCATTTAGGGAGAGGTTGAGGTCAATCGAATAGAAATTGATTGAAGTTTCGATAATAGTTTGATTGACTTTCCAAACAGATTAACAGATTAACTAATCTCATTTGTTTTTCTCATTTTTCTCCTCAGATGGTTATGATCATACTCAATGCTGTCAACAATTAGGTGTCCATCAGAATTGCTTACACTTTTGTGAAGGTATTCCCAATCCACGATCAAAGGAATCATTTTGTTTACTTTACGATGCTAAGCTAATTGTTCACTGTATCAGTTCAACAAACGGAAGTTCAGTGCCACTTCCAAGCGAAACAAGTTCCCTATCGGATGATTACGAGTTTTACTTTCAACACCCTGACCAATATCATCATTCATCAACATCAACGGTCATCTTACCTTTAGTCATTACAGTCATTCTAATCTGTATGGTGACCATTGTTATCGGTTTGGTCATTTATGGTTATCGACGATACTTCAAAACAAGAATAACTTCCGGTGAGGATGTTGTCGGATTCGAGAATCAAAGTTACCTTCGAGACAATGACTCGGTTGACCTTGGAAATCCATTTCAACGGGTCAACCGACCCAATGGTCAAGCAAGAGCAACATCAACCTGAAGAAATTTAAATTTCCACAATCAAATCCCGAGAACTGAATCAGAATCATTTCCATGACTTTTGTTATTTATCGTTGTGATAATAATTCCTTGTTTTTATTTTCTTTTTTTTGCCAAAAATCATTTTTAATTGTTCTGATTCTTTTCCTTTTTTCTTTAAATTAACTTGACGAAATTTTTTTCTATTCCATCAATATTGTTATCCAATTCTAATTGTTGAGAAAATATTGATTCTATCAAAGTATTAGTACCATTCCGTTAAATATTATCGCTCGTTATAAGGGATATTTGATATTAACTATCATCAATTGTTAATTATTACCAATCACTCACAACAATCAACAATAATTTTGTTAATCATTTGTTTGTTTTTCTGTAAAAAAAAATATTTCTTATAATTTATTGTAAATTTGATAACAAAATATCAAGAAATTATGTTAAAACTATCGAGCGAGATATAAGATTGATAATTGATCCAATTCTGTAATAATATCATCTAATTGTTCAGCGATTTATTAATTATCATGTCTGTAATTGAATAAATATTTTCTCACAATTGATTGTCCAGTTATTAACTAAACTGGTCAGTCTAATGAGCGCAACTTGTTGATTAACAAGTTATTCATGATCAATTCATGTTTGGCCCCTTTAATGTTAACCTAATTGTTGATTAAGGTTAAATTTTTTAATGAAAAGGGTCAAAATACAGATAATTTAAATCTTTAATCAAAACAATTAAGAGAAGATCAAAAATTTATTAATAAAATGTAAATGGAAAAGAAATTAGCAAATTTGGTTAACCAATTTAAAGACTATTTGATTTTCAAATTGTCTTCAATTGAAATGAAATTAACAATTGAAACAATTAACAATCAAAGTTAATTTATTTTTCTCTTTTAATAACAATTTACCCTCCATCTTGATTGACTTTTGATTATAATTGTTACCCTTGATTAGAAAATTGTTTAATTGTCACTTTTTTTTGTCTCATTTTGATTCGTTGAAAAGTGATTAACTGTAATTCACTTTAGCTTAATTTCTTTCAACTTTCGTTGATTAAAACAATTTATAATTTCACTTCAATGACATTGACACAATCAAATTGATAATATAAATATCAAATATAAATTCATATATATCATAAAGATTAGTTGATTGTGTCTCTTTTTCGTAGGGCTTTTTGAATTATTTACAATTCAATTTGATTGGTACTAATAATACATTACAAGGTTAATCATTTTATGATAGTAATTACATTTTCTGCTCATTAATTGTTGTATTCATAACTGTTAATCACCTGTGCAAATATTATCCTTTGAGAGATCAATTTAATTACTTGAAATGATAATAAGCGTTTAATTTATATGGTGATTTGTGTTTAGATCCAATTTTCCTCTGTGATTATATTGATTCGTTGATTGTTACAAGTTTGATTCCAACTGAGGTGAGTTAATTGTTGTCTTTTCTGTTTGTATTTATATTTTCAGTTTTCCCTCTTTTTTTTGTGATCCAGTAACTTGTCTTGGTTTTGATTGTGTGAAAAGTGAATGGTAATCCGATATATTAATTAGATTTGATTGAAGAAAGAGAAGTTGATATCTGAGGAGGAAACCAGAAAGTAACCAGAATTGGAAGGTGAATGAATCATTGATTTAATGTTAAAATCTTTTCCCAACAATATAATCACGGTTGGTTAACATCGGATCCAATTTAATTGTGTAATGTTCATGTCTCGTTGATTGTTTCACTTTTTCTCTCTCTCGATTCAGCCAAAAGCCTGAACAATTGACACCATCAGGTAAGAAGTTGGTGATTTTGATTGGCTTGATTTTGTTTTACTTTGAGAACAAAGGAAATTTCATTTTAAATTGTTTGCAAAAACTTTCTTTTTTCCCTCAGTGTCTTCTCATTGTTACCATTGAAAAATCACAGTTAATTAGATTAACTTTTAATTTTCTTGACGGTAACTTGATTATCCTTTTGTTACACTGATCAAGAATCATCAGGTTATCAGTAATCCCGGTGTGTCCATTGTATCCATCGAGTGGTTCAAGACATTAGATTGGCTCTTTTTATTCAACCAACTCCTCAAGATAAAGTAAATGTTATGACTGATTAATCCTGATTATCGATGGGCATCTTATCCGAAGATAATTAAACTCCAAGGTAAGATTGTTTAAAGGAAATATTCCATTTGTTTAACTATTTTTCCATTTTCTTAGAAGATTTTCTTCTGAAAAAAAAAGAAGAGAGAAAATTACAAAAATGAGCAATAAAAAAAGAGAAAAGGTGAGAAAAAGTAAAATCAAGTTATCACATGAAAATAGAAAATAAATTATCGTAAATATATTGTAATGTGTTTACCTGATTTTGTGTGTGAGAAATTAATAGGACACTCGTGAAGAAGAGGGAAAAGTTCATGTTGATTGGGTTTCATGGTTATTACTTTGATCAAATGATGATGATGATGATAATACTAATGATGATAAAAGAAGAAGAACCAGCTGAAGAGACTGAGAGTAATAAGCCAGCAAAAGAAAAGAGGATAATCAGGGTTAGTGGAAAATGAGATCAAATGATGGCGAATATTAAGATGAAGGTTAATATGATGAATTATGAACATTAAAGAATGAAAGGTAACAAGGGAGAGAGAGAAGGTGAGAGAGAGACTCAAATGAGAAAAAGAAAGAAAAAAGAAAAATACAAAAGAGTTGACAAGTAAAATGACCAATAGAACAATTGAAAAGACCCCAAATAATAAGGCCTAAGAAAAAAATCTATAGACAAAGACCAGCAAAGAGTTGAGAACGTTGAGCACAAAAAAGAGGCGAAATTTTCGATCATTAATTACAAGCGATAATTACAAGTAAATGACATTTAAAAAAAAGAGACTAACCTAAGAGAAAGAGAAGAAAGAGAAATAATTAGAGAGAGAGAAAGGTAAAAATGGAGGGATAAAGAAATTAAGACTTGAGTGGGATAGTTAAATCGCTCCCGGTTTAACTTGAAACCCGGTGACACAGTTAATAAATTGTTCACTTGAATTAGATTGGTTGGGTTGTTTGGTGAGTTTCCGAAGCTGTTTCATAGTTAATTGTTACTCAGTTGACGATCACAATTTAGAAGAAAAGAAAAGAAGAAAATTGTTAAATCGACTGTTTTAAAACAAAGAAAACGAGACTAATCCAAAGGTTAGAGAAAAAGATAATCCGATGAGTAAATCGGATCGAAAAAAAAATTCTAAGGGAAAACATATTAATAAAAAAAAGAAAAACAATAACAAAGTTGATCGTTTTTAATGAGAAAACCGATTAATAAGAACCAGTTTCTCTTTCTTTTCTTTCTTTCTAATCTTCTTCTTTCTTTTTTTTCTTCTTTTTCTCTTTGCTTTTAAAGCTCTTATCTTCATCATCTTCTCTCCCGCTCTTATCATCATCTCTCCTTTTTTACTCTCTCTCTCTCTCTCTCTCCTTCATCAGTCAACATTCACAATGTATTGAAGAAACTGATCTACAGCAAATATCACCAATTTTAATGTTCTTTTTGTCTTTGTGATTCTTTTTTCTTAATTATCTTCATGTTTTCTTATTTATTATTGTCTATTCATCATCGCCTTTGATTACTCAGTGTAACAATCAACAAATTAAGTGGATTAATTGGTTATATTATTGATCTTTAATCGGCAAATCAAGTTGATCTTCATGGCCAATTTTGGTGGAATCATTTTAAATCAAAAGATTAGTCTTTTAACTGGTACTGCAATTGTGTTCATTTTAATTGCTATCATCTCATTTTTCACATTACCATCAATTGTAATTAACCAAATTCACAAGGTAATTATTAACCATAGTGGTGATTAACTGGTGACAATTACAAGTGATTATTTGTCTCCATGTGCGACGGTCAATCAGATTTGAGAAAGAAAATTTTTTGTTTCTTCTTCCTTTTCAAATCAAATTTTCGTTGTAAACACAATCAAAGAATCAAATTAACTCACCATGACTTTGATTATGCTTTTTTCTTTCTGTGTGTGTGTTTGCTTTCACTGTCAACATTTAGTTTACTTTAATCATTAACTGAATTTAAGTTTAATCGGTTGAGTTGACATTAATTGTTCCAACAATCAACTTTCATTACCTTTACCTCTTTTTTTTTCACTCAGTCACAACAATCAAAATGTTTTACTTTTGTTTGTGATTTTCATTGATTGACAACGTTTTCTATTCAATTGGAAAGTGTTTCAATTGTTAAAATCTAAATTGCGATCTCAATTTGATTACTAATTAGACACATTAAGTTGTTACAATTTATCCAATCAAGCGAATTCAATAATTATTCTAGATTAGATTAACATGACAATCTTTTTAAACCATATGAGATTAAGAGATTAAAACTGCTGTAGTATTTTAATTACTCTCAATGTTAAGCAGTTAATTGATTGTTCTGTTAAGTTAACTTTGATTTGGTACGAAAAGAAAAGTGTCAATAATCAATAATCAAGATTAACTTAATTCCATGAAATTAAAGAAAGAAAGTAATTACTTTTCTTTGGTTTCGCATTCATGCAAATTCGTAAACATTTCCGAATGATAAGTTGGCCTATTTTTTTTAATTCTTTTAATTTTTGTTTTCTTTTTTTTTGTTTTCTACTCTTTTAAAGCGACTGGTCCTTCGGGAAGGTTCGGAAACTTATGAGAATTGGAAACAAGTTCCGGTTCCATTGTATAATCGATACTATTTTTTTAACATTCGAAATGCCAATGAAGTTGAACGATTTGGTGCCAAACCGGAACTCGAAGAGATTGGACCATTTACTTACCGGGTGTTACTTTCTAAACACAACATAGTCCATAATCCATCTAATGGGACAGTTTCATACAAGGAAAGGAGAACTTGGATCTTTATTAGGAATCAATCGGTTTCCGATGAATCTACAATGGTCTCTACATTAAACACTCCACTGGCGATGACCTTAAATTGGCTACAACAAGCAAGTCCAGCGGTTCGTTTGGTTGTCGGTGTCGCTCTTGATACAACATCTCAAGGATTTTTTATCAACCGAACGGTTAAACAATTACTTTTCGAGGGTTATCCTGATGTATTAACCACATTTGGTCCACTCTTACGACCTGAACTTCCTTCTGCTTATAACGGTAGATTTGGATTCTTTTATCCTAAAAACAATACCGATGACGGAGTTTATCGTGTCCACACCGGAGAGGATAATATTAACCTACTCAATGTAATGGAATCTCATAATGGTGCGACTTCCCTTAAATACTATTCAACCCCCGAGTGTAACTCGTTTGCGGGCACAACCAAAAGTGAGGTACGACCTCCACTTACCCCACAAACCAGGGAACTGCGTATGTTTAATGCTGAAATTTGTCGTGTCCTTCGTTTGGTCAGGTCAAGACGCCATTTAACCACACACGGCATTGAAGCGGAAAGATTTGTTCTTGACCCTTCATTTTATGCCAATTCAGTTGACCATCCACCTAATGCCTGTTTCGCCACTAAACGAGCTACACGACCACAATCACTTTTATCCATTCGATCTGTTTCTTTCCTTCGGCAAGATCCTTTACCCTCTGGAATCCTTGACCTTGGACCTTGTAAATATGGTGCTCCCATTTACCTTTCAAATCCCCACTTTTTAGACGCTGATCCCATTTATGGTCATTCGGTAACCGGTTTAAAGCCTAATAGGTCACGACACTCTTTCTGGATTGATGTTGAACCCACAACAGGATCAACAATCGGAGTCGCTGCTCGGGTACAACTGAATGTGGCCATTTCTACAGGTCAAGCTTCAATTCGTTTTAGAAATGTTCCCGAAATAGCATTTCCAATCCTATGGTCAGAATATACATCAAGTTTAACCCCTCGTTTAATTGATAAACTTTTAATTGTCCAATGGATTCCAGAAGCATCAGCAAGAATCGCATCTTTCCTGTTCAGCACTTTAGCATTCATATTATTCACCATAGCCTTAGGGATCCACACGATAAGAGTACTTAAAGATAACAAAGATCACAAAGCGATCGATGCTTTTAAAGTATTAAAATCCTTAGTACAAGGGAAAAAAGGATCAAATGGAAATGTTGATAGTTCAAGAGACAATAGGAATGGTAATAACGCTCGAGGCGAAATAACCAGAGGCCATGAGTCCAGAGTTGGTGGAGGAGAGGGAACAAGAATCAATAATGGTGTTGATAATTTAGCTTTCAATGAAATTTCACCTAAATTGGGTTTACAGAAATCAGATGATATTGCAAATTACAAGAGATCGTTACAACAACAATCAATGGAAACAAGTAAATTAAGTTTACCAAGTGCACCTTACGATACATTCACAGTTGCCAATGAAGAGACCGTGCCAAATACACCACCACGAAGGTTATACAAGAAATCAAACAAATTGTCAACTCCATCGGCACCATCAGCACCTCCATCGTCACCGATAAAAACAACAATGACAACCAAATTTTCAACAGGATCTCCAATCTCAGTTTCAAATTGATTAATCAAAATTTGCATACCATTTTTCTCATTATTTCTCTTCAACAATCAGAGCAACTTGTCAACAATTAACTACAAATCATCGCAAAAGACACTTTTCCCACCTCCATTTTTGAAAGATCTTTTTTTTTTAATTATTTTTCTATTGAAAGTAATCAACATTTTCATCTGTATCTATTTATCATCAACCCTTAATTAACCCAAAATGGGCTTTCATGTTTTTGTTTTTCATCCTCTAATTGTTACACTCATTCAACGACAATTATGTGACAGTATTATTGTAATAATAATAGTATTTATCCTCATCCTCATCATCATTTCATAATTTTTGTAATTCAAGTCTCAACAATCAAAAAGGAAGCAAAAAATTGTACAATTACAAAATTGTACAAAATTAAACATTGGATTTGATCAATGATACTAATTGTAATTACTTTTTTTTACAAAAAAAAACCAAATCACAACAATCAAAGTGAAAACCTTGTATATTCAACAAAGATAATTAATTTAGTTCATGGGTTAATTATAATCAATGTGATCATTTTGTTGTGAAAATTAACTCCAATCAACTGATTGAGAAAAGTTTTTCAAGATGATATCATTTCACAGAAATCAATTAATTAACAATTTAGATCTCAAGGTAATTACGATGAAAAGTTAATTAACTAACCAACAATAATAACATACAATTGATTAACAAAGAAAACCAGTTTGACCAGTTAACTAATTTACCTGACAATTAATTTAATTTGCTAACCTATTTTATTATATAACATCTAATAGACAATCACAACTTAATCAAATGAATCTAAATATAATAATAGTTAAACTAATTGTTACAAAATCCCATTCAAACCCACAACAGCTTAACCATGATCAAAATGATACTCAACCAATTAACAAATTATGATACGATTACTACATTAGAAACAATTTAATCAATAGGAAGGAATCAATTAATTGTTGAAATGAAAATTGGCTGATTAGTTTAAACTGTAAACCCAGAAAGTTAATTATGTTAAAAGATAATAATCAACATGATTATTAAGATTTAAAGATGATGATGATGATGAGGAGGAAAAGTTTCATTTCCGGATGGAAGGGATTGAGGAAAAAAAAAGAAAGAGAAGATTAAGAAAGTGCGAAAGAGAAGATGAAAAAAGAAAGAGAAGAAAAAAAATGGGATGAGAAAAATGGAGAAAAAAAGTTCAATTGATTTTCCAATTTTCAAATGTTATTTATAAATCGACGAAGGTAAACACTCAGTTGAACATATAAAAAAGTTCGAAGTATAAAACGTTAGCACCTAACGTAACACGTACCAGCGAATAAGAGGAAAAAAAACAAAGACCAATTTATCTTCTCTTTCTTTCACTTTCTCTTCTCTCTCTCTCTCTCGATATTTTTCTTCCTTATTCCAAAATACTGGTTCGTTTACAATTCGTCTTCCGAGTTCCATGTTGGTGTTGTATCTCTTTCTATCTTCTCTTTCTTCCCTTTTAAACCTCTCCCTTTACTCTCTTTCTCATTTATCATCATGTCTCTCTCTCTCTCTCTCTCACTCTCTCCACCTTCCATTTCACTGATTTCTATCTCTCTCTCTTTCTCATTCTCCTTCATCATCATCATTCTCACTCTGTTGTCATCTTATTTTTCTGATTCACTTTGATTAGTAAACATCTCAGTTGGAATCGACATTCACTCCAATCAACAACTTATTCAAATTCAACAAGAAAGAGAGAGAAAAAAAACTAAATCCAATTGTGATTAAACTTTTTTTTTTCTTTTTACAATTTGGAACAATTTAATTTAATTGTGTTAATCATTAATTATCATTTGATTTTCTCCAATTTAAAAATCTTCCATAAACAAATAATCGATCATGTTGTCCACCAATGGTAATAATGGTTCCGATCTTTCAAAGGTCCAAAGTAAAACGAAATTGATTCTCTTGATTCTGATCGGTGTTCAATTTACTCTCTCATTGATTGAATTTGTCTTCGCCATCGTCAACGGATACGTTGAGGCCATTCTCATCACCGTGATAAGTGTCTTCATCGACGGAACCCTTTTATCGTCCATCTTCATGCAATGGAAAACAGTTCTTCGAGTTTTCCGAACCATTATCATCGTAATTGTAATCATTTGTGTCATCTCATCACTCGCAGGAATCCTTGTCCTTGTCGGCGGTGAAAAAATGGACAAGGGACAAATCGCCGATGATCTGATTACCGTTATAATTGGCTCACTAATCTATTCCCTATTAGCATACCTGTTGGGTAAATATCTTGACCAAATTTCCGTCAGTGAGCAATTCAGTTACACCACATAAATAACATCCAATTAATCACATACATACACAATTCATTTCACCAACGAAAACATATCAAACCTCAACAATTAACAATCAACAATCATCATCACCATAAATTCATTATCATCATCATCATCATCATCATCAAATCATTATCATAATAATAATCATCATCACAATCATCAATGATTTTCAATCCCATTTAATCATTACCATAAATGATTAAACATTGGCTAACAATTAGAAAGTTATATTAGTTGGTTAATCATTCCTTGTCCTTTTCAATTGTAATGATGATCATCACAATTTAAGGCCATTAACAATTAACATTACTCTATCAACAATTTCCCGTTGCCCTTAATTGAGATTGACAAAGCAAACCCATCAAAAGAGGATGTAGGCAGTGTAAATAAATCACAAACCAATCAACTAATTGCTTCTTTAACAATTTAATCAACACCAACAATTTCATTCATTTTACTTTCTCTTTAAAATCCCTAATCCCTTTACTTGTACCTTCATCTATTTTTTTTTTGCTATTGTAATAAAATCCAATCCAATAATTATCCCCGAGAATATTATGTAATTAATCATCACCTTTGCTTCATCTTCTTCTCCTTCATCATCTCCATCATGTTCATCATCAATCAATCAGTTTTTTCACTCAAAGTAGAAGAAAAAAGTTCCATGATTATCCAATCTGATTGAGAAAACAATTGAAAAAATTGAACAATCAGAAAATCACTTCCGATTGTAACCAATTTTTTTTCCTTCCATTACTTTTCATGTAACTTTTAATGAGAATTGATTTTTGTATTTGAAGTTTTCTAAACAATAAGAAATAATTTTAATTCCACAATCAAAAGTAACAATTGAGTTTCTTTATTAAATAACAGTTAAAGTTGAGAGAAAAAAAAAGTTAAATCAATAAACGATATTAAAAGAATAAGAGAAACAAACAATTAAAACTATTCCAAGACAATCAACTAATCATTTACGACTTGAAATGTAACTTTTCATTTCCACTTGATTAACAGTAAATTGATTAATTAGTTTGACAATTAAAAAGGATAGAATCTGATTAATATGAAACAAATGGTAAATCTCATTATTTTGCAAAAACAAATTAAATCAACTAAATGTTTACGTTCAGTTAATTGTTGAAGTTTTATTATTATTATTAGTTGAATGTATTTTTAATATCAATCAACAATTAGAACCTTGATTCAGTTTGATTGAAAAGTTTTCATTTCTCTTAAATTGATTGATTGTTAATCATCATCATCATCATGATAATAATAACAACATTAGTGATTAAGGTAAATGATAATCTGTAATTATTGATTTGATTGTGAAATTTTTGATTACCATTTTAATGATTGTTACTTTTTTGTTGATTGTTAGGCCTGAGATTGAAAATTTCAACAATCAAGTTAATCATGATGATGATCGTTTAGATGATTAAAGTTGATTTACCGTGAAATTAATGGACTCATATTGGTGACAATTAGCTGATTCTCATTGGCATTTATAAGTTATAACAATAATTATCAACAATTCAATAAAAATATCAAATGAATCAAGTGAAAAAAAAAGCTTAATCATTGTTGATGATTGTAATGATTAATCAGCCAAGAAACTGATCAACATTTACAATTAGTATAATGATGTTGATGATAAGTTCAATGATGCTATAATGATTAACTAAATTAACATAAAAAAAAGTATATGGATGAACGTAAATAACAATTGATTGAGACAATCAAGTAACAATCAATTCTGATGATAGAGACTCCGTGAAGCCTTAATTTAGGTTGATTTTTGGCAATCAACTTAATTCTAGACACTCAATTGTAATCAGCAGGAATTTTATGTTTATATATATTGATTGTGATTAGTATAATCATCATCAACAATCAATTGGCTCATCAATTGTAAATTAAATACAAAATCAAAACTAAATCAGTTGAACCTTCAAATTCAACTCTATCAACTTGGCTCTTGAGATGATCAATTTTAATCATCAACAATTTAGGCGTTAATATGTTGATTGTTTTGCCTGTTATTTACCTTCATCATTAACATAATTATCAAGCTCATCACAATTTATAAATTGTTCACTATTAATATCATCATCAACAATCACCATTAAACAAAAAGTACTTCAAACAATTTGATTAACAGTGGAAACTTTTTTTTTTCATCAATCCAAAGTTGAATTGTTTTTTTTTTCATTTTATTTAATTGCTAATTGTCCAACAATTTATATATATTAATGGTCAAGCAATTGTTTCCATCAACAATTAGTTGATTGTGTAACAATAATAGTAAAGTTCATTAGACTGATATTATTATGGGAGCCACAATTAGTAATTAGCTAATTGTATTGGGAGATTTAAAATTCAACCAATGTAACCAATCAATGATTTATTTCATTCCGATCAACAATTGTGATCATGATTAACTTGATTGTTGTGTTAATCAGATGACGATGATAATATTAATAATAATAACAATAAGCTTACGATTTTTACTCAGATTAAATTTTGATTGTTCATTTTAAATAAACAATTTAAATATAAGTTTTACATGTTAGACAACAATCAGGTTGAACCTTAAATTAGCAATATAATGTCAATTGTTGTCGTTGTTGATTGTGATTAATGTTGTTGGTGTGTTCATTTAAATGATCATAATGATTATATGAATTAAAAAAAAAGGATTAACAATTTAAATTTATATAAAAACAATAATATAAGTATTAATATTGATGGACACTTACACCAGACTAACCTAAATCTTAATTGTTAACAAGAAAACGTTGATCATCACTATCTTAATTGTTGATATTTGATGATTAAAATATAATTTGAAAAATAGGTCAACAATTAAGTTTACATTGGACTGTTCAATTCATTGGTGTTACTGTTATAATTTTGATTTGATTATATTAATACAATTAAAATCAATTGTAAATTGTTCAATCTCAACAATTTAGGTTAAATTGTTGTGTTTATCATTGGGATTATTGGTAAGTTAATTGTACCATTATCAGGTTAAAGGTGATTAGGTCAACCAATTTAAATGATTACACAGGCCTAAGGATATATTATAATTGTTAATTGTTATTAATGATTAGTTGATAATTTAAAAGTTTCCAATCGTAATTTTTTTCAAGTGATTAACCTAATTTATTGTTGTTGTTATTACAAAGACAATTTCATTGAAATTGAAAGTTAATTGTTTGATAGTTTTATGGATAAATTATTAATTGTTACTAATAATTAACTTTACAGAAATGAGTTTGACTTATTATTTAGTAACTAATTAAATCCTGATTGTATTTAAAGTTAAATTAACTGTTGATTGATTATCATTAATACATGTAATTGTAACTATTGTTAACAATTAAATGAAAACTGTATGAGATATTTTTAAATTGTGATTAGCTAAATTGTTGCCACTTTTGTAAACACTTTTCTTAATTAGTACGGCAAAAGAATTGACAATTAACGGTAATGATTAGTTAATCAATGGAACTAATTTTTTACTGGTAATATTTAGATTGAAAATTAGTTTTCCATCACTAATAATCTGAAATAATTATTTAAATTGTTGATAAAATTAAAGTTTTCAACAGTTAATTGTTGATAATTAAAGCAGAAAACTTGAAAATCAAGTTGACAATTAGAAATGATTATTATGATTAATCAAGTAATCACTTTTCATTTCCTTATAATAATATTTTTTCTGTTATCAAATTAATTAAGATGAAGATGAATTTGATTTTCAACAATTAAAATTAATCATTTCCTTATTATCATATTGTATTGATCAAATTGAATGTAACAGTTGATCAATTAAGCAAAGTTAATCAAAGATAATGATCATCAAAAGATTCGGGATTGATTCAATTAACTAATATAATAGTTAAACAACAACAGTTGTTAATCAAATGAAATGTTAACTTGTATCAAATTAACAGTTAATTGTAACAATTTTTTTTTCAATCGTTGATTATGTATATTAATGATTACCTGCTGTTGATTACAATTAAAATTGTTCATCAATAATTGAAGATTAACAATCAATATCGGATTAGATTACGGTTGTTTGTATATGTGAGTATGTGAGTGGATATTGATGATAAATATGATTGATTAGAAATCAGCTGATTGATTATCATGATTTGTAAATTAGGACTTTTGGTCAAATCGTATTGACAATCAATTGATTAACCGGAAGAGAGAGAGAGAGAAAGATAAATATCATCTTTTGTCTCATAAACAAATCGAGTTATTATTTATCACAATGAAGGAGGAAAATTTCATCTTCATTTCTACTTCCTTTTTGTTCATTTTTCATCTTCTTCCTCATTTTCCTCCTACCTTTATGAAGGATCACCAGGTAAACAAGAAAGAGAGAGAGAGAGAGAGAATCAAGAAAAATACGGTCAAGAGATGATGAAGATGATGAGGATGATGATATTCCAAAATGAAACCGAACCTCTTTTACTTTGATTTGTTTACTATCGAGAGGAACGATTTCCGTTTCTGTTGATCATTTCGCCGTCAGGTTCAGAGTCTCTCCTCAGAATTTGTCTTCCTTTTGTTGCATGCATAAAGTTTACACTTAATAAATTAGAATTATATTTACCTGTAGAGAGAAAGAAAGAAAGAGAGAGAGAGAGATAAGTGTCCATGATGGAAGAGAGAAAACCGGAAATAATTATGATCATTTTAAAGCCACTTTCTAATAAGATCAAGGTTAGAAATTACTTTCGGCTGAACTCAATTTGAATGATACTTGTTGTTGATTGTGATGATGATTGAAACAGGGAAGAGACGAGATGATGAAGATGAAGATGAAAAGGGAAAGTGGAAAATCACCTTAAAATAAAATGGCCTCAGGCGAAAAGAGAGAAAGTTGTTTACACCTTACCTATTAAAGTAAATATTAGAAGTTGAAACAAGAAGAAAACGAAATTAATTAATACAATTAGTTAGCCACTGAACGAAATTCGCAATTAAAGATTAACAGCAATTAGAAAATGTAATTAATTTACAAAAGAAGAACAAAGTTTTAACTTTTTGTTTTTTTCGACGATTTTTTCTGGTTAACCGATCAGCTGTTTTCTTTTTTTACGATTTTCACTTTGGTCTTTTAATTGTTTTCTAATTGTTTTGATTACTTTTTAATTGTTTCAGTTTCTTTTAAGAAATTTATGAATTTTAATTAGCGATTAACATATATTTTCATGTATGAATTTAATTGTTACCTTAATTGTCTGGAAAGTTGATTGTTATTGTCACTTTTTTTAGAGAGAAAATAATTTTCTAATTATGAACAATATATTAGGTTAATTGTTTCAATTTCATTGATCTTTCCAACTGATTAACTTAATTTGTTTTCACTTTTCTTTCATTTTTGTGAATATATTTTAATCACAATTACATATCTTAATCATCATAATCAACCATTTACGATGAGATGATCAACTTTCACCTCCGAAACACCAACAATTATAATTAGCAACAAATAGTCAACATTTGACATCAAGTTAATTAGTTTTAAATATTGATTATGTTTTCACTATTTACGACTAATCATAATCAACTAAATTGATCATTTACTCAATTTTTCATCTTCTTAAATTGTTGATCAATTTTGGAAAAGAAAGTAAAAAGATATAATCATTTTCTATTTTCTCTCTCTTTCTTTTTATCCATTTGATTGTTGTTGTTGTTGATTGTCTTTGATTAACATGATTATCGTGATTAAGGTGATTATCGTCAACCAATTGAATCCGATTCTTCCTGTTATTATCCAACACACTAAGTGAAACTCAAAGTTCCGCAACGATGAAAATCTAGATGGAAAATCAATCACAATGATCAGGTGGAAAATGTTGTTGTTTAACATCATGATAACAATTAAATCTAATTGTTCAACTTATTTAAGAATCAAAATAAGCTCTAGAATTTCATTTGATTACAATTTTAGAAAAAAAGCGGAAAATTGGTAACAATTAACAACCAATTTAGAATCTAAAACATTTCCAAGTTTCCATTAGTCATGTTAATCATTGTCGTTTCTGTCTATTATCATCATTACAATCAACCAATTGATTAGGCTTTTGATTGTTGTTCCCATGAATGAGATTATGTTTGGGGGGTTGATTACAATTAAAGATAGAATATAAAATTAGTATTAGTAATTGGACTTGACAATGTTGACAAAGTATCGAAAGTATTAATATTTATAAATATTGAGAATGGTTAATTTATATATACAATGATTATTATTCTGATTGATTAACAATTTATATATATAAATAGTTGTTAATTGTGATAATCCATTCATTTTATATATGATTACAGGTGAAACTGAATCCACATTTTGTTGTTTGACTTGGTGTTTACATTGTTAATTAAACTGCTCATAGAAAGAGTATAATTAACAATGTTAGTTGAAGATCATCAGAATAATTAATGATTTAAATTGATTGTTCATATGTTTCCTTCATCGTCCTGAGTCATTAAAATATCATGTTGTCTGATTAAAATCGGTAAAATTTAGTTGATCAGAAACCATATCGTCTCTCTTGTTGGTCCCCATGGTTAAAACCAAGATGAATTTACAATCAATTTAATTTCCTGTGTTGATGGATCATCTTCCAAGGTAAAATGATTTTGTCACAATTAAAAATTGATGAAGAGGAGAAATAAAAATTAACCCAATTTAAAAGATGAAAATAGATAATTATGATGAGTACTTTGATTTGAGAAGCAGCAGATTTGCTTTGGTAATGGAGATAAATGAATGATACTGATGATGATGATTCAATTAGATTAGCTCATTTATGAGTCATTAAAGGCTCATTGATGAAAGATCGATGAGAAAATTGCTTTTGAGATTAGACTGTTTTCGTTTTTTGTTGTTACTGTTTAAATGCGTTTGTCAGATCAGAAATGGACTTTAAGGTTTGGTTGTTTCTGGTGTAAAGCTTTTTTTCCGTCTTTGAAAGGATATCGTTATATTTTTTGTATTGTATTTGATTCCGGATTTGATCTTGATGAGAATACGAAAAAAAAATGTGAATGACATCATTTAAGCGATTGTATATCCTTCATTGTATTCAATTTGATGGAGATACTTGTTGAGAAGGTAAGCCAACATGGAATAGAGAACAGCACCAATGATGACAGAGACTGTTTTCTCAGCGATATCTTGTTTATGACGCTCATCACCCGAGGCAATGATGTAAATACAAAAGATCAAGGCAATTATGGATAGAACAACAAATGCCTGCATTGCAATTCGATAGACTTTCAGACCAAATTCCCATTGTTTAACAATAACGATGACGAAACATAAATCAGCGACAAGGTTAATCACTGTCCAGCCAATTTGTTCACCATCATCATGAGCAATAGAGTATATTAATTGTACCGATGAGAGAAATAGCATAACACAGGCGATTATGATTAAAATTTTCTTCGTACTACTTGATATTTCAACCATTTTCGTTGAGAAACAGATTCAAATTATCAGGATTGAACAGGGTAAAGAATTAATAGTTGATAAATGAAGATAATAATAGTAATATCAAAGTAATCACAATGGTTTGTTGTTTGGTAGTTGTTGTTGTAGTTACGGTGATGGTTAAATCAGCTATGGAAGAAAATATGATCTCTTGGTGTAATTAACTGGTTTTAACTTCCTTTAAAAAAAACGTCCCAAGTATTACAACTCACCAAACTAGTGAGAGATTAATGATGAAGATATGGGGATGGAACACCAATCAAAGAATTAAATGTGTAAAAATATTCCACAAAAGTCAATCTGTACAAAGAGAAAACAAGAGAGAGAATAAAAAGAAGACACAAATTAGATTGAAAATGGTAAAACAAAAGGTTAATGTCAACCCATTTACATACAAGTATCAAAGTAGAAATCAAATGATGACGATGTTAACGGGCGAGGTTTAACCAGAAAGGTGATGACAGTACAGAAAAAAAAGATCAAGTTAACAGATAATAGAATAAGGAAAAGTAACACCAACTAGAAAATAAACACACACAAAACCAACCAGGAGAGAGAGAGAGAAAAAGCCAAAGAACAGGTAAAAATAACTTACCTTCTTTATTGTTGGCAAGTAAACGTGTAACCAGAAAAAAAGAGAGAAAGAAAGAGAAAGAGAAAGACTTGTTTTCTGTTCTGTAGAATAGAACAAAAAAAAACACAAAATTCTTATTGGTTTGACCTTGGCGAATAAATTATTCTGTTGTTGTATAACTAAAGAAAAGAGAAAAAAATTATTGTCGATGTTGATGAGAACACAGAATAAAAGTGAATGTCCAAGATGGAGGAGAGAAAATGATTTGTTTTCTATTAGAAAATAAAAAATAGAATAGAAAATGAAAAGACAAAGAGAATAGAATATGAAAGTTAAGAGAAAATGGAGACAAGAAGAAAAAGAAAACGATGAGTAATAACGATGAACAACACCAAAAGAGAATAATTAATAAAAGTTAATCACTAATATGAAGAAGAGTTAATTGTGTATCGAAAAATAGAAAATTCGTTGAAATGATTTAATCCAAACAAATGGCGAAAATGGATTAAGAGGAAACGATAAGAGTTTAATTATCTGTTGCCAACTGTACAGATGAAAGAAACGTTTTAATAATCAACAGTAAATTAAATTCAGTTGAACGGACAGAAACGATGTAGACACTAAAGAAGACAGAGTAAAGATGATAAGATGATGATGTGATTTTTGTTATTATTGTTTAATTGTAACAATGATGATCGGCGATGATGAAGATTAACATTTTCTTTTGTTCAAGTTAATCCATTGGAAGTTCATCTTTGAATAACCGGATTGAGTTTGAAAGAGAAAAGAACAACAAAAAAAAGGTAAACAAACCAAACCAACGGCGATCACATTGATGACCAACCAGAGATTTTATCGTTTCAACTGATTGTAATTAACTTTTAATTTTTTCTTCTTTCGAAAATTAATTTCTTCTAATTGTGATTGTGATTGTGATTACCCTTAATTTGGTTTTCTATCAACTTAAATGTGTTTATATTTAGAGGCCTAAGTGGCTGTTGATGTTTTCGTAGGTAAGTCAACCTTTTGATTATTGTTTACATTTGTTTTTCGCAATTATTTTTACTTAATTGTTTTTCACTATTTTAATTACTTGTTGCTAATTTACTATTGGTTGATTGGTTTTATATTTAGATGGAAATTGTTACTAATTAATTGTTTTTTTCTTCTATAGGTTAACATGTCAACTAACAACAACAAGTGGATTGGTTGTTATGGTCAACAAGGAGTTGATTTTGTTTCCATTTTTGGTTAATTAACTAATTGTAAGTTTGAATTTTTAAATTGTTCTGCTTGTGATTATATTGAAAATTTTAAAATACGAATAAGAAAAGGGAAACATTATTTTTAAATTAGGTTAATACGGAAACCAAATTGAAAACCCGAAAAAAAATTAACCCAAACCAGAAAATTTTTACTTCCTTAATTGTTGTTGTTGTTGTTTAACATAATAGTTAATCTAATTTATTAAACATGAAACAAACCATTAATTATGATCAACTATTGATTAGTATTTTTGCAATTGTAATAAAAATTAATCAAAATGGTTACTACAACAATTGAACAGCTGAAAGAATATAAATAATAACAATTTACCTTTTATTTGGTTTTTTTTTTCTCATAGATATTACATTAAATTTGGAAACAATTTAAATCACTTTAATTTTCATAATTAAACAAGTAACTGGTTCACTTTTTCCCGATGAGAGTAAAAATTTAATCTTGGTACGAACCTGTGGAAACCATGGAGCGTTAATTGTTATATTATAAGAATATGATTCACCCTTAATTATTGGACAATCAATATTATGAGTACCACAAACGGGAACTGCTTTTGGCCTGATCGCAATCCAAAATCCCCAAATTGATATCCAAATGTTTAATTGTAATTGTTGAGCATCGATTGGTGATTTATACGATAAACCAAAATGAATTGGTTGCTTCCGATTAACTGAACACATATCTGGATTATCACAATTATCTAATTTAACTAGAGTTGGACTTGGTAAATCTTTACCTTAATCCGATAATCACAATCAATGGATAACAAGACAACAAAGGTAAGAAATTAACTAATCATTTCAATTGAGAGATGATAAAACTTACCACATTTGGTATAATTAATCAATTGACCATTGATTAAATTTGAATGATTAAGTATCATTAGTATTACAAAAATTATCGAAAACATTATGAAACTTTCTTTTCGTACTGATTAACTTTAATTTGATGATAATTCGTTAATTTTGAGTTAATTGTGAAAAAAAATTAACCTTCTAATAAGTTTATATTACTTTTATTTTCTAGGTTTTGTTTGGTTTGGTGACAATCAAATTAAATTTGATTATCTAGTTACCTTGAAAACGTTAATTTCTCAATTTATGGTTACCTGTTGATTGTAATCATATTTGATTAACCTTTAATTGTAAACTCGTTATCTTTATGTGCTATCAGAATTGTAACAATTAACAATTGTTACAATCAAAATGGTGAATGAAACGAGAACTCAATTGAGAAAAGTTGTTTATTTTTCAATTATTATGTGAACAAATAGTTAAATTTAATCATCATCATAAATGGAATCACAATTAGTAGGTGAATTAAGGAAAACGGGATTAAAGAGTAGACTGATTGTTAAACATATTGATACAATTAAGGATTAAATCAATTGATTAATTTTCACAATCGATGATTACAATTTGTATTCATTTTTTTAAAAGGTAAATTGAACAAATAATTTCATTTATATTTATAATTTGATTGTTTTTGCATCATAATTATTGGGATATTTAAAATTAATCATCAACAATTAAGTTAATCTGAACTTAATGAAGATATTTTCTCATTTAATTTCTGAATACATTGTTCAACACTTAAATCAGACAATTGCCGTTTAATATCATCAATAGAATCGTCTCCATTGGTAATTAGATTAATCTCAACTTGACTAAGATTATTTAATTGTTGATGATTAACTAATTGTTTCTCATCACCATTTGGCAAGTTAATCACCTTCTTATCCGAGATTTTTTTAACTCTATGGTGATGATGATGATGATGATGATTAACTGTATTATTAAGGCAATTTTTGGCACTAATTTGGTTATCACTTTCTTTATCAATTCCGTTTCCGGTTTTTGATTGAGTTTCATTTCGTTTTTTATGTTTTATCAATTTCCTTGAACATTTTGAATTGTTAACCCCTAAAGGATTATTGATTAGATGATCAACAGTTTCACCATTATTATTATTGTGGTTTTCATTATCATCAGGCAATGAATCAACATCACAATTATGGTTAACATTATCTTCATCATCATCATCAATTTCATCACAAAGCTCAGTTGAACTTGAATCTGAATCACTGCTTAAAATACTGGAACTACTAATATCGGATGATGAACTGCTCATAACATGATCTTCATCATCATGATCATCAGAATCTAATGAATTTTCCCGTTTAGATCCATTCAATGGTTTAGTTGATTTTCTAACTCTTCGTTTGCCTTTGAATTTAATTTAGCGGAACTTGAATAACCAATAAAGGCCACTTCCGGTTCGTTAGATTCCTCATCCTCTTCATCTTCAGGAAATTCACTTTCCTCATGTTCCCTACAAACGGACAAAGAGGGTTCAGATAATTTCCTAGTGATACGATTCTTTTTACGTTCAATTCTCAGGTCATTCCAATGAAGCGTTTCTCCCGATTCTTTTCCTTTCTCTTCAAGAGTAACCTAATTAAGATGAAAATTAACCAAAGATAATTAATAGTTAGTCAAAACAGTAAACTAATATTTTCTAATTCTTGAATTTTTACCTTTGCAGATTTTAACAAGGGGTCAAGATCGGCGACAGTTTTTGACCGTTCAGAGAGACATTTCTTGGAAACTGGACATCGTCCGACATTATTAGTACCAGTAACTACGGTACTTCGTCCTCCCCCGATGATACCAACTCCGATAGCACTTCCGATTGTAGGTTGACGCACCGAACATGGTTTTCTGGGTCGCTTGGCAATTAGAGCAGTTTTACCTTGTAATAAATGATTAACCGTCATTGATTGTTTCTTGGTAACTGAATTTGATTGAGCATTTTGAAATCCCTCTAAAAGTAAATAAAAAAAAAGATCCAATTAGTTGATCAAGATTCGTAACCCATATAAAATAATATCACAATCAGCAAAATTTACCAATTAGGATAATGTGAGCTTGTCGTTGGCGCTCCTTAAGTTTCATGTATTGCTTTTTTAATAGCGATATGTCAAGGCTCATCCTTTGGGGGTCAATATTAGCCGATGATAGGAAATTTGTTGAATTGGAGCCAATTGTTGAGCCGATCATTGATAAACTATTGCTGAAACCATCAAGGGTTGAAGGTGAGGTGGCTCGACTTCCGCTTCGTTCTGGGAGTGTATAGATAATAATCAATAAGGTTAAAGATACAAATCAGATTGATTGACAATTAATTAGGTGACAATTTACCTCTACTCTTTTCATTGGTCAGGCCATTAGATAGACACCAACTTGCTACCATAATTGTATCGGTAGTTGAATCATCTTCCTCTTCATCAGAGTAAAACAAATTGACTCCTTTCTTAACCAATGAAGTTAATGGTCTTATATTAAATGTATATTTCTCACGAATATCAGCTAATTGTGGAAACGGAAATGGTGCCATGGTACAAATGGTCTGTTGAAATAAAACAAATTCATCAAATATGTTGAATCGTAAACAGATCATCAGATATATTAATGAATGAAATTAACTTTTTCTTTCTCTTAAGTAACTTTATCTCTAACATTTAGTGATGTTGAATACTGTTCAATGATTTAACGATAAAAAGTTTCTCATGGTTTCACTTTCATGTTAACCAAATGAGGAAGAAACAAAATTCTGGTAAAAAGTAACCAGAATCCAATATATTCAACATAGAAAACAAAAAGTTCAAGTGATACATTTTATCAACAACATGATGTCAGAGTACCTTGAATGAAATTCATGATAATAATAACAAAACTAACCCCAAAGGGAATGTAATATAATACATTATCGTAAGTAGATGAAAAGAATCAAGTAATATATAAGTTCTAGAACCGATAATTTAAAATTCGAGGGAAAAAAATTTTCCATTTCTTTTCAAAGTCTTCAGAATCCTGATAACTTACAAATGCAATACTGTTGAATGAAATAGTATTCAGATATTAACTCATCAATTATGAATATTAATCATTATTAATTACTTTCACAAATTAGTGTATCATCATTATAATTAACGATCAAAATTAATGAGCCTCGATAATTTAAATTATCTCTACGTAGATGATAATATCATAATCAAAATAGTTCACCTTAATTACCTTCATATTGGATAAATATATGGTGTTTATTAAGATTAATCAATCAAAGATTTTATTATCAATATAAAAACTTTTCATGGACTAATGATTGACCAGTGAATGTGAATCAAATTTTAAGATGGTCATCATGTTTATAATTATGCTCATTATTAATCTCTTAATCCTCAAAGGGATTAAGAGACGAAAATAACTAACGATATTAATAATAATTATAACATCTAACATGTCAAATTGGAAACATGATCAAGTTCTGGTCAAGATTTGATCGTATCATCTCAAGGGAATCGAATCATGTTTACATTCAATGTAATCATAAATATTTAATTTAATAATAATTACGTTGGTCAACTTGTGTATTCACACTAATTGTTGACCAGTCAAGGAAAAGGTGAAAGGTCAATCGTAATGAGAAACTTACCTTTACAAGTTCATTTGTATCTCTAACTCCAAACTCCATCATCTCTCGAGTTAAAACTCCCATGATTGAATAAAATTCATCAGCACTTTCAACGTTAATTATACGGCTAAAAATAGATGAGAAAATGATTAAGTAACAATTAGATTGAATTACGTTTAATTAGCTAAATGATTTCACTATTTTCCAAGGATTAAAATCAAGATCCATCGGATATCAGATTATCTCAGACAATTGGGGATTCATTTGAATATCTTAATTGTTCACATTTTACTTAATCAACTTAAATTGTTGACATTTACAGATTTGAATATCATTATCCCTTCAGTATTTACATAAAATGATTACATTGATGTTTAAATCAATCAATCTAAAAATAGTTTTGTATTTTCAACAATTTAGACTCATATATGTTTCCGGATTGTGATAATCAATTGCAACAATCAACAAAGTAACAATTTAAATATTAAAATATTCATAAACACATTTGAATGTCTATGGGTTGACAATATCAAAATTTGTATAAATTACTATGAACTGGAAAAAAATGTTAATTTAATCAAATCAATTGTGACAGTTAATTTGTATCTTCGTATTATAAGCAAAAAATCAATTGATTGTTGATTACTGGTTGTGATTATGTTATAATCATTATGATCATCTAGTCATTATAATCCTAATGTAACAATTAAATAATCATACAATTATAAGTCATGAAACAATAAATAAAAGTTTCAATGAAATAACATTAACAATATCAATTAAATTAACTTGACACTAATTAACTTATGATAATCATTATCTGATGTTCATTCAATTTAATCCAATTGTTCATTTTTTCATGATAAACTCACAAAGATTCTGATAATAGTTTCTGATAAAAATGTGATTTATTTATCTTATTTTTGTTGTTGATCAAATAAACAATAAGGATAAACTCAGATTCAGTTGAAATCAATCAGATAAATTGTAATTTATTAGGAATTGTTCAAAGATTCATGATATTTTATCAGAAGTTTATTGAGAATCGCCATGATAATCAGGGTGGAATAACATTGATATAATAATCTATCAGACGCCTACACAATGATTCTGATAAAATATCAGAATTATTGAAACTCCTTCGTTATTAGATTGGGACAAAGGTCAAGGTTTCTTTTTTTATGATCAAATTATTCATATTAATAATATTTAGGTTAGAATCAGGATTCAATTAGTTAATGGTGATAAATTAATTGTATCATATTGTTATCATTAATTTACTTTCCATTAGATTTATATTGATCAGATTAGAATGCAAAAATTTACCAATCTAATCAACCTAATTAGATAATCATAAATTTTCAGCTCATTATTGTTACTTGTTAAATTAATTGCTCATTTATTGATTGATTGTAAATCGACTAAAGGAAAATATAATTTCATCACATCGAAATCAAAGTTAGTTGATGAAAATTGTAGTTCCAAACGAGAGAAACAATTATTTCCAATAATGGATACGATATTTTTAGTAACAAGCTAAATGTTGATAAAATTATCGTTTAAAAATCAATTACATGGAGCCGGAAGTTTAATCAGGGGTTTTGGGTTAGTGGTTAAATTGTGGTGGGAACATTTTCTCAATAATAATATAATTATCACTCTTACTCTTGAAGACAATCCCAAATTACTAAGGCAGTTCTGATCAGGATTTCATTGCCTTCCAAAAATATCAGATCCCAAATCCGTAAGACCAATGGTTTGGGCAGGCAATTTGAGAAGAGGGTCAAAAACCATTGCATGGTGAATACATTGACCAGTGGGGGTTCGTAACTGGCCCCGGTACTTGTATCTGCGGCTTGGTTTTGCAATTTATCAAGATGTTTGGACAGTTCAGGAAGTCGAAGACGTAAGAGATCACGGAAAGTGGCCATGTCCACGGAAAGGCCTCTTAAATTGTTGGCGAAATAACTGGTTGGCAAAACTCCTTCAATCAGATAAATCATTACCTAGAATTGTAATCAAAACAAAGTGAATTTAATTCTCTCAAAAAGTTGACAATCTAAACCAATTAAACTGTTCGATTAGATAAATACAATTAGATAACAATCAATTTTTCCATCAAATCAAATGCTCACCACATAAACCAATGACAATTGAAGATAATTATACACAATTAATTGACAATCAATACATTGTTTTGATATGAAACTAATCACAATAACAAAGAATAGAGTTGATAATGTATTGTAACAATTAATAAGATAATGAATTTGATAAAATGTAAACAATTAGTAAACCAACAATAATCAAACATTGGGATAAAGTTACGATCATTAATTATTAAGCTTTTGAACTCAAGTGAATCAAGTTAATTGTATCAAATAATTAACTTTTGAAAGTATTAAAAATGTTTATCAAATTATTTATTCTGATTGTTTTATCAACCTCAACCTTAGCTGGTCAAATCAACATCGATAGTTGTGGTAAGTTAATTAAGTTTTAATTGTTAATACAATTTGTATATAAGTTTCGTTTCTTTTTATAAACATTTAAGGCGATTCGGTTCCCATGCCAAGTACCGTTACTGTGAACGGATGTGAAGGTGACGAATGCCAATTCATTAAAGGAGATACCGTCTCATTCAAGATCGATTTTACTTCTCCCGCTGATGCCGATGATCTGACACTTTCCGTTCTTGCTCGTGTTTTTGGTACGTGGCAAAAATGGGGAGCTGCACCTAAGCAAGTTTGTGGGTCATCGGTTGATTGTCCACTAAAACGGGCTCAACTTATACCTACAAGTTTGAGACTAAAGTTCTAGATGAATATCCTTCAATTAAAACTCGAGTCAAGTATTCATTGAAATCTACCACCGGTGATGAAATCTTTTGTTTCACCTTCCCTGTTTCTATTCAGTAATCAATTCTGATTAATTTCCTGATTGTTGTTTCCAAATTGGTTGATTAAACTTTCATTAAATATCTTCAATTACATTTACGTGATTATTATTAACAGAAAAACAACAATTTGACAATGTTAATTAATTAATTAACACTTATCATGAAACATTTTCTATTATGTCAACAATTTATTGGGAATATGTTAATTGTGATTATTTGCTTTCCAAATGGTTTAATTACCTCTGGTTAATGATAATTACATTTTGATTAACAGAATTAATCAGAAAACTTTTTTTTCCCTCTCTCAATAGTTAATACACTAATTCAGTTTGATTGGTTTGATTATTTGTCAACTCAAAATTATCAAGACCATAGATAATCAATGCTATTGTCAACCAAACAATTAAATTATTGATTAGATTAATGCAATTAGGGTGATACAATAGTTTTTAACAATTAAAGTTAATCTTTGGATAAAAATTAAACAACAATTAAAATCTAATTGTTAACTATAATACTTTAGTTTGATATTAAAAGTATCGTAGTTGAAAACATTAAGCAAATGGATTAACTGAAAATGTTTATTTAAATTTTAATTGTTTGAAATTAACCTGATGGTTATTTACAGTTGAGAGACAGTAAAAGTAATTAAAACTAAATTAAGGTTAATTAAAAATTAACCAGGGCATGATCAATGGTTAATTAAGATTAACTCATTACAATTAAAACCTAGAAAAACAATAAATTATCAACGATTTATCAAAATCTAATTGTAAACACAAATAATTGGAAAGGAAAATGATAACAATTAACTGATTTGCAATTAGGACTGATTGATGATTACAAGTAATTTCATCAGCTCCTAATGGTTACTTCCGTCAATATATTGATAATATTGATAGAGAAATAAAAGTTTCATGTAAATTGTTTTCTTTTACTGAATTTATCCTCTCAATTGCTAAACTTTTATTGGACTCAGAAAACGGAAACGGAAATGATGGCAAGTGAAAGAGAAAAGATGAAGCTCAAAATGATGCAATAATAAAAAGATATAATCAAATGTTGATAATCACAACAACCTACGCAACTGTCAAGTTAATTGTTATATTGTTGTAACCTAAAAAAGTATTGTTATAATCATCATCATCTTCATCATCATCATTCATGATTATTATTCAAGCTCAGAGTTTGGGTAAATAAACAAATCAACCATCCATGCAGATAACATGATTGTTTAACTTGAATTGGGTTAACCTTGGGGATTATCATCATCATCATCATCATCATCATCATCGTGAGTGTCTATGGAGACGGGAAGATGAAGGAAGATGAAGATGTAGAGGTGAAGATGGGAAGATCGAGTGGTTCTTGTGGGAGTGAGTAAAATGTTGACACTAAATTGAAAATGTTTTAGTTTACAAGCTATTAAATGGATGAGGATTGAGAATTGTTTTATCCATCATCTCAATTATATGATGACCATTGGGTACCACCCATGGTTCAATTTAGTTTTACAACAGTTTCATGTTCAATTTTCAATCATCATGATAATCTTCAATTCAATCTAATATAATCAAAGGAAAAACCTAATCATCACATTAGGTGACCATTGAGGATTTTGTTGTTGTTTCTATCATCATGTTATTAATCAATATCCTTAAGATTATCAGATCAGCGAATTGAATTTCAAATGTTCATTTGATAATATTGTTAAGATGTTGATAAGATTATTGATCGTTATGGTTCATTACTGACCAATAAAGATTAACAAAAGTATATAATTATCATCATGTTGACCTCATTTCAAAAACAGGGAATCTCATGATGATGTTTATTCAATGAAATAAGGGATAAGTTTCAATTGAATTTTCTCATTGGAAATAGAAAACCAATATTGAATCAACAGTTGACTTTTCTCAATACAATATTATCGTTGAATCATTGAAATATATTTAATATCATGAAACAATTTAATCGGTTCAGAATTTCCTATGAAATTCATTTTTAAATTCACTCTTTGTATCACAAGAATGAAAAAAAAAGTTCAATTCAAGGTAAAAAAAGTGATGATTTTAAAGTGATGCTGACGTGGGTTGAATAACAATGATTCATATCAATAAGCAGTTATATTTATCCTTTGTCATATTAGAGTTACCTGTAAGCTGAATTTCTGAAAAATTCAATTCTCATCTCATTTCCATGAACAAAACTCATCAATGTTCAATATTTCAGAAAATAAGTGACCATTTGGGTCACTTTGTGAATATGATAATCAAAAATTATGTTGATTATTGAACTTAATTTGAAATTCCAAATTGCCATTAGTTTTTTTTTGGTGATTGATCATCATGAAATTTTCATCTCCATGAACGTGATCATAATTTTTTTCAACAAATTTCATATCTCTTACCTTAAGTGAATTATCAACGTCCCAATCCATGACTTCCAGGATAATTGCTGCGAGCATATTAAACCCTTGACAATAACCAACACCTCGATTCCAACGAGCATAAGCAAGTAAAACTTGTTTGAGAAGCGCTTGATTGTGTTCAGAATCAGCGCCACTGAACATACTACAACCAGTTCGATGGAGATCCTGAAATCGAAAGCAAAAAAGTTCAGTAATTTCAGAATTTACATATTCATATACAAGGGAACAATTTCCTCAGTCATTTTCAGGGTTAAAGAAACATGGAAAGTTCTAATTTCGTTCTGATTTATGATCGAATTTGCAAAATAAAAATTCCAAGTTAATAAAATTACCATATGAGACTATTATCAATCATCAGAAAACAAAGCAGACACAATCATAGCAAAATGTTATTATGTTAACTATCAACAATCAACAAACTATAAACTTTAACTATCAACAATGGTTAACTAAATCAAAATGAATTATCAATAAATAATCGGGTCCATTGAACAATTAATAAGTTAATTGTCAAGAATCAAGCTAATAATAAACATGACATTTAAAGTTTATCTATCTCTTTACGATTTTGGTTTGGAAAATATCTTTCATTAAGATAATTTGATTAGATAGAAATTTAATTATATTGTAGAAAATTAATATTCTTACCTTTACAATTTGGGTTCCAAGGGAATCATCTTCAGGGTTACACTTCTCATTGAAACAGAACTTTGAAGTTTTACTCCAATTAATATTTCGACTCTCAATGAATCTTTCAGATAATGTTAACCATAACTGTAAATGAACCATGAAATTAATTAGTTAAAACGATCAACAAATAAATTAAAAGCCAAATATTAATAGTTAATTTTTTTTGGGGTCAGTTTATCTTAAAATGATCAAGGTGATGTTTGGATTGTTGTTGATTGGGTTAACTTTGATTGTTGTTAATCTAAGAAAGTCCATTATGATTAATGATCATTATTATCATGAAATCTCATGAGTAATCTTGACCTACACCTTAAATTGTTTTCATCGTACATGATAATATTTCCAACACCTTAACCATGATTAAGAATCTGATTATAATACATATGAGAATAACAATCAAGGTTGATTGTTGCTGTTGTTGTTGTTTGCTTGGTAAATTTTAAGCTCAATAACAAATCCGATTTTCCCCTGTTAATTGGTTAATATCAAAATTAGATTTTCCTCATGAATTAATATTTCTAGTGTTCCGGTTTTATCATTGTGGTTTCCACCATCTTGTATTGTCATTAATCAATTTTGATTAGTTTTAGATTAATTTTGCTGAGAATTACCTTTTTTCTGAATTCATTTGGTATTCCCCCTGGAAGCCGAGCCACCATCCTCATGGCATCATGCCATTGATTGAAACCAGAATCTCCTGGACTTGGTTCAATTGAAAACCTCATCTTGGTGTCCACTCCTTAATTAAAGATAAACTATTATTAGTATTTGAAAATTAATTCTTCAATTAAGAGAATAATGAATTTTAATGTCAACCAGTAATCTAATAGTTTGTTTACCTTGATAATAATACACCAAACATTATCAATACTTGAGTAATAACCATATTTGTATTGATTATTTTCAATTAATGATGATATAATTAGCATCTCATCAACTGAATTGATTGTCAAGTATTACACAGGTTGATCAGTCATTTCATTCAACAGTCAGTTGATTAATAAATTAGTTGATAAAAAAAAATGAATACAAAGTAACTCAGTCAAAATTCACAATCAACTAAAAGGATTCATTCAAATTGTATTATCGTAAATCATAATAAGCTTTCAACTGAATCAAGTTAATCAAAACAAGGTGAATATCATTAAGCTGAAATCTTGTCAATTCAATTGAATCATCAATAGATGATTATTATTACAAAGAGATGAATGAAAATCAAAAACAGCAATCAAGTAATTCTGATGGACCTAAATTGGTGTACTTGTTTTCTCATTAATCATGAAAAGTCAAACCCAAAATTCAGGTTCATACACTTCAATACAGAAAAGGTTATCTTGTTTTGGCTGATCAATATTTCATCTTCAGGTTAATCATTAAAGATAATCTAATTGGATTGATGTATTAAAAGATTAACAGAATCAACAGGAAAAAGTTGAGATGAATATTATTGATTAAAAGTTGATCATTAAATATTGATACATATCCGTTGATAAACTTGATTTGTACTCATTGTTTTGCTATTTCAAAACATTACAATTAAATATTTAGATTGTCTCAAATTAATCTGATTTAGGATTAATTACATTTTGACAGTAATTTAAAACAAAAAGGTCACCTTATTATGATTAATTGACCCAATTAAATATTTGATTAATTAAACGTAAATACTATGGTTTCATCTTATGAGAATCTATTGATAGATCCATTTACAATTAGTTAATTGTGTCACAATTGTTAAGTTTATATACTCGTTTTGGTGATCAAAACAAATTTCCAAAAAAAAATCAAGGTAACAATTAGTTTTCCTGACTGAACTACTCATTGGTAATTGAATTAAGTTAACCAGGATTCAAGAAGATAGAAATTATTGCCGACAATTAGTTAATTGGCTATAGTGAAAAAAAAGGTAATTAAGGTAATGCTTAAGGATTTTAACTTATGTAATATTCAAGGATTGCTAATTGTGATTAAGAAGGATAATTGTTGATTGCGAAAATGATTAGTAGTCAAATAAGACAAAAGGTAAATTTGATTAATGTTAAAATTAATTAGCTAATTGTTTAAGCAATTTAGTTGCATAGGTAACAAGGTAAAAGGTTATCAGTTTAAGACAAGTGTATTTCAATTAATAAGTTTTGCTAAATTGTTAAACTAAATCATTTATATTGTAATGATTAAAGGTTGATTGAACTCGTTTAACATTTCAAATTAAGTTAATTGTAAATTTACATCGACATTTATATGTAATCTTAACCTGAGTGGATCCCCAAAGATTCAATGAACTTATTTAGTTTCCAATGGTTGATTATTATTGATTGAAAAACACAATTTAACATCATTGACGATTAAACAACAATTAACTTGGTATCCTATTTATAAGAATCAATTTAATGTTTACAATATAAAAGTACAACAAAATTTACGATTCCAGATAAACTCAATACGTAAGTATAACTCTAGAGGATTTAATTGTAAATTACATGGTAATCATGATTAACGATAAATTTACATGTAATTGTTAATCCAAAGTTATCATATGGATTAAATTGCTGTGATTTTAATTAAAATGGATTACGATTTCTTTTTAATTACTTTTATCGAATACAAATTTTCACTACATTTTCGTCATCAACAATTTACTCCGTCTGAGGATATTAAATATTCACAACTGAGTATTTAATTGTTTCAGTTCAATTGGATGCTAATGAGATGAAAATATTCATCATGATTAGTTTATCCAATGGAAACCAGCGTTTACAATTGTAATCAAATTAACTTTGATCAACTTGAAGAGTGAAAACTTTGAATACTCAGACAATTAAGATTTAAATCAATTTTTCCAATTAAAATTTTCATGATAATCTTTTTTTATTTAATATTCTTTGAAAAGAAATTATCAATTCCTGAGAAATATAATCAGGAAAATTACGATTAAAACCTCAATTAAATTAGTGTAATAACGTAGGTTTCAAGTAGATTAACAAAGTTTCATATCATGAACTTCATGGAAAACCAATTTATCGGTAATATAATTAAGTTATAGTTGCAAAAATCAAGGTTGTTCATAATCATATGATAATTTAGACTTTTATGACTTTACAATGATTAATTCATTGTAATTTAATCTTCATCAACGGTAACTCTTAGATTGATATAAATAACCACAGGAATCATAAAAATTTATTAATGGTAATGGTCAAGGTAATTGTCTAATTGTTTTGCCGTTATTAGTTTTTAAGTTATTGATTTTCTCCTATGATAATAAGTAAATGCTATCAATCTGATAAACATTCATCTCAACTGATTAGTTAATCAAATAGTGAATATAAAATTTAAACTCCCTGCGGTCTTATAGTAATAGATATGATTGAAAAGCACAAGAAACAGTTTAATGTATTACAATATACAATCATTAATGTAATCATCCAACTAGTTCATGTTGATTAATTGTATTAGTCTATTTAAAAATATCCTTTTAATTGTCTCTTCTTTTTGTGGTATTGATATGAATTAACGAAAGTCTCAATTTCAGATTATCTTTTAAACCTTTGAATTATTCAGTTTCTCAATTCTGTTGGATGTTTTAAATTCATTTCCTTATCACCATGATAATAAGTGCGGAAGCAAATGAGAAGAGAGAGAGAGAGAGAGAGAGAGAATCCAAAGTTAATTTGAATTTCAATTCAGTTTCTGAATAGAGTGACAACAATAGTCTTCACTGAGTATAAACAATCAACTGATTTAATTGTAACAAGGATGAAGATGCTGATTAATAGCTAAACAATATGATTTGTATTCATCAGCACGAAGATGATTTTTTTTCATTCTCAATGGTGAAAAAAAACAGATTATGTTTAAAGAATCAAATAACTGGATTAACTATTAATAGATTAAAATATTTTGAATTGGTTAATTGTTCAATTCAAGATAATCTTATGGCAATATGGTTATTATTTAAATCTAATGAGAACCTCATCAATTTGATGTTTTTTTTTCAAGAATAAAAAATGTTACAACACTAATCAAGATGTAGATTAGTTAAATTGATTTAATTACTTGGTCTTAGCAACAAAATCTATATTCAGTTAATCATAGCTTATTATCATCATTTCATGATCATGAATAAAAGGAGGAAAAGGTTAAGGGTTATGCTCATCAATAATTCACATGGATCATGATAAATTCAAGGTAACAGATATTGAGAATCAAAATTTATCAGTTATTCTTAATACAACTAATACATAAACAATATTAAAATTAGATTAACAGATTATCCCTTATCCATAGGGATTTAGTTTCTCTCATTATTATAAAGCTCAATGGTTGGTGATTAGAAATTTTTGTAAATATTTAATCACAATCAGTCAAATATATACACGATTTGTTAATCAAATGATATATATAAAAGCAGCATGAACATGAAATATTCATCCTGTTACCATGTAAATAAAGTTATCACAATCAACATTTTAATATTAATCCTGATCATGTAAGTAAATCAATAAATTTGTTTACAATCAACTATCAGGTAAACTTAGTGTACTGAATATCTTATCATACAATTAACAAATTGTTGATTAGTCTTTGACAATTTTAGGTTGAAAATCAAGTCTAATGATCATTCTCAGGGGAAGTTGTTGAAATGAAACAAAAATTAACAGTTCATCTTAATCATCACTTTCTAACCTTTTCAACTTACAATTAAATTTGATGTAAATACAAAGTTGGATAAACAATAAACATTTAGATCGTTAACAATTCAAGACTAATTCACAAGGTTAATTCCAATTCATTTATGTCATGGAAACTTTGAGTTACCATGAGGAGAAAATTTCAACGGTAAATTAGGATTGCCAGAATTTAGATTGAATTTCAAGTGATATGAATTAACTTGGTGAAAATGGAATAAGTTTGATTTAAATTACTCTCCATTTCAAGATTATTTAGTTTCATTTGCACAACAATATAAGAGACATGACCAGAAATTTGAGAAATAACAATAAGGAAGAAAAAAGAGATTCACAAAGTCTGAATTTATATCATGAAATATCATGTTATTCAGGCGGAAAATGAACTATTACCTTTTCCTTATTTTCTTCATCATGTAAGATCTTCTTCTCCTTTTTTTTTCATTAACAAACTGGAAAATAACCATGGAAAATACTGTTACTCTCTACCAATGGGGATAATATCATTATCAGAATGTCAGTAGATTTCAGAATTGAGCTGGAAAAAAATGTTCAGTGTTTTCATCATTTATCCTATCATTATAGTATAGAGTCTGACGACGCTCCGCCCGGGTGAGCGTCGTCAGAGCTCCATGGAAAATTCATAGACACTGAACGTCAGTAAATGTTGTGGTTGAACACCGATCAAACCTGATGATCATTAGTAATTAAGTCACAAATTATAATTAATTAAAGATATATAGCCTGACAGTCGTCAATTTTAATTTTTCGGCTGATTAGAGAAACAATTAAGATTTGAATAGCTACATCGGTTATAGCTAAAATTGAGTAAATATTGTAGCATCTCAAACTAAAGAGTTGTTGATTATAAAAATACAATTTTGAATAAAATTTGAAATTGATTAACATGATAAAATTTGAAGGTATCAACAGAGTAAAAATAGCTATATTGTGAATTTTTAAAAGCTATGTAAGAATAAGAACCGGAATTGTTGATTGTTGATCCTTTTTTAGGTTTGGTTTTACCAAAGTTTCCTTTTGGCTGCCT